TTAGGGAAAATCCAATAGCCTACATTTTTCTTTATTGTTCCAAAATTAATATCTATAATTTTCTTCTTTTCTTCCTTTTGGCTGAGGGTATTAAAGCAGTTCAGAGAACGAAAAGTACATTTACCCTTATCTTTCAGATTTTCACAGATTTTTTAATGGCGTTCCTTTATTCAGAAATAAATATAAAAATGACCAAGCAGTTTTGAAAACCAATGCCTAGTCTAAAAAATGTAACTAATCAAAAAGAATGGTGTACAATTGCACATGTTTCTTAGGCCTGTTTCTTGATAGAAACGTAAAATTTAACTAATAAAAAAGCAATACGTGAACTGAAGTCACAGCATTGAAGTTTACGAGACAACTTTGTTGTTATGAGCACTGCACTTTACATTTAGACCATATAGGCCTAACATGTTTTAAAGTAAAAGCACAAAGAACGTTATGTTTTAAGGAAAAAGGCCTGAAGATATCCCGGCAAGGGATACAAATAAGTGTTCATTTGGACTATTACAGTAATATTATAGTTTCTTACTGTTTACCAAAAACAAAACATAAAACTACAACTAAAAAGCTAAAATGAATATATACATACACACACACACAAATACATATGGTCACACTTTAGTTTTGGGTCCAATTCTCACTATTAACTTAACTATTGACTTTTGCCTAAATAAACTATTAATTAAGTTTCTTACTGTTTACCAAAAACAAAACATAAAACTACAACTAAAAAGCTAAAATGAATATATACATACACACACACACAAATACATATGGTCACACTTTAGTTTTGGGTCCAATTCTCACTATTAACTTAACTATTGACTTTTGCCTAAATAAACTATTAATTACTGTTCAGGTATAGGGTAAGATGTAGAATACGGTCACGCATAATAATGCACTAGTATGTGCTTTATGAGTACTAATAAACGGCTAATATAGTAATATGCAAGCAACTAGTTAATAACTAAAGTGTTACATTAAATAAATAAATAAATGTTTGTGTGTGTGCGTATATACAGTATTGGCTAGCGGCAGCTGGCACCACTTATGTGTGTGTATGTTCTTAATGGGAAAATGCTTATGCAATTGAGCTTATTGGGTTCACATTCTGATCGTATCTGCTTGCTGGTATACAATATGCATCATCAAATCTTTTATTTACAAACAAAACAGTGTAGTTTACAGCAGAAATGGCGACAAACGATCGTGACTCCTGGCAAGAACTGGCAGCTGATACATAAAAATGTATAATAATAATAATAATACAATTGTGGGAACTTTGCATCGTCATTTTAAAAAAACATCACCGCACGCCACTGAGAACAGTGTAGTTTTACCGAGCAAACAGTAGAAACAGCGAGAAAGACCGTGGCAGCTGCCCCGAAAAAATGAAAAAAGACAATGGAGATCTGGCAAGTCCATTTTCCAAAAATTAATGTGAATAATGTAAGCTGGAACCACAATTTAGACCGTAACCGTCCGTTTACTGATGAGCCGTTAGTTTGCTGTTTAATGCACGCGACGTGACGTCACTTGAGTAGTAAGTATGCACGAGAGTGCGTAATTACGTATACATGTAATTCGCGCCTTTTTCGTTTTGTGCTGCATGTCGGGAACTGACATTCAAGCTTTTGAGCATCGTTAGCTACTGATAGAATCTTTCACATAAAACATCTATAAATTACTTTATTTACTTTTACTTTTTTTTTTTTTTTTTTTAAATCAGAACTATGAATTTACCGTGGAACACATTTTGGCAACTTAAATCGCAGTAAAAAGCTCACAAAATCGAACCAATACGCGCGTGAGTCTTTCACAGACAACGACGAAGGTGAGGGTAAATAACGCATTTTTTATTTAAGTTAATTTAAATCAATTTAAACTAATTAATTTGAATTTATAGTTAGCAGCGAGTATGTCCCTAATCTCTTTATTTACGTAATTGTTTAGAAATGTTAAACAGTTGCTAAATCAATTGGCCTGCATGAAAATGGCGCAGCGAGGCCCATACAAGAAGTTTCTTTCGGACGTGGAGGCTGGGATGCCTACAAGTACCAAAAGGCACAGGTTACAGGTAAATAATTCATCTATAGAGGCATTTAAATGACACTGAAATCATCAGTTATTAAAATACAATGTATATTGTTTACGAATCAAATTATTTTCTGTGGTTGAATTTATGTGGTAAAGTTGGAGAGCTGTATTTTTCAGCATAAAATCCAAATTGACCATTACATTTTTTTTAAAAATGTTTTATTTTAAACAATTAATCTGGGGCTGTATTCACAAACGTTTTATCTTTTGGCACCACATGAAGTCAGTCGCAACTTTCATTTCATGCTTATTTAAGCTTTACAATTTTTTTTCATCAGTATCAGTTGATTTGCTTTACTATGGTGGACAAATACTTATCAATTTATATCTTAAAACATTTTAGGCACAAGCAAAAGATGCAGACACAATACATGGCAACGTATGTTCTGAAATGTAATCTCAGGTTTGTGTGATTTCATTTATTTAAAGAGTATCTAGAGTAAATACACTAAATGACTAAAATGTCAGTTTGATATTACTCAAATTTACTTTAAGGCAAGTGGCTAGACAAAATGTATTTATATTTTTAAACATGTTTTTAGTTGTACCAAATGTCTTTTAAGTTATATCACCCCAATTAATTTTTATATTACAGTATATATATTTAAAGTAAACAGAAACACATGTTAATCTTTAGTTATAATGTTCATTTTAAAGAGTTAAGGATGTAATCGAATACAAGTGTATGATTCAGAGTTTATACACAATTTTCAGTCACTGCCTGGGAGATAAGTGTACATTAATGAATCTTTGAATCATTTTTTATTAAGATAAATAGATACAACATTTTTTTATAAAGATAATGACGGATAAATACATCTGTTACAATATTTTATAGGAACCAGCAAATGATTTTAAGGAGTTTACAGAAACTGGATGTGAGGTCAGTATTAAATGTTTATTTAAGTGTCACAGGATATTTTTCTTTAAAATAAAAGGTCCTAAAATCTCCAAAAGCCATGGAATAGCATTTCTAATGTGGTGTGTAGCAATACACAGATTCAGCAGAGATGGAAGATGTGGATGAGGTATGTTAGTTATATATTACACTTTGGCTTTTCATTAGAATGTTTGATTAGGATTCAAGCTAATCTCTGCAGGACGTACAGCAACAATGGGTCAAACAATTATTATTTCTGTCTGACCAATGACATGCAGTACAGGGCCAGTGGTTCAGATTTTTACTTGACCTGCCAAAATTTTTACTTGCCCCACAATAAAAAAATAATAATAATAAAGTAAAAGAAAAGAAAAGAAAATGGGCCTATAAAATAAGCCTAGTTATGTTTTCGTTGTTTTTCATACATGTAACCTTAATAAATAAGGTTATGACACCAAAAGCTATACTAGATTAATTCACTTAAGTTTTAAATATTGTTAGACAAGTAAACAGAAAGTAATAAAATAGGAACAAATAATCAAATCACAAGTGATGGCACAAATAAATACAACAGAATAAACATAAATGAGAAGTACCTCTGTGTACTTTTCTGCAACACCGTTTTTACGTACCTTACTGCACGTTTTGCCGCACTTTCAAAGAGAAATGTCCACTGAGTGGCGCTAAAACACGGGTTGAATACGTCATCCCTGGCACGTTTTTATTACGTTGATATAGGTACGTATTGCTGTGTTTTTATTACGTTTCTTCAGGTACGTATTGCGGCAATTCAGAATTCAAATATCCGGGGACTGTCGCTAAAAGTTAATGCTACTAAATATGCCCTACACCAAACCCAACCCTAAACCTACCCGATAGTGTTAACAAATGCAAAACTGATATACTTTTTTTTTTTTGATGCAACCGTGCCATTTTAACTTACTTATATGCAGATTTGAACTGTTTTGTCGAACCGTAGTTACACGGGATTCGAACCGGAGCTCCTCACCTCTTAAGTTACATCTCCGTACTCCGTGAGCTACCGAACAAACCTACCGTCTATGAAAACCCATTGATATGAAGCTGGATATGTGCGGTATATGCTAACATTCAAAAGCATCAGTTTTCAAATCTCCCAGCATATGAAAATTTTTTTGAAGTCACAACATAATGCTCTTCAAGTAATTGTGCGAAAATTACGCTTTATTAATCGAAACTCTGTAAATCATACGTTGTGTGAAAATAATTTAAAAGGTGTCGGAGTTTTACTCCCTCTAGTGTTCATTTATTTTGGAAACTGCAGTGATATGTACTTATTGGTACGTATTTCGCGTCTCGCGAAAAAGTGCCCCCAGGTACGTTTTTGCCATGAGACCGGGTAGTATAAAAGACATACAGGGGCATTTTTGCCCCTTATCTTGAATTCTGAGGGCAGACTAAATCACGCAGTGAAATCGTGCACTAAATATGCACATGCACTAGTCTAACCTACTAGACTACATCACGTAGTGTATGCGTGCACTCAATGGGTGTGTTTTTGTTTGGTTTTTGTAAAGTGAGGGATGTACTCTGTAATGTCAGATTGTTAAATAAACAATTATGATATTATATACGATATACGCACACCCTAGCCTACAGCACTGGCCCAATCGGGCAAGTGACAGTTCCGTCTACTGTCCTTATTGGGTTCACATTCTGATCGTATCTGCTTGCTGGTATACAATATGCATCATCAAATCTTTTATTTACAAACAAAACAGTGTAGTTTACAGCAGAAAAGGCGACAAACGATCGTGAGTCCTGGCAAGAACTGGCAGCTGATACATAAAAATGTATAATAATAATAATAATACAATTGTGGGAACTTTGCATCGTCATTTAAAAAAAAACATCACCGCACGCCACTGAGAACAGTGTAGTTTTACCGAGCAAACAGTAGAAACAGCGAGAAAGACCGTGGCAGCTGCCTCGAACTCTGGCAGCTGCCAGAAACGACTAGTGGCAGCTGGGGATGCCACCGGAAGTGGCGCTGCGACCTGCCGATGCCAGAGAGAGCGCCAGTCCCTGCAGGAGCTTTCTCCCCCCGCCTTCTGATTGCCACAGTTTTACTACGCATACCATGGCTAATTTTCGTAAGAGCCGTATTAAAATAAATGAATGAATGCGCGGGCGTTGCCTTAAAGAAATTGTACAATGTTGAACATTTTGGCTAATTAATTTTAAACAGTATAACGCGTTGACAGCGTGACTTTGACTATTAATTAAGAATTTTTGCATAAATATTATATACACTGAAATGACTATCAATGAAAAATGACAGAATAATGACTCAAATTGAATACAAATGAATAAATATGTTCATTCTGATCTTATTCATCAGTCTCGCACACAATGCAGCATCGCAGTCACTATTTAAACGAGCACTGACACAGTGTGGTGAAATCGGTAACGCTACATTGGATTAAAACTACAAGTTCCATTGAGTTTGGAAAATTCTGTGCACAGTAATCATCAGAATATCTCTTCGCTTGCCTCTGAAAATGTCCGGATTTTGAAATCATCCTGCAGATGCTCATTTTAACAGGCTTTTATTCAACTACTAGATGATTACAGCATATTGAAAAATATACATAACCGACGGGCACTTCCGGTCCATTATCTTACAATAGTGGCTGTTAACCTTCTGATTTGAAGGCCTCCCACTGTCCAACACAATATCCCAAGCCCCCTCAATAGAAGGCATGTCCTTCTGTTATTTCTGCTGTAATTATGACAAAGCTTGTTTTCCAAACTTTCAATTCACGGAAAATGGATGTAAAAATGGAAATGAGGATGTATTAATTAACCACAATACATTTTGAATTGGTAAATCAGAAATTTCAATAGCTCATATTTTCAAAAGAAAGTTCAAAAACTGCAATAACTAAATATATATTTCAATATAGTAAATTTTTTATTTCGTAAAAATAATGTTCAAATTAATTCATTTTTATAGAATTCTGTATATATATTGGGTAAATGCAACAATATGTAAAATACATCTGATATATACATTAATTTATATTTTCTAAATATAATACTGAGTAAACATTACAAATGTCATGATTTTTTGCAGAATAGATTTAATATAATATTCTTCTGAATATAATATTCATATAATACATTATATATGTGTGTGTGGTGCAGATATCAGCTGTTGACTTATGACTAATATCTTTTCAAATCATTGCTATTAATAATGGTTCCTTTTACTATGATATCAAGTGTATGGTCTCGGTTTGTTTTCATCGGATATTATTGCCACTTCTTTTAGAACTATTCTAATACTATAAATATTTCTCTCATCTCACTAACATGCAAACAAGAGAGATGGTGCATTCAAAAATAATAAAGATTTATCATGGTGAACTTTATAGTAATTACACTTTATTTGTATAAAATGTACCAATTTTTCCAATGTAAACCAAATTCACTTTTGAAAACTGAATATACATTTTTCTTGAATTTTTTTTTTAAAAAAAAAAAAAAAAAAAAAAAAAAAAAAAAACCCCTGCAGAGAACACGGAATCAAAGTTCAAGAAGATAAATCACCAGTCAATTTGCACTGTTTTTCTATTACCGTACAAATTTTCAGAAAGACATCATGCCAAACCTACAAAAACTTTTAAACAGACGTTCTTCCTCTTTTAATTAGAGAGCTTGACCACAGGCAGAATCCTCAGAGGAGAGACGCTGCACAGACTGCAGAAGAACGGAAAGACCTTCTCCATGTAACTGGTTGTGAATGTGTGATAGAGTGATTTGCTGAGAGGATCTGAGAATGAAAGCTGTCCTTCATCGAAATCGAGTTTCACTCTCACTCGCTTTGGTTTCTCACACCCAAGGAAAGGGATGCATGACTCCTGAGGAGCCTTCAAACTGAGCGTGTCGCTGTCATAGCCGATGCACCAGACCTCGCTGGGCAAGCTGTTGGTTCCTTTTCTCTTGACAGACTCTGTAGTGACACCCAGCATCCAGAAAGTGCTATCTCCCACATCCACATCCCAAATGTGTGTCCCTGAGGAATAGCCCACAGAGCCCAGAACACAGGGACACCGATCAAACCTCTCCGGGTTATCAGGAAGCTGCACACCATCTACGTCCTCCTCCTCTTGCTCATCTCGGTCCCTCACACATGTCAGATCTTCAGACAGTATAAGTTGAGCGTTAGCGGTGTTTGGGTCGAGCACCACAGGAGCTGAAAACAGAATATTACGAAGACGTTGCAGTATAAATGTAATCAATCGATGCTTAGAAACCAGCATTTTAATAAAATTGCTTTACTGCTTATTAATGTTTGAAAAACTGCCAAATCATAATCATGTGGTCCAAAAGAAAAAAGAAAAGAAAATTGGAAATATCAGAGGACCTCTGTAGACCCTCATAACTGTGTCAGTGTCAATAAGTCTTGTAAACTAAAGAATCCGATGATTTGACCTTTCTATGACCATGTCAGGTTAGTTTAGGCTGCAAAATGTCAGGTGTGACTCCCACCCATACATAATAATATTGAATAAGTAATAATATGAATTCAGTAAAAATAGCTTTTACCTTGAAAATTTATTTTAAAGGAATAGTTCATCCAAAAATGAAAATTTGCCAAAAATGTGCCATCTAGGATGTAAACAAGTTAGTTTTTTCATTGGAACAGATTTGGATAAATTTAGCATTACAACACCAATGCACGCTAACCAGTGGATCCTCTGCAGTGAATGGTTGCTGATAACAACATCAACAGTAATCCTGAAGACGTGTCCAAGTAGCATCAGATGATATATGTCTAAACAACTACCACACTGAGTGTATATTAGCATTGCTTGTTGTTTTCTTGTGGAATCCGAGAGCGATTGGACCCGGAAGCAGTGACCTGTGACGTCAGACTGAACAAGCGGATTGTCAAGTGAAAAGCTGCCAGTTTGTAATCAAATCCATCATTAAGGTATTTTAAATTTAAATGGTCGCTGCCAAAACACAACTCCAGAATTCATAACAATGCTTCCTTCAGTGCAAAAAAAGTCCATCCCCTGTTGTCCTCACACATCAAAATTCACCAACAGATTTGTTTACAACTGTTCTGGAATGTTTTAGCTTATAAATGGTGCTTGATCTGTGAACAATTCTCTCCTGATTCAGACGAGAGACACCCTTTAAAAGTTTGAAGTTTAAAAATGTCTTGATGCATTTATTACAGACATGCTTTACATCTCACAAAACCTTAATTAATGGACCGGAGTCATGTGGATTACTTTTGTCAGCTATTTGAACTCTCATTCTGATGGCACCCATTCACCGCAGAGGATCTATTGGTGAGCAAGTGATGTAATGCTAAATTTAAAAAAAAAATTGTCCTCTTCCATGGCCTGAGGGTGAGTAAATTTTCAGCAAATTTAAATTTTTGGGCCAACTATTCTCTAAAAAAAAAAATACTGATTTGTGAAAATAATGATTAAGAACTGCACATATTCAATGTCTAAAGAAAAAAAGGTCATTATTTTCTATGATTACCATTAAATTTAAACGTTTTCTTAAAATTATATAAAAAAAAATCAAAATCATGAAACAAACATGAATACTAAGGAATTTCTAGGAACTTGATGTTTTTTTAAACTAGATTTTTAAGACTTTTCCTTTTGTTTGTTAATTGCTTATCAGCTTCACTAAAGAAACGCTTTATATTGTGCATGAAAATTTCATAAGTCAACTCACTGTAACTGATAGACCGTGTTATTTTCGACCACACTGTGAACTTCAAATTGCCCAGGTATTGTGCAGTATCAATAAGCCCTCCTCGAACGGTTTCTGGTTCTTGGTTCATGTCCTGGGCTCTGGAAGTACATTCAGAGGTCAGCACTGCTTAACTTCAATACTGAGGGGAAAAAAAAATAACGGGAGTAAACTTGCTCACCTCTCCAATATGTCCTTGAAGCTCTATTGAAAATGTAGGAAATATGAAAAATTAATAAAGACTGAACAGCATAGCCTACATCGTTTAGGTTTTTTTTTTTTGTAGAAAAATTACCAAATATATAATTGGAATATGTAGATTATTTTCATGCTTTTACTATTTATCACAGGTTGTTGTCTTGCTGTACCTTTTAAAGTTACATAGAATTAAATCAAGAAAAAAAACGACAAACAGAAGAAAGAATAAAAGGCTAACCTGAAGAAACTGGACATCCCCACTATCAAATTTAGCTCTCAGTTCTCTTATGGTTCTTGACAGAGATAATATTTCTTCAGTCATCTTCTCAATTTTGTCTTTCATGAGCTGTGTTTTCTGCATCTTTTCCTCGTTCAGTGCAGCAAGCATGGCTTTTTCTTCATCATACAGAAGCTGGTGAAGATGTTTAAAGTCCTTCTTGATGACATTCTCTGTGTGCCAGACCTGGTGCTAAACACCAAACACACATAAAAAATATAATTATATAATGTAATACAGGTGTTATATAAGGTCATTCTCAGGAATAATAAAAAAGTATAACTCCTAAATCAAACTCATCCATCCTCCTCACACATATGTGCTCAGCCTGGTGACTGCATTCGAATTTGTCATGTTGTATAATCTTCATTTTTCTAGTCAAGAGATCAAGCTCACTGCTAAAAACTCTCTAAAATTAAGAAAACACGAGTGAGTTAGAATATTAAATATGCCAAAACTGATTAAGGTCACTAAACATCACCAGTATGCGTACCTTCCGTTCCTCAGCGATCTCAGTGAGAGGACGGCACGCGTGATTTCTGTGTTGGTGTGACTCTCTGCAAACCACACACATGAGCTCTTCATCATGCAGACAGAACAGACTCAGTCTCTCCCGGTGAACCTCGCACAGCTCCTCTGAAGGGCCCCGGTAATTCAGGAAAGCGAGACTCAAGTTTTTCAGAGCCAAGTTTACCGGAGGGTTCTTGTTGGATCTTTTTCGACACAGCGGACATTCTCTTGAAACTTTGGTCTTCCAGTACTGCTGGATACAGTCTCTACACACACTGTGGCCACACTGAAGCAACACGGGATCGCTGAAAATGTCACAGCAAACAGGACACGCAAAATCCTCTTCAGAAAAGGGACGTTTCGACGCCATTTCTTCCTGTTCAATAAATCACCCACTGATTAGATCAAAGCGCTTGCGCCAGCAAATACAGCTGATTCGTTACTCACAAAAATCATCTACAATTTGGAACTAACTTTCGCTTTCTTTTTCATCTCCAGTGTGACTAATTTCAGATGCACTGTACACTTTCATTTTCAATTTTAATGATATTCGCTTTGAGAGTTTGACGTGTCAGTCACTTGACATTGGGACATAAGCCAAAACAAACACTAATTCATTTGCATCAAAAGCGAAATAAAGAAACACAGTTATATAAACAAAAAGAGACTTTCGAAATAAATTAATGTAGGCCATTTTTGGCGTTAATCGTTTCATGCGTGTACGGAAGAGAACTCACTTTCGAAACTGCGGTCATAACACCATATAACTTTCTGTAGTCTCGCGTTTCTGACATTTTTAACCTAAATATTACAGCGACCAAAGAGTCGTTATGTTCGGCGATTTGAACTAAACCACCAGAGTCATCATGTTCTGTTTTTGTTGGTAAGGTTATTTCGCAGAGTAATGTCTTAAACGGTTGCCATGTTCACACATAATAATCTTTGGGTTTGTTGTTTGAGCTCATATATCGATCCAATTAATGCAGTCAATAAAGTAGGCAGGTGTCACAAGTTACTCTTGTCACTCCCGTAAATTACTGAACTGTGTGTGTACATAACAGGATTAAGCAAAAAAAATAAATAAAATAATATGTCTTGACAGCCGAATTTACTTTAATGTGTATGTGGCCTAAAGATTTCACTGGTCATGTCAGTCATGTCTTCACAACAAAGTATGAAAAAATACTGTGATTAATTAAACAAGCGAATGACCCCCAAACGTAATATATATTAAATTCAGTGGGAATATTAAGGTCAGTTTCTTTGGGGGTGGGGAGGTCCTGTAGCAAATTTTACACAATGATTACAAAATTTGTCTCATTTTTAAAAAGGTTTTTATTTAATGAAAAATTAGCCTTTTTAAAGGAACTATCATTTTTAAGCTTTTTTCCTTCTGGGGCCTGAAATGGAGGAATTTTCGTCAATATTGATAATTAAACAATATTTTGCTGGATATGTTTTAGTGCTGGCACCATGGTTGGTTTAGGCCTGTCATGGAGAAATAAATATGACCACCAATTGGTGGCAGCAAGTCCCTGTTTTAATAGCCTAAATGACTTATTGAATCATTCAAATCAAACAATTCGTTCAAAAAAAAATTTTTTTATAACAAAAAAAAAATTTTTGGCTCTGTATGCCACCAGAATATAATTAAAATGAAACAATCGAGGGGTTGAACAAAAATATAACATAAAATGCTTAGGAATTACAACCATTTTTGTACACAGTCCCCCCCATTTTCAGGGGCTCAAATGTAATTGGACAAATAAATATAATCATAAATAAAATGTTCATTTTTAATATTTAGTTGCGAATCCTTTGCAGGCAATGACTGCCTTATGTCTAGAAGTCATGGACATCACCAGAGACTGGGTTTCCTCCTTTGTGATGTTTTGCCAGGCCTTTACTGCAGCTGACTTCAGTTGTTGTTTGTTTGTGGGTATTTCTGCCTTTAGTTTTGTCTTTAACAAGTGGAATGCATGCTCAATCGGGTTGAAATCAGGAGACTGACTTGGCCATTGCAGAATATTCCACTTTTTTATCTTCAAAAACTCCTGGGTTGCTTTTGCTGTATGATTTGGGTCAAGCGCTGCCCAATCAACTTTGCTGCATTTGGCTGATGGGCAGACAGTATATTCCTGTACACTTCAGAATTCTTCCGGCTGCTTCTGTCCTCTGTCACATAATCAATAAACACCAGTCACCCAGTGCCACTGGAAGCCATGCATGCAAAGCAACGTTTCACAGATGATGTTGCATGCTTTGGATCATGAGCTGTTCCAAGCCTTCTCCATACTTTTGCATGAGCTTGCTTTGACTGCATGATGTGGATTCACAGCAACAGCTTCCAAATGCAAATGGCACACTTAGATTCAACTCCAGACCTTTTACCTGCTTAATTGATGTAGAAATAATGAAGGAATAGCCCACATCTGTCCACGGTCAACAGATGAAATAATAAAAATTGTGCCGGTGTCCAAATATATATGGACCTAATTGTGTGTGTGTGTATATATATATATATATATATATATATATATATATAAAACTGAGAACAGTCAATTTACTCTTTCTCCAGTTGTTATATACTGTATTTCCACCTTTCTTCTAAATGCATCTGAAATTTCTGCCTCACTTTGTTCAGTTCAAAGGTAGAACAATGCAATAACTCAAATATATAGAAATACATAACGAATAGTTTCAAATTCCATTTTAATTTCAGATGCGTGTCAACTAAAAATAGACAGGGGTGCACATCATAATACATCAATCATGAACTGAAACATTGATCATGTCCTTCCAGAGGAGAAAATATGACAAGATGTGGTTTTGTTATGACTAAGATTATTTTAAATCAGTTCTTGTATTCTCAGTCCATATGTATTGAAAGACATTGGTGGACATGGATTGAGGTAAAAAGCCATAAAAAAACATTAACATGCTCTGAATGCAACATGTTAGAGCAGCAGTCTAAAAAACTAATTCCCAACAGATGAAATAAATGTGCCCACGTCATCTAACATTATCGGTCAATGCATTTAGAGCACTGAAAGACAAAATATTGTTGTTTGGAAAAGAAATATTCATGTCAGCACATCAGCCTGGCAAATAAGTATTTTAACTTTATATACAAAACAACCTGAACCTCAGGTTTTAAACATTTTGGAGCCAGTGTACACACAAATTATCAACTCAAAAATGTCCCATTATTGCACATACAATTTATATCTGTTCAAAACCCCCCACCCCCATCTTTGTACTTAGTGAGCAATTCTTTTACAAGCTTCAATATGTAATCAGTACAATCATGAACAAGACATGTGAAATGAGACAATGCTGTGAAACTACATTGTGGGCAATGATGCAACAGACCAGCTTTGTAAGATTCTAGTCAGATCGCAGAATTTACCACTACACCATCATTATCAATAATGTTATGACAATGCATAAAGTACAGTACACACTGCAGGTGACATCAATTATTTACACACAGCTTGTGACATTCTATGTGCTACTTTTAAACATTCTGTTAAAAATGGCCATATACACACAGCAAAGTTTTGGGAGTGACAACCATATACAAGTGTGGGTGTGAATCGCCTAAATAATTGTTCTGTGTGTGTACATAAAACAAGAGTCACTACTGAGACTGCCACAGTAATAATCATAATAATAAAGTAATAATATCTCTGCTGTAAACATGAAATATGGAACAGTTTATCCTGTTTGGTGTTTGATATTTAAAAATGAAGCATCAGATATGCCTTAAAGGAACACTCCAATATTTTTGAAAATATAGGCTCATTTTCCAACTCCCCTAGAGTTAAACAGTTGAATTTTACAGTTTTCGAATCCATTCAGCCGATCTCCGGGTCTGGCGGTAGCACTTTTAGCTTAGCTTAGCATAGGTCATTGAATCTGATTAGACCATTAGCATCTTGCTCAAAAATGACCAAAGAGTTTCGATATTTTTACTTTTTAAAACTCTTCTGTAGTTACATTGGGTACTAAAACCGACGGAAAATGAAAAGTTGCGATTTTCTAGGCCGATATGGCTAGGAACTATATTCTCATTCCGGCGTAATAATCAAGGAACTTTGCTGCCGTACCATGGCTGTACCATGTAACTACAGAAGAGTCAAGTTTTAAATAGGAAAAATATCGAAACTCTTTGGTCATTTTTGAGCAAGATGCTAATGGTCTAATCAGATTCAATGACCTATGCTAAGCTAAGCTAAAAGTGCTACCGCCAGACCCGGAGATCGGCTGAATGGATTCGAAAACGGTAAAACTCAACTGTTTAACTCCAGGGGTGTTAGAAAATTAGCCTATTTTCAAAAATAGTGGAGTGTTCCTTTAAAAGAGGAGTGAATCCATATTTAGCTGCAGTGTGTATGTGGCCAATGTGAAGCGTAGTGTGGAATGATCCAGATCTTTTGCTGAGCTGGTGATTGAGATGATAGGAAGTTCCGCTGATAATGTTAAACAATATAGTGTCAGAAATCATCACTTTGCTTCAATGTAAGTTGATCAGACAGTGAGATCTTAATCTTTGGGACTGTACTGATCAGCATGTAGTCTTGTTCTAGTATATTGCAACTCTATCAGAGTGCAAAGTCCAGAGTTCTTGCTCTTCCATCATTTTAAATAAAGCTTTAGAAATGTTTTTGAGTGGTACTGTGGCCCAGCTCACAGATCGCAGTCCAGTGTGAGAGCTGTAGTTTATTTACAGGCTTGGATCTGTAGACTTCTACAAAGATACTGAAAACCTTCGGCCACAGCTCCTCCACTCTCTTCATGGTGATTCATCATCCCATGACCTCTGTATTCATACTTGTCATCTGTTCTGCTCTCACGCGTCTGTGGATTTTTCTGCGGTCAGCTGCTTGCGGTCCGACACGTCGTCATCTTTGGGTGGCCGCGCTCGGTCGAAGAAGCCACACTGAAGAAGGAGAGCAGGTGGGACGAGACGGGTGAGGAAAAGAAAAAAAATACAAAGAACAGATGACGAGAATATGATTCCTGGGATAACAGACATTATTCAATTCTTCCGATGTTTTGTCTTCTAAAACACTTGCACAGATGTGCTCTCAGAGGCTGAAAACAATGGCCCATTTAAGACCTGAGATTCACTCAGAGGACTGCAATCAGATCTATTTATGGATATGCGGATTATACAGATATCATTTCCTTTAAAATTAGAAGTATATTGTGATAAGCAGAAGGCCAGTAATCATAATAAGAACTTCCTTTGGTTTCTATATGAGCAGCTAACATAAGTGAATGCACCTAATTATTATACATGCAGTTTTTATGATTTCATAATATATGTATATATATTATATCATAATACTATCATTAATCATAACATCATAACTCATAACACACAAAATCAAATTTAAACCTGGAAATGAATGGAAAATAAATAAAAATTAACATATTACTATATACACAAAATGCACATTTTATTTACATTTTCCAAAAATGTGCTGATATATAAATAAAAAAACACACATTTTACACTTATATATATATATATATATATATATATATATGTTATATTTAATCAACATTTTTAAATATATATATATATATATATATATATATATATATATATATATAAATGTTGATTAAAAAAGTTCAGTAACACTTTGTCAACAACCCATTTCACCACAAGAGGGGGCCATTATATTGTATTCTCAGTAGGACGCTTACATGTTTTCTTCACTTTTCTAATCCATTTTATGCCACACTATCTATAAAACTTATAATAGCCTGTTACTAGGCTAAAAAAAACTAAAATCTGAAGCCACAGCTGCTCTAAAAACTCCCTCGTAGCATCTGATTGATATTTTGCTCTTGTGCACCCACGCACACCCGTCACTCTTCAGTGTGTTTAGTGCATATGTGTGTGTTTGTACACGTTAGCCAATTAGGGCATGTCTCCTCCATAGGGACCCAATCAAGAGCCTGAGAACAGCCCTGCAGACAAAACACTGATAACATCACAAATGGCTCATTAATGCCCAACTGCAACAGCACTCCCTATCTCTCTCTGCTTTATCTGTTAATCTGATTTGCCAATTTTCATCAAGTTCTTCAATGTCCCCCAAACCTCTTTTCACTTCACTTCCTCCACCATCTCCTTCTCTCACGCTATCTCTAACAGCCATCTCTTTCTCTACCCCCTGAAGTTCCTTTGTTTTGGTATTTCACTGAAGCAAAGACAGACGCATTTAGCTGTTCTTGAAGACTAATGCACTCTTGAGAGCATGTATTTCCTCTGTCAACCAGAATCAACAGAAAAGCCATATTAAGTGCATTTACATGAACTTTTAAAATTCATTATTATCAGTTTTGTGACTGATGATTACTGTATTCAAAACAGCATCACGTTTAGAGCCGATGGAGGTCAGTGTGAGACTGTGTGTGTGTGTGTGTGTGTATTAAGTCGACCTACCTTCCACATTGCTAGGCTAAGCATAGCCAGCACCAGCAGTCCCAGCATTATAGCCAGAATTATTACCCACAGGGGAATGGCAAAAGAAACGTCAGGAATGGCCCACACCACAAATGTGCCAATCTAAAAAACACAAGCGCACACAAACAGAGGTCATTAATTTTTTACAAGCACTGATGTAGCTATGATATTAGCATGCATAAATCAGTTTGATAGCTTACTTTCTCTTATCGCCTCTCATCTCTTTGTCTCATTTAACAACTAAATGGAACAGAAGCTCCTTCAGAAAGCTTTGTTTATTATTATTATTTCATTTCCTTTCTCTTATGTCAGTTTTAGCACACAGACACAGACACACACACACACACACACACACACACACACACACACACACAGAGGAAAGTGTGGGTATTATGTATTGTGTATAGCACTCAGCTTAGAAGCCCTAATGTTGTTAATGCACAAAGAGCCTTACAAACAATACTGTGGTGATAACAGCATACAGTAATCATATCATTGTATTTAAATGGTACTCCAATGTATTTCAAAGAATAACATGGTACGTGTCCAAAATACCACGTAAGTACTATGGTAATATGTCCCATTTTAAAATGTAATTTATTCCTGTGATGGTAAATCGGAATCTTAAGTAGCTATTACTAGTCTTTATCCTTCAGAAAGGATTCTAATATATTTTTGGATTTCTTTGATAAATAGAAAGTTCAAAAGAACAGCATCTATTTAGCATTTATTTTGAATAATAAAAAAAACTGATCCCAACTTTTTAACTGTAGTGTACATTCCAAAACATTGAATCTTGGTAGGATTCTAATATATTTTTGGATTTCTTTGATAAATAGAAAGTTCAAAAGAACAGCATCTATTTAGCATTTATTTTGAATAATAAAAAAAAACTGATCCCAACTTTTTAACTGTAGTGTACATTCCAAAACATTGAATCTTGGAGCTCTTGTGGAAACAAGAGTTCAAATCTGATTCGTAACATTTCCTGATTTTGCTCCTGATGATTTTCTATATTCTCCACTCTCTTCTAAATATGAAAAACTGCCAGACAGCAAAAAATAGGAATGTTAGAAACTTCCATGCTTCAAACTAATCCATAATCTCCATTTACCTTCCTTATCGAAGCTAAACAGACTGAACTCAGTGGCGTTTAGTCTATCTTAACACTCAGTTGAGAATATATTTTTCTCTTCTAATCCACATGTTCTCTTTTCCTTTGTTGTTTTCCACTTTTCTCAATCTGCACCCACACAAACACACTAGATTACTCACTGATTTGCTCTGGTGTGGGAGTGAATCAGCTTTGATCCGATAAGGCATGGCCATCACTTGAAAGGACACTGTGGAGTTTAGCGTGTAGTGGTCATTCCGTCTCTGCCAGAGGAAAGCAATGGATTAGCGTAAATACAACACACATGGAAACATCTCGGAGCGAGCAGGATAGAGGCCGGCCCCTTGCAGAAGAGGAAAATGTCAGATTAACATTAACAGAACGCACATGGCGGGTGTCTGAAAGGGCGCTGAGTTGTAATGGCTTCAGCATGGATGAGGCTTAGCGAGAAGCAGTGGTCAAAAGAGCAGCAAAACAAAAACTTAATGTACTTCCTGCACACTAGGATCACTCACACACACACGCATAGATCACTACTGTCCTGCAGACACACTAGTGTACGTGCTCTCATACATGTGTCTGGTTTCTGTGGACGTTCCTCTGGACATGAGATGAAAGGCATTTTGTTCTGACGATGTCAGGGTTTATGACGTCACTTGACTGAGGTGTTTAAGATGTCTAACTAGACTGGTGATGTCATCTCCTGTGACACTAACCTACCATCTGAGGGTGACACAACACTTTGTTGAGTTCAGAAAGAAGGAAAGGTGGCCATAAACACCACGTTTTGACTCAAAAATTAACATATTAATTTCATGTTATAATTTACTCACCCACGTGTTGTTCCAAACCTGTAGGATTTAGGAGTTCCTACACTTCACTGTCTGCACTCCCATTGGAAGTTTCCAAATTATGTCGTTGTGCATTTGCATAAAGCTGAACTCTGCTCAACTTTGTTGCATCGGCCGCAGTCACTCATGTCACCTCAAATAGCCAACCCTCATTGAAAATGAATTACTGCTGGTCAGTTTGTTGCTGCAAATCACAGTCAGTGTAAACCCAGCTTAATAAGAGCCTTTGATCATACAGTGATTTAAGAAGTGAAAATCACCAGCTGGACTTTACAGAGATATCGTGAAGATAACATTTGAAAACACTGACAGTTTGTGAATGTTTATACACTACAGTAGATTCCATGCTGCATCCTTCTCTGTAAGCACACACACTGTATCCAGCAGATGTTGTGCTTTGGATGCTGCTTTTCCCAAGCAGGTTTCGCAGATGAACAGTTCACCCAAAAATTATTCGCACTCATGTCATTCCGAACTGTATGACTTTCTTTCTTTGGAATGGAAAATAACATATTTTGAAGAATGTTTTGGAGTTCCATTTTCTTTTTCTCTTCTTCTTTTTTTTGTGTTATTTTGGACCCAATGACACATTGTTTGACTTTATTTTTAAACAATGAAAAACCTGTATGCATCTTTTTTCTTCTGTGGAACACAAACGATATTTTGAAGAACTTTGGGATATTATTTATACATAAAAAAGAAAGTTATAAAGTTTTTTGAATGACATGATGAGTAAATGATTACTCAGAGTTTTCATTTTTGAGTGAACTATCCCTTTAACAAGGCTAACCAACAAAACTTCCTTGGTCAATTAGCAGGAAATGCAAGGATATTTGTGTGATAAAAGTACCTGTAAGAAGGTGTGAGCCCAGAGTCGAGATCTGAACTTGATCACTGCGCTTTGCCCTCGATCCAAGCGATCCACAACACACTCCACCATCAGGCAGTTGATATTTGAGCAATTCTATCACAAACACACACAATGAGAGAAAAAGTGAAGAACGAGCCTGAGATCTGTTTTTATCTTATATCTTTCTTCATTAAAAATGTAGGATTGAACATCTAAGTAAAACCTAGAAATTTTGAGTCATAAAATTAAGAATTTTTCGTTTCAAACTGTTCTTTTGCTGATAATACTGTTTGTAATAATAACAAAGTGCTGAGTTAGAAAGTGTAAAATCTAAGCTTTTTCACCTTGTTGAACCTCTGTAGATGTGCTGTGTCGTGAAAGCCTCACCTTGGTTTTGAATGATTTGTTGTAGTCACATTTAAAGAGATGAGTGATGGTGTGTATGTATGAAGAATCTATGTCAACTGTTTGTGTATGTGCATAGGACATGACCTCTGCCCTGTCTTATCTCAATGCCTGAGGTGTGATGGACTATGATTATCAAAACCAGCTGGTTCATCCACACACACACACAAACCCCCTAAAGAGACACTTTGAGAGAGCAAGAAAATAAGCATAATATGAATGACCTGTTATGAGATTTACAGGTGAACTCAGCCTTTGAGGTCAACACGGGTCCCCATAACACGTCAAGTTCAACATAAGAGCCCATCTGTCACATATATGAGGCTGTTCCCACAGGGTGGGCAGCCATGCGCTTCAGGTGGCTTGTGTGAGAGTTTGTGGTACTGGTGTGTGTGAGTGTGTTTACCAGTACCTTGCTGTTGTAACTCTGGGCTGTAGAAACAGATCGTCTATGGCGAGTCGGAGTGCTGCTGTTCCTCAGAAAGCCCAGTAATTCTGGAGTGTCCTGAAGAGTGGAGGTCTAAGTGTGCAGGAGAAGGACAGAGATAGGAGAGGAATTAAAAAATTAGATGTACATTAGTTTATAAAAGTAGTTATAGTTTTTAGTAATTTTGGTGCTTAAACTTTCTTATTTCATTCAGTTTCTAATGCAGCATTTGCAATTTGGTTTTCTAATTTTCTATATTTCGTTTACTTCAATGATCAATTCTTTAATAGCTAATAGTTTTAATAGCTCAGGTATATATATTAGGGGTGTAATGTTTCACAAAATTCACAGTTTGGTTTGATACGACACAGTGGTGTCACAGTTCAATATGTTTTTAATACAGGTGGTGGGGGGTAATTGTTTACGTCGCAATGTTGGAAATATAAAAAATAACTTGTTTGGACTACAACGCATATTTTCCGGGATTTGTGATATCACAAATATCGACGAATGGGACGAGACCTGGTTGAGCTGCACTAGAGAAGGCAACGAGTGTTATCACTATGTTGGAGACACGCTAGCTTTCCCAAGGCAGATGAACTTAGAGTGGTTACAATCATCCGGGTTTAAATCGTGCTCAAATTTATTAGATTTTGATGCAATATTTACACTGAAGCTCGCAGGTGGCTATGGTAAGGGGCGTGACATTTCACGACCAGGCGCCGAGTGCTGCCAATCACAACAACACTGGCCCAGCTAACCAATCACAACACACACTGGCCCAGCTAACCAATCACAACAACACTGGCCCAGCTAACCAATCACAGCACATTTCGTATTTCAGAAGGCGGGCCTTCATTTGATACAGGAACTATTCGAGCTGTTCATGCCAGACTGGGGAGAGAGGTGTTGTAATAATGTAAAATATGTGAAAAATAATGTGTTTTTCGAACAACCTAGTATGAGAGCCTGTTCTAGTACACCCCCAAAACAAAATCAAGACTTTGTAAAAGAGCATAATAGGACTCCTTTAAAAAATATTTTAATTGAGGAGTAAATAGCCTAATCTTTTGCTATGTAATACTACCGCATCAGTTAAATGCGGTAATATTGCGGGGCAAATTAATTGTAATTTTAATTTAATAATAAAAGAAACTTCAAAATAATAATAGGCCTAATTAAAAAAGAATGTAACAGGCCTACACTATTTGGAAATGCCAAATACTCTTAATATTGCCAATAATTGATGTTTTTGACAACATCTCTGTCTATTGTCGAATGTCGATACAAGATCATCGTCTTTCGACACAACCCAGCAAGGGGAGGTTATCGCGGGTTATATATTTGGACTGCCTTGTTGAGCGCAGTGGCACTGAGAACATTATATTTCACACAATTTAAGCCCTTTTATTTTCCAAATGTAATAGGATTAGTCCGGTTTGTAATGCGTACTGAACCAAAAGCCTGGTACCGTACGGTTCAATACGAATACGTGTATAATTACACCCTTTACATAATTCCTTGTGTATATGTCACAAGGAAGGAAAAATAAGCACTTACTAAATATTTCTTACTTCTTTCAGTTTTTCCATTTTTATTCTAGTGTTTGTCACTGTGTGAATATGGCCAGAGAGGCAGACACAAACTTCTCGGCCAAAACTCTGGGCCAAATCGCTCTCTTGTAAAGTTCACAGGAAAAGAGCTCTAATATCAGTCCAGGTGGTTAAAATTCTGAACTCGGCGTGAATGCAGATCAGTTACAAGGCACAGAGACTTCATGAGGACGTTGTGACGTTTCATAATGACTGCACATGAAATCTGAACAGCGATAATAAAGTCCAGTCAAGAGAGCAGAGAGGTCAGAATCAGTCCAACACTCTGATCAAAAACAAGCAGGACTCAGCAGTCATAGTTTTACATTTATTTGAGGCTCATTAGTAAAAGCACAGAAACCTGAGATTTATGACAGCAAGGAACACATACAAGAGAGAAAGATGTGATGCAGATGGAGAACGAAACACTAGTTCAAATAACTTGCTCTGTTGTGTCTGAGGAAAGATCTGGTCAGGGGCTCAACTTCACTGAAGCATTGTTAAAAAAAAACCTGTGAATGTGGACACTTTCTTCTTGCATCGGATCTCTTTAAGAAGGACACTCTCAAGGAGAAAAAAAAACAGGATAGAGAAGAAAGAGTTTGTGTGCATGTGCTACCTCTAACTTCAGCGGGTTTAGGGAGCCGTTGACACTGCAGTGAACAGGACCGTCAGTGATGATCTGGAGGGCATAAAGGAGGTGTTCCTCACGGTACTGACTGGGCCAGCCCACCTCCAACACAGTCCTGCTTATTGAACTCGGACCCTTATTATGTAACTGGGAAGAGGGAGAGAAATACAAAAAGAGATTAACAACAAAATCAGCATAAACTGAATTAATTTAAATCTATTAAAAATATATTCAAGTTGTTCCCTTATAAACACTTATAGTGGTATGCAAATTATGGCCAATACTAATAGGCCGATAATTGTTTTCATGTTATAGCCAATAACCGATAAATGGCTATTAACATACCATGCTGTGTATTAAATAAAAAAACTAATTTGCTAAAATAAAACTATGTACATTTTCATAAGGAGTGCTGTTGATGCCAAATAAATTCATATGAATCATCAGATTTTTATTTAATATAGAAGAATGTACAAGAACTGATAAATATTTAATCAAACACTCTGGGCTAGCATTAGCAGTTGGATCAAACATGAGCTGAAGCTGCTTCTAACATAAACCATCTGTACAGCGTCTGGCCAACATTACAACCAATTAAAAAATGAATAGCCGCAGGACAGATGGCGTTTAGTGAGGCCCTCTTGCAGCAAAAAGAGGTCAAGAGTCTCCACAAAAACAAACAACAAATAAATAGCTTTCCAGAAGTTGGTTTTTGCTAGCTGAATGCACTACACCCTATTGGGAAAGTTTATTGTGGTAAGCGTACCAGATTTCTTATTGCAGATTAGTGTTTGATTTTACTGTTGGAGAGATAATTGGGTTGTTGTTAAAAATAATATTGAGCCATTAAATTATACTGTCTTTCAGATAAAAATAAATAAATGGACTCACACTCAGTGTGTTCAGTATATGTTAATAAGTTATGTTGATAAGCTTTGGCATGACTTGTATGTTTATGTTCTTTGTGTATGTGTGTAAGTTAGTGGATCCCTTTGATTGCACCACAGTTTTGAATATTTGCGGTTTACTGGCCATTTAACAGAGCCCTCTCTCTTCTTCTATTCCCGTGTTTGAATCACTCCATGTTTGTCATTTGTTTTGTGTCTGTTTATTCCGTACCTCATAAATGTGTTGAACCTGAGGGCCGACGTCATCCTCTCTTACAGGTTTCTCTTTGGGTTCCCATCGAGGGAAAGGTAAAACAACCTGAGCTGGGTGAGACACACTAAGGAAAAAAGAGGATGAATTTCATTTTAAGTAGGTACAGTAAGATGCAAAAAATAGCATATACAGCCAATAAACACCATTCAAACCTGTTTTAATTTTGTAATGTGACAAGTTTTCAAATGAAACAAACTGAATGAGAATTTTTTTTTGACTTGAGTGAAAGTAAGAGATAACACTGATTATTGGCTAATACATTATCTATAACCTCATAAAAAACAGAAGTTAGTTTTATTTTCTATCAAATGACTTAATTATTATGCACTTTGACCTTCTGCCAAGAAAATATTTTACATGAACAGAAGTGTTTGGTAATCAGTAGTTACAGGGTCTAGAATAACCTCTCTAGATCCCTCAGAATAGGCAAACAGTGGCAGTCTGGGTTCTTTTATTGAAATTGGACTGAAACTGCTCATTTTCCACTCGTTGAGACAGAGAGACAGATAAAGAGAGATACCCACCCTCTGATCTCCACCTGTGCTCTCGCTGCAATGCTCAGAGTCAAATTCACTGGAACGCTTCTTGAGTTGTCCTTATTAGAGCTGTTCAGAGAAACAACAAATATATTGTTCATTTATTATTACTATAAACATGATTTTAATGATACATTATCAAGGTAACATTCTGATTTAAAATAAAGTGTCACTAAAATAGAGTTATGTAGTGTTTACTATGAGACAGTAAGGCTCTGTAGGCCACAGTGTCTCAGACTATTGAACAGTTCCATGTGTGAGCCTGAGGCTGGGAGCATCTGTGTTCTGTGAACGTGTTTGAATGCGAAGATGAGAGGATGAAGAGTGAACAATGCTGTTTTCATCAGTGTGTCGTTGTCCTAGAGTTCCCAGAGTCAACTGTCTGGTCAGTCATTGTGAAGTGAAAATCAGAGTATCCCCACCAGCCACACACATACAGTACATAAGTACATCAGACAACCCTCATTTGATAGAGTATGTCACCACAATGAATGCAAATACTATACAAGTGAAAGTCCGCTCGGGGATTGTGGACAAACACAACTGATGAATTTTATGTGTGTTGCCACTCTTTCATTTGTGACGATGCACAAAAAGAAAGTCCTTTCTAAAGTCCTATTGGAAGTATGTTTACCAATTTTCCAACATGTGACATGAAAAAGTAATATAACTATAACATAATTAAACACTGTACTGTATTTCATGGACCTCTTTTTGGCCTTTTAGGTCACGCAATTTCATATTCTGTCCTAATATATCTGCCATTGGCACACAACTAATTAAATGTCACTTTAATAACTGTGCAGCTGTTAAAAACATATAAGTAAATTGTAAAAGTGAAAATATATAATTCTCGGAAATCTAGGAAGTGGAAGGAGAAACACAGAAAAAAAATGTAAGGTCTGACAATTGTACCTTTGATCTTGTGGAATAACTGGGGCTCATAAAAAACAATATATTTACTATATGCCATAAAATTCACTGTGTGACTGAAAGGAACAATGAGACTGCAGAATCTTTGAAGTCTTGTAAGATTTTCTTTCGTTCATTCAGGTCTAAAAGTCTTATGAAATACTAAATCTTGAGTCAGGAAATGTGATACCTTGATTCCAGCATCGACATTTCCATCCTGAGAATCAGAACCCAAGCAATATAAAATAAACTCCAAATTATTTATAAAGTAGAACAAGAACAATATATAAATTCTATAGTTTAAATTATATATTAAAAGTTTGGAGTCAGCTGAACTTTTACTCAGCAAGGACACACTAAATTGATTAAAAGTAACTGTATTATACATAGTGTATATATTTATAATGTTACAAGATATATATATATATATATATATTTTTTTTTTTATTATTTTTTATTTAAATGATATAAATGTATATTAAGATCATGTGATGCTGAAGAAAGACTGGAATAATGATGCTGAAAATTTAGCTTTGCCATCACATGAATAAATTAATATATATATTTTTTGATTAAATAAACACAGCCTTGGCAAGTATAAGAGATGTCTTCAAATAATAATTACATAAATACCTTTAAAAGTAAAAAATAAAAAGCCATTACTACCAACCATCTGAGCCACAGCTTGAAAAGACTTGAAAGACAAAACAATCTTTCTTGCTGCATGACACCTGGCTTTCATCTCTCTGTATCTGTAGTTTTCTCTCCTCCTTCTCTGTCTTTCACTCTTATTCTGTCTCAAGGTGAAAAATCAGAGTGGGCAGAGGAACATGTGGCTAACATTAGTCACCAGAAAATTTTTATATCCTCTAGAGACGCACATACCGAAACAGATAAGACACACAGCACAAATGCATTCATACAGCACACACACTTAAGTGCAAACATATTACATGTGCACGCTCACATGTGCAGGCAAACACACATACACACCCTCAGACTCACCCTCCTGTTTGACCTAACCTTGCTCTGAGTTATGGAGAGACTTTAGGTTTCAGTGATTAAACCCTTAGGGAAATATCCCTCCTCTGAGAGCAGCCTGGCAGTCATCTCAACACCCCAAAACTAACATGTGCACATTAAACCTCCCCATGCGTATGTGTGAGTAACACAGTGAGGAGTATTATTATAACAAATACACTTCACCCCTGAGCTTAACAGAACATGGCCAAGGACATGTAAACCAAGTGGGGAGTTCTGTGAAATACACAATATAATGATATGCAAAACTTCAAAACCGACAAATCAGGTTCACATGTTCTTAAGAAAGATTTTTATCATTTATATTACAAAATGTATATTATAAAATATATGCTGCCTCGTGCCTATAGCTGAATCACAGCTGAATTACAAAAATTACAAAACAAATGTAATTGGAATGTCACAGTTACTGAGAAAAATTGTGTAATTAACTTACACAAGCTACAGTAACACCTTATTTTAAGGTGTCCTTGTTACACGTTACATGTACTTACTATTATAATAACTATAAATTATGCATAATTACATGCAAGTAATCCTAAAACAAACCCTAATCCTAACCATATAGTAAGTACATGTAGTACGAGAAGGTGATTTGCGCTCTATTAACTTGGTCTGTTACGATGCTCTATGTGTTTGATTACTAATGCCTCTGTAGTACGAAGCTGCACACAGAGGACAAAAACGTTCAGCCTCGACTCTTTATCGTCATTAGTGTTAAAATTTGCAAAGCCTACCAAATCGAACAAAACAATATACAGTAAATGCAAAATTTGAATTCATGAATATATAACGTATCCACGGTATAGCAAAATCCATATCATGGAACAACATAACACTGGTAGTCTCTTTCATACCGGTATAGTGCCCACCCCTATTTAAATGTATAATTACACTGTAACAAAGACACCTTAAAATAAAGTGTAACCACAGTTACTTATGAAAATGTTAATAACTACAAAGGAGGTTACATCTGAATATTTTCACACACATACAGATTTGATTGATTTCTTTCCCATATTGCATTGACTGCTCTAAAATATGAGACACCAATGTTTGAGGAGTTTAGGACAAAGAATAGGACACATGCTATAACTGTTTTAATTCCTATTTGGTTTTATGTATAAACTTTATTTTTCAAGATTAATAGTTTTTTCTAAAGCATTGTTAGATGCCAGTATTTCCTGTCATAGCAATGCAAAGATTTGACTTCAAAAACAGTATCATAGCTATTAAACTATATCTTGTTATGATTTTAAATCTGTATTTAACCTCAGAACTATCTCAAAGTAAAAAGAGATGCTAAAGTCAGATTTTGTGGTGGTATTTTTATCATCTTAATTCAAGTGATGAAGGATTTTGAGAAGCCTGACAGTACTCAGTGTCGAATCCTAATGTAAGGTTAACCCTGTCTGGTTTAAATGTTTCAAAATGATTAACAGTTGAAAACATTCATTAGAAATTTAGAAAAGTAATCAGTTACATTACTTTAATGAAGTAATTGAAATAGTTACACTACTTATTACATTTTAGGGTAACTTGTAATCTGTAACCTATTACATTTCTAAAGTAACCTTCACAACACTATTGCTCATATACTGTATAAAATAGACAAACTCATTACACAACTAGTATTTGATGATTAGACCATTACGACCAATCTAATAATGGCAAAACAGATGACCAAAAAAGCAGAGAACCTACTTTCCTCCCCAATATTTTCCAAAATTGTAATTTTTCTCTAGATACACCCCCACACGTAGACAAACAGAGTCTCTTTAGGTATGCCATCCATTTTCTGTGACCCATCCAAGGACATCTTATCAACACTCAGCTTCCTGTTCTGAAGCCCTGACTCTATAACGACCAACATTTGGGGCCCTTGCTTACAAAATGACCCCCTAAAACATACATCAAAGTGACACACACCACTTACCATGTTCACACACACACACACACACAATTGAGTAGTGCGAGAGGTCTTTAAATTAAATTAAATTACAAGTTAAGGTAGCAGAAATGTTAGCCAGCAATGTGTTTAGCTTATCAGACTACACACCTATTCACTTTATAACTTTATGACCAGTGGGAATGTAAGAACTTCAGTGTTGACAATGATTTGGCCAGAAATGTGAATGATTGTGTGTGAGTCAAAGATAATCGCCGTGAGAATACATCATGCTTACTTGAAGACCAAAGAAGCTACTTGTAGATCTGTAATTGGCATACGGGTGAAATAAAGGGTAATATTTACTGTACCTGTGTATCTGAAGCTCAAAGCCAATGGTAGGAGGGGCATCTTCCAGCCGCTGTACAGAAAACCGTAAACCAACCGACAACTAGCAAGAGAGAGAGAGAAAGAAAGGGAAAAACATGAAGACATCAAAAGCTTAAGGGACATCTGTAAGTGCTCAGTAAAACAGAATAGAGCTCTACCCCCAGTGTCTCATACAGGAAAAATCCACCACAATTAACACTGTGCCGTCTTACATGCTGGGGGGAGGAGTGTGGGGTCTGTCTGGACAGCCTCACTTGCTGTTATACCGCCAACAAATAAACTAGTATTACATGGTTACTCGTTTGATCAATAAAAATGCGGACATGAAATATAGTAGTCAATATTTGAAAACCTTTCATCAAAGTTGTCCTAAAACCAAAATGTGTTCTTATCTTAGGACAACTTTGATGAACTTTTTTGATCCACTTCAAATGTCAAAATTATTTTTAGCTGAAATTTACCTGCATATTTTCTTAAAGCTTCCGCAACTGCAACGGACAAACAATCGCCCAAACCACAAGCAACAAGAATATTTACACTAAAGTAATGCAACAAATGCATTTTTATATCACTTTTAAATTTGTTAACACTATTGGGTAGGTTTAGGGTTGGGTTTGGAGTAGGGGATATTTCCAACACGATAGAGCATTAACTTCTAGCGACACTCATCAGATATTTTAAACATGAACCACCGCAATATGCAATACCTGAAGTAACGCAATAAAAACACAACAATATGTGCCATGTATCAATGTAACAAAAATGGGGTCACATATTGAACCCGCATTTTAGCACCACTTACTGGATGTTTCACTTTGAAACTGCCGCGAAACGTGCAGTAAGGTACATCATAACGGCGCAGCAGAAATTTATTTAGAGGCGCGTATTTCTAATGAGCCTGGGTTGGAATTGGTCCCTATACTGAAGTGTTACACCTATTGTTAACATATTACCAATATATTTATATAATTGCAATTTGCCCTTAAGTACAAGTCAAAAGAATGCCAGCTCTTAAAAACACATGTCTTTATAAAGCCATTTTCTCTGATTTATATCTTTTGTTGTCTTTCTGCTCTGCTGAACAAAGTCTAAACACTGGAATCTTCATTCGCAAACAAATAGTAAAATTTCACTAATCATCTCTCTTTCTCGTTGGCTGTAACTGTGTCCATATGGTGTAGTTCATTAGAAGAAGTCTGATAATGGCTGCTGGGATGGATAATGAAGGCCAGTCCTTTAGCTAAAGGCTATGTGCTAACTCTGGAGCCTCATAAATTAGCTTCCCCAGGCGGAAACCTTTCTTACTACAAAGCCCCTCATAACAGACGGGTGAGAGTAACAAGTGCTGTTAAACTTTAAAGAGGAACTGGCCACGGAGCCTCTTTTTGTGGTCTCACGTCCTTTTTTAAAACCCAGAGAGTTGGTAAATCAAATGAAGATCACGTCTCTGCAACTTCATGCATGTGTTGAGAAATGAGACTTCATCTCAATCTGAATTTACAAGGGCTGGTTCATATGTTTCTGTGGCAACAGTAATCATCTAATTACACTAATGAGACAATAACTCTTAATCGAAAGTTTTAATGAAACTCAGAACAAATCCTAGTGTATAACATGGGAAAAATGCACAAGTTCCTCAAGTGTATTTGATTAAATGCATTTCACAACATAAGAATGAAATGTTAGATGCAGTTTCCATTCGAAACAGCACAAACATACACATCAAAAGCACTGTGTTTGAATACACATGTGCAATGGTATTTTTTCAGATGGATTACAGATTGCTTAAGTAAAGCTGGACAGAGTGCATCCAGAAAACATGAAAATGGTTGGATCGTGTTTGATTAAAAACAAAGAACAAAGTAAGCCAAAAAAAATGAGAATGTTAGTCTATTATTTACAGTGTCATCAGAAGTGTATCACCCTTAAAATGTCAGCCCATTCTCTCAAGAAATAATATATTGCTTGAAGATGCTGGGAAATCCTTCTTTTCGAGGTGTTGTGGATAGAGACTAAAGCCATTAATTGTTGCCAAGTTCTGTGATTCTACATCACCCTAATGTGACATTAGCTGAAATGGGTAGGAGTCGGTGAAACAAACTTATTCAGTGCGTTTCATTTTACAGACCATGAAACTCCTTTCTTTATTGAATACCGCAGTTAGAGCAATAGATGGGGCGAGTCATGTCCGATTTGTATGAATTATGGCTCACAAAAGACATTTACACTGTTATTTTTAAACTACAGATGAATTTAATGCATTTTCAATTAGAAAAGAAGATTTACATTAGTGAGACGGAGATGGTTTATTAAAATGAAGAGCCAAAAGAGCCAATGCTTTATGGACAGCACTTCTGATGACTTCCTGTCTTTACTTAAGTTCACCCAAAATGGAAAATTCTGTCAATTTACTCACTCACATGTTGTTCTAAACCTGTATGACTTTCGTTCATCTTAAAAGCACAAAGGAAGATATTTGTAATGAAATCTGAGAGGTTTCAAATCCGTTAAAGGATTGTTAGGCTGCATTAATTAGGTCAACCGGAACTGGGAACACTTCCCATAACACTGGATGTACTTGTTACATCGTTACAAACATGGCATCTACGCTAATATTAGTCGGTTTCTTTCTTATTCCAAGGTCACCGTAGCCAGAAGATCCTGCCTGTATCCAGATCAGATGGTCACTGCTGTCACCCAGATCCAGATCAGATGGTGGATCAGCAGCTAGAGATGACCTCTACAACTCTAAATGTCAGCGGAGATCAGGACAACTAGATGAGCCCCAGAGACAGATCCCCTCCGAAGACCTTGTCACCTAGACGGCCATCAGGACAAGACCACGGGAACCAGATGAGTCCTCTGCACAATCTGACTCTGCTGCAGTCTGCTGGTTTGTCTGGCCAGAGAAGAACGACACTATTTCGACACACTACTTCCCCGTTTAATACTGTAAAGCTGCTTTGACACAATTTACATTGTAAAAAGCGCTATATAAATAATAGTGACTTGACCTGACTCTGTCCCTCCACTGACAGCCTACACAACTACCACTTTTAAGGCCTAGAAAGGTAGTAAAGACATCATTGAAGTAGTCCATGTGACTCCAGTGGTTTAACCCCAATTTTGTGAGGCGACGGAAATGCTTTTAATGTCCAAAAAACAAAACAAATGTAACAACTTTATTCCACAATTTCTTCACTTCTGCATTGGCACCACAACATATGCATGTTGTGATGACGCGAGACCCGTCCCGGTGTCACCTGATCCTTCAGAAATCATTCTAATATGCTGATTTGGTGCTCAAGAAACATTTCTTATTCTTACCAATGTTGAAAAAACTTGTTCTGCTTAATAGTTTTGAAAAAAAATTCAGGATGCTTTGAGAAAAGAATTGAAAAGAACAGCATCTATTATAGAATTTTTTGTAACATTTTAAATGACTTTGTTGTAACTTTTGATCAATTTTATTCATACTTGCTGAAGAAGAAGAATGATATCTTTCAAAAAAAGTTTTTTTTTAATTTTTCTTAATTTCCTTCTTTCCCGGAGATCAGGACAACTAGATGAGCCCCAGAGACAGATCCCCTCCGAAGACCTTGTCACCTAGACGGCCATCAGGACAAGACCACGGGAACCAGATGAGTCCTCTGCACAATCTGACTCTGCTGCAGTCTGCTGGTTTGTCTGGCCAGAGAAGAACGACACTATTTCGACACACTACTTCCCCGTTTAATACTGTAAAGCTGCTTTGACACAATTTACATTGTAAAAAGCGCTATATAAATAATAGTGACTTGACCTGACTCTGTCCCTCCACTGACAGCCTACACAACTACCACTTTTAAGGCCTAGAAAGGTAGTAAAGACATCATTGAAGTAGTCCATGTGACTCCAGTGGTTTAACCCCAATTTTGTGAGGCGACGGAAATGCTTTTAATGTCCAAAAAACAAAACAAATGTAACAACTTTATTCCACAATTTCTTCACTTCTGCATTGGCACCACAACATATGCATGTTGTGATGACGCGAGACCCGTCCCGGTGTCACCTGATCCTTCAGAAATCATTCTAATATGCTGATTTGGTGCTCAAGAAACATTTCTTATTCTTACCAATGTTGAAAAAACTTGTTCTGCTTAATATTTTTGAAAAAAAATTCAGGATGCTTTGAGAAAAGAATTGAAAAGAACAGCATCTATTATAGAATTTTTTGTAACATTTTAAATGACTTTGTTGTAACTTTTGATCAATTTTATTCATACTTGCTGAAGAAGAAGAATGATATCTTTCAAAAAAAGTTTTTTTTAAATTTTTCTTAATTTCCTTCTTTCCTTCTAAAATCCAATCTAGCTGGAAGCTTCTACTTCAAAGAACAGGTTAGTACAAAACAGCGCTCATACTGTTTGAGGTGGTGTGTCTACCATGTTTTGTGCACATTGGTCTTGTGATGCCCTATTTGTGATGAATGAGCTGCACCACATGGTTATGACTTCCATTTTATGGGCTATGAGAGGATAGTTTGGAAAGTTTTGAAAAAGAAGAAGAAAATAAGTTAAAGAACATATTGCATTTGATCACAGGTTACACACTGATTCCATGTGTGGTACGATTATTTTGTGACACCAGTGACGATGGTGTGTGAGTGTTTTGTGAGTGTGAGTTTGTGACGTGTTTCTCATTTTGCTTGTTGTATGTGAGGTGGGGGATCTGCGGCCTTGTCACCCTCCTCTGCTGGTGCCATGATAATTTGGCCCATGTGGGTTTAACCCTGGAGGCTCCATGATGAAGCCTGTCTCCAAATCTGGAACATGTTACCAGGTCAGCTTTTAGTGTTCCACAGAAGAAAGTCACACAGGTTTGGAAAGACATGAGGGTGAATAAATGATAACAGAACTTTCATTTCTTTAATGATTGTTTCCTAACTACCTCCATCTGCCATTATTCAGAAAAACTAGTCAATGCTAATAATAACCATGCTACAAAAAGCCAAGTATCCTCAACAGCAACAAATGAGAATGGGTTTATCTGTCATTTAGTTTCAACTTTAGCACCACTGTGCTGCAGAGCCCCATCCACAGAGAAAACTCATTGGTCCAAAATCCTGCTCTTCATGTATATTAAAGAACATTTATTATATAACTAATCTTATAACTAATCAAGTTACACAGAAAAAAAACATAAACAGGGTGCCATGTGGCAAGTCATGTCTTATTATGATTAACTAAAACTATATTCAAATAAAATTGAAAACTGTTTTCTGTAACTTAAATAAAGCTGAAATAAAATAAATATTATTGAAATCTTTCAAGAAATGTTGCCTAAATGTTTACTAAACTGAAATAAAATTAATTTCAGCTATATAGAAATATAAAAACAAGAACTAATAAAAATGTCAAACGCAAATAAAATTACTAAAACTAACATTAAAATGAAAGTCAGAAATATTAAAAATTTAAATATTATTAAATACTACAGTATAATAGTATATGTGACCCTGGACCACAAAACCAGCCATAAGGGCTTTTTTTTTTAAAAACTGATATGTACACATCACCTGAAAGCTGAATAAATAAGCTTTCCAATTATGTATGGTTTGTTAGGGTAGGAAATATTGAGAAAATCGCCTTTAAAGTTGTTCAAATTAAGCCCTTAGCCATGCATATTACTAATCAGAAATTAAGTTTTGATATATTTACGGTAGGAAATTTACAAAATATCTTCATGGAACATGATCATTACTTAATATCCTAATGATTTTTGACATAAAATAAAAATCAATAATTTTGACCCATACAATGTATTGTTGGCTATTGCTACAAATATACCCCAGTGACTTTTGACTGGTTTTGTGGTCCAGGGTCACATATTACTAAAAATTATTTAAAAAAAAAATAATAATACTAAAATAAAACTGGAAAATACAAGGTACAGTATGTGCTCTTCTTCTGTAGCCATTCATATGAATAGCTTTGACAGAAGAAAGTACTGTAACAACAAAAAATGACACATTTTTCTGTTTGGCTCTCTATGTATTTTACATGCTGACACTCAGAAAGAATCTACAAGCTCTATTCCAAACCCACAATCCACCGCTATGACAGGCCAACTCGACATAAAACATAGACCTCTGAGTATCCAGCCAACTGTCTACACACACACACTGACTTAAAACCACAGGTTCATATTGCACACCCATCCACAGGTAATATTTTGCCTATTCAGTTGTGATGTTCTGATTTATATTTTATGAGCAACATAATCTTTTGACCTGCTGTAGTAAACACAGTCATAAACCTCTCTGCCCTGTCTCCGCTCTCAGTGAGCTGGCACTGCTTGAGCCAAAGCATTTACCAGCTATGCATCAAATTACAGACGAATTACATTTCAATTGCTTTAACAAGCACTGCAATCCAAACAAACAGAAGAGGCGAGGAGAGGAGTCAACTAGCTAATAAAGATGCAGGTATGTGTGTCAGATACACAGTAAAAATTAATGCTCAGAAACATAAGAAAGTAAATAATACTGGTTTATACACAGTAAATATACAGTAAATTATATATATATATATATTTTTGGTTCCATGAAGAAACTTTTCATTGCACAAAAGGTTCTTTATAGTTGAAACCTTCTCTTTTGGAACCTTTATTTTGGTACTTTACATATTATATTCAGTCATTATAATTAATCACACAAAAATCAGTATTTGTTGCTCCTACGGCTGAGCCCAATTTCCATGTGCAAGATGAATTCAACGCTGCATATAGATTCACAAAAACAGAAACACAACTGACCATTGTTACTGTAACTCAGATTAATTGTTTTACAGAATTTATATCCAGCCAACTAAAAACTTTAAATGTAACTAGCCACTTTTTTAGTTGGAGAAACTTTGGTTTTCTTCATAATATGTTCCAAAATATATCATGTCTTGAAATGTGTCCAAGTCACAAAATTTCTCCTACAACTGAAAAAAAGAAAAGAAACAAAACTTACAGCTGCATGCATCAATTAAGGATAATAATATAATATAATCTTCCCTATACTTTTAATGAAAGAGAAATGCTCAATATGGATGAAGCAGGAATGAAGTGGACTGGAGACTAATGAGCAGTTCACCCTGAGGGCTTTGAGGAAATGGGAAACCGATGGAGAGAGAAAGAGAGAGGGAGAGAGACAGACAGAGAGAGCTTTTATAAATGTTATTAAGCTGTTCACAAATTACTACAGAAATAGCAAACAATGAAGAAGCAAACAACATGAATTTGTAATTCAAAATAATAATACATTTTCTGGACTCAGGAATATGGCTTTATGTGTGTTTGTTTGTGTGTGTGTGTGAGATGCAGGATGTTGTGTTGGGAGTGTGTGTACGTGTGTGTTGAGTATGTGTGACAGGTCAAGAGTGTGTTTTGTAACCCCAGGCTGAGATATTTGGGATGGCTGAGACGGGTTGTCATGGTGACTAGTAAATAGATGGAGAGTGTGTTTAGACTGAACCTCAAACTTTGTCCCAATGTGTTTACACCCTCCCTTCACACACTCACTCCATCATTCCACTTTTTCTCTCTACCCGCTGTTTTGTTTTCCAGACTCTCATTAACAATGTTCAACATCAACCTGTCAGACATATGGGGAAGAAAGAGGTAGGAAAGAAAGAGAGACGAAAGAAGGAGAAGAAAATTGCCCAACACACAAATATTATCAAGCTATTAACTGCAAGAAAAAGACTATGTAAGGGATGTGTGTTTTCTCTTTAGTCAACACACACGCTCATACCATCAGGGAGATGTATATTTGTCCTTAATGGCACATGAATGAACACATCTGTATAACAGCTACATTCTCGAGGGTCCACGGGGTCTTAAAAAACATCTGGGTTAGTGAAGACATACACAGAAACATGGTTTCCGTCTTCTGGATGGATAGATAATTAAGTGATCCACAGCAAAAAATGATTTAATATTTTTGTAATTTTTTCAATTACCGTATATAGTGTACAAATAACACAAGATACAAGTAACAATTTCTTGTTTTGAGCACAAATCTAACAAAATATAGTGAGGTCTATGTTTAAAATGCGAAAAAATGCTAAAACAAAATAATAAACAAATTTGGTTTAGATATTAAGAAAAAGAAACAGTTAAAAGTTAATCCTGAATTATTAAATGTAAATGTAAAAAATAAACAAGTCTAATTTTGTAAATAAAATATACTTTATTGGTTTCATTTATTTATTAAAAACAGCAATACTGTGAAAAAAATATTAAAGTATTGATAATGTAATATAATATAAATGATCAAATATAAAAATTAAAAATGACTGTTTTCTATTGTAATATATTTCAAAATGTAATTTATTTATTGTGATTGCAAAGCTAAATTTCCAGCAGCCATTACTCCAGTCTTCAGTGTCGCATGATTTTTCAGAAATCTAATTCTAATCTACTTTTGATTTGGTGCTCAATAACATATAATAATTTCTATTTTCTACAGTAAAAGTACCTTTTTCAGCATTCTTTGTTGAACAGAATCTTTTGTAACATTATAAATGTCTTTACAGTTACTTTTGATCTATTTCCTTGCTGAATACAATTATTAACTGCATACATTTCTTTAAAATAAAAAACTTTCTGACCCCAAATTTTGAACGTATTTATGCACACATCTCTGGTTTCATTACTGAAAAAACTGATTCAACTGAATCTCCTTGAGTTTCAGCATCCTGTTTTGGTTGAACAGGATCAAGAGATGTGTGTGTGTGTGTGTGTGTGTGTGTGTGTGATGCATCGGCAGGTGTCTCATACAGGACCTGAAGTCTCAGCAAGCTAACAGTGCTGCTAAATATCTGGCTATTAAAGTGCAAACTGATATGCTATCTTGCCCTTTTCTCACCCCTCTAAAATCCTCCTTCCTCTGTCCTGCTCATTTATGTTAATGCGCTGAAGGATTCAAGCTCTCACTGAAAGCTAAGGCCCAAAACATATGCAAGTATTCAAGAATACAAACTCTGCACAAACATATGAACACAAGCCCAATTTTATGTGTTGACAAATGCATCAAAATCCGATTTATAATGCAACTCAAGTATGTATTGAATTCTCAGCGCTGCTGCAAAAAAATCTTTATTTTTTACGTCAATTTCTGTCATGGTGGCTGTATAAGGGTAATTGTTTGAAATGAAGATTGCTGAGCTACTAAATTAGTTAAGTTTAGACTGGTAGTTAGACTGTTGACAGGTTTATAGTTTGCTACCTGAATGATAACATATCTGGTTTAATGGCATACACATTTGAAGGAAACTCTATTGCTCTCTTGAGTACTGAGGTTTGTTACCATCACTGTAACGCAAGAAAGCACATTATACACCATAATGTCTATAACGTAAGTATGTACCGCACACTTGCAAAGCATTGGCCAAGCATTCACGTCATCGAAACACTACAGAGTACTGTATGTTTCACTCATTCATTCATGTAGACATTACATCATATCAGTTGATGGCTCTTACGTTTGTGTCAGCCACCATTGGGTTTCCCAGGTCACAAACCACAACTCTGGTATCATTCTCTGTCCTGTGCTCACAGTTCAGCCGCTGAAGATCCTGAGACAGAGAGAAAAAAGATTTCAGCTCTTCATTATGTAATGTATGATAGCTGCTTTGTTGAACTACACGCTGAATGTCTAGGGAACACAAACAGAAGCATGATGTACTTTCAGAACAAAAAAATTCTAAGAATATTTTAAATATTAAAATAATAAATAAATCATGAATAAACTGAATAAAATAAAATATGTGCATGACATCACTGAAAACAAAACCGGGCAATAATAAACCCAGTCAATAACTAGCATAAGCCAATGAAAACAGGTCTCTGGAGGGTCAAGAAAGTACATGATGAATTCCCTGATAGTAATCACATCATACATCACTGAGGCCTTCTCCCTGTCATCTCATCAACCCCCTACACCAGTCTCTCTTTTCCTCCATCTCCCTCCTCTGGCAACCACTTCCTCTCTCCAAAACAGAGTCAAACCGTAACCAGTCTGTTCCCAGAAGAGCAGCTAATGTACTTGTGCAAATTGCATTAAGAGCCACTCTCAAACACGTGCTGCAATTAGCAGCTATACACTGCATCTGTTAAACTCATAACTGACAGACAGAGAGCAATCAGATCTTTTGCGGTCGGTGCCACAGAGCGCCAGTGTCTCATGCGGGAAGTCGCAGTGATGCATGAACGGGATGATGGAATGACTGAATGACAGCCAAAGATATGATTGAAGATAAGTGAATGCAGAACTGTATGAAATGAGATAAACAGTCTGGTTAGATCTCAGCAATGCATTACAGAGTACACCTAAGACATGAGGCATGTTTTAGAATACGGTTAATAAGAAACTATAGCCATAATTAGATCAACATTCACTGCATTCCTGCCTCATTACAACATCAAAGACACTGCAGCACACACGTTTGTGTTTTTAACTCCGAGTCAGAATGGATTACAGATTTAGCATTTTACCATGCTGGATTTAAAGCTATTTAGTAAATTTGATATTTCACAAGACCTGAGCTCACGTTACACTGTGTCATGACCAGGTGCAATGCGATAAAATGTCATCTTAGTCTTGAACAATACAGAATGATAGATAGAAATATAGAGAGAACTATAAATAGATAGACAGACAGACAGATAGCCTACATTGCATCTAATATTCATATTAAACGTAAATTATTCATACACTATAATAAGCAAAATAAACTCATGCATGAGCTGTTTTCTGGAAGAAGAGAATACAGTGAGTGAGTCATAATCTAAACAGCAATGAGAGTCTGAGACTAAAATAAACTTTCTATAATCAGAGCAACTATAAATAAAAGACATCATACAAAGGACTTTTACTAAATGCAGTATTAATTAACTTCTACATCCAATCGCCCACCCAGACTCACATAAACACACACACATTAACCGCTTTTCCACTATTGGGTCAATGAAAGCCAGGGTTAGCAACAGGCCAGGCAGAGCCAATAGTCTCCAACTTTGAGCTACAAGGCCAAAATCAAGCTGTGTTTCCACTGTTAGGCCACTAGTCCTGCAGTGCTACTTTAAAACCCACCCTTAACATGCCTTCCTGGGACAAAAGACTCATAACACCACAGTTATACCAGTGTAAGCATGTACACATACAGTATATGTACAGTAAAAAAGGATAGTGGGTAATGTTGTTTACCTCACGTCTGCGCTCCACACCAATATAGTCCGCCTCTGGTGGGAGGGTCACATGAAGCTCTGCCTCGTACGCTCCCTCGCCCTCATTGGCTGCATTAATGGTCAACATAAGCAAGTTGTCATCCCCGATTAAAAGTTCAGTCCGGTCCCTATAAAAAATAAATAAGCAAACCTACATTTAAAATAACTTCTTATATGAGGCCAAAATCAAAGAATTACTTAAAACATAAACAACTGATACATGATAGAAGACTGCACATAAAACAGATACACAAACAATTGCTCAATGGCACACACATGTACTGTACTGATGTGTGTACTGTACTGATCAGACCCATTGACTCACAGTTTAGCAGACAGTTTGAGATCTGGGATGCACATGTTGTCTTCTCCACAGTCCAACAGGATGTTTGCCTAAGGGAGAGGGGAAAAAAAGTTTTTTTGGTTTGTTTGTTCACTGAATTGAACTTATGCTTTACTTTTTCTCTACTTGACTCTGTTTATTCCAGACAACAAGATGTTGTCTTGTTTTTCATTTTTAAAAAACCCTTATTTTAAATCCTGTATGTCATGTGGTCCTAATTGAATTATTAAAGTACACATGAATGCACACATGCAGCATCTCACAAACAATGCAAACATTCATGTCGCATGCAGACCTGCTCATGGTGGAAGGTCTTGCTGTAGTGGTCCAAAATGGGCCGAAGCTGTAGGCCAGGTGGAGGAGAGTTCTGGTCCAGACTGTAGTTCAGTGTCACGCTGATAGGACTCAGTTTATCTCTGAACTCTCCCTCATCCTACACGCAGACAGAGAAGGAAGAGACAAAAAAAGAGAATTGCAAACAGAATTGAATTACTCTTCCTCTCATCCTAGTTTCACTTTTTCTACTCTTTTGATTATCTTCATCCTTCTGACATCAATCTGTTTTCTTTACATGAGAGAGAGTAGTAGTAGTAATATATTTTTTATTTAATGCCATGTCAGCATCTTATGCTATTTTCATGGCAAAAACAATAAAAAAAATGAGCTGTATGCTGCAGCTGTATGAGCATGCTTGCCTCAGAGAGCCAAGGACAATAAATACAATTATTTAATAAGTTACGAGGATTTGAGAAAATGAGAAAGTATGTTTATGTTTCTGAACAAAAATGAAGTGAAGGAAAAGCTTATGAGCACAAGAGCTGCCAGGCTGTTATAGTGTGATGCTGCTGCATAAAAACACACATTATTTGCACAAATTCAAATTGTTATGCACACAAATATTTTCTCAAAAATAAATCCTATTCATCTGTAATCATCCCTATAATTTTAATAACTTAAAATAAAATATATAAAATATATACATTTTTGCATGTAATAATAATTATTGTATACAAATGTATATTAGTATTATTAATGATAATAATAATAATAATAATATAAACATTTTACATATTTAAACTAATCTAATTTCAGGTTTTATGTGTGGGTGTTTATGCTTTATATCTGTCATATATTATAGTAATATAATATAACATTTTATTATTATTAAGAATGATCAGTATATCTACTATATAATAATATTATAATATAATATCTACTATATTAATAATAATAATTTATATTGTTGGATATTTGTGATAATATAACATAATATATATTTTTAAATAATAACTTTTTATTTAATAATAATAATCATATATTAGTATATCTAAAATAATAACCCATTTTATTATTCTTATTTAATAATTTCCTGTTTCTAATTTCTGTTCTTATGTTGTTGGATATTTGTGCTTTACATCTGCAATATATCATAGTGACAGGTCATGTTGCCTGAGATTTTATCAGTCAAATTGAGTTGGCAAATAAATGTATTTCCCATGGCCTGTGTTATCATATAAACACCCAGAAACATTTAAGACTGCGTTCATTTTCTGTGTCACCTCGGCTCAGCACAATTTTTGGTCTCATTTTTGAGACACACTCTCACAGAGACGTTCTCACATCGCTTATTCCGTCCAGATGAGCCGTGTTGCACTAGGAGCTTGGTTTGGCTCACAATTAACTTTCCCATGGGTTCAGTTGTAGTGAAGATAAAACAAGAATTTATCATGAGGAACGAGGCCAGTTCAGCAATGTTCTGTGCTCATGTGGACTATAAGGCTCACCCGCAGGTAAACAGAGTAGTTGTGGCAATGTTGGCGGTCCCCTTGACCCAGAACCAACTGCTGGGCTCTCTGGTGCTGGTGAGAGTCTATGAACAAGATCCTCTTAACTGCTCCACGCTGCTTCAGCCAATCCAGCTGCAGGTCCATTCTCAGAGCTGAGAGAGAGAGAGAGAAAGACAGGCATGCTATTGTTAGCTCCACCTTTACAGACTCTTAATTCCTGCAATTTCTGCTCGGACCAAACAGGTTTTAGACCATAAAAATGGCACGTTCCTAAGGTTAATGACCAGGGCTTCTGAACAACAATCAAATAGTGCTTCCAACAAACGTCTACCTCACACACACTCTCACAGGCACACAGCCACACCTGTTCTTTGTCATCTCCAAAACCATATGCACTGATTTTTAACAGGCCTGCATTCAGAAGTGCTGGGAAAGAGGATTTTATTGCCTGTTGGTTTAACTGAGTTTGGCACCTTCTCCATTTTGGCCTTTACTGAAGCCACTTACATACAGATGTTCAACAAGTGCTGAGACACACAAATTCACACGGAGCACAACACATATAAGGGAAAACGATAAAATATCTCTGTCACAAGCACCATGAGACAATGTATACTGGATAATGAAATAATTTGCTTTCATTATTAGCCGGAGTCCAACATTAGAGTTCTAGATTGTCTTTTTTCTCTACTGTGACGTCTATCCTAGTGAAACGGCATCTGAAATGATAACAACAATCAAATAGTGCTTCCAACAAACGTCTACCTCACACACACTCTCACAGGCACACAGCCACACCTGTTCTTTGTCATCTCCAAAACCATATGCACTGATTTTTAACAGGCCTGCATTCAGAAGTGCTGGGAAAGAGGATTTTATTGCCTGTTGGTTTAACTGAGTTTGGCACCTTCTCCATTTTGGCCTTTACTGAAGCCACTTACATACAGATGTTCAACAAGTGCTGAGACACACAAATTCACACGGAGCACAACACATATAAGGGAAAACGACAAAATATCTCTGTCACAAGCACCATGAGACAATGTATACTGGATAATGAAATAATTTGCTTTCATTATTAGCCGGAGTCCAACATTAGAGTTCTAGATTGTCTTTTTTCTCTACTGTGACGTCTATCCTAGTGAAACGGCATCTGAAATGATAGGGTGGGAATTGATTTCGTCCTTCGGGAATTGATTGGATCGTTGGAAGTTGGGGCATGGCTAACAAAATGGAGGCAGATCTGAATGCCAGTTTGCAGTTAGTTGTGGGGGAATTTCTCTCCACTGGATTCACTGCCGACACCCTAGTATGAAGAAATGTTTTATTTATTGAGGAAGACGACGACGAGGACGATCAACGGCACAAAACATGCCTAACAGCGTGTGTGCGCGCGCACGAGAGAGAGACTGCCTGAATGACTGAGCGCGTCCTCCATCAGGTTAAGTCATATTCATAAAAAAAATAGTTTGCGATGTCCTAAGAGTAATGTTGTGGTAATATCCTAATATCCTTTCAATTTTAAGGGTAGTGTACTCCCCCCATGGCTTGCGTCAGCACTGGTCAATGCTAGTGATGTCCGGTTCGCGAACGAATCGTTCGATTTAACCGGTTCTTCTTAGTGAACCGGTTGAACCAGTTCACCAAATCGGACTGAATCATTTGAAACGGTTCGCGTCTCCAGTAAGCATTAATCCACAAATTACTTAAGTTATTCACTTTTTTAACATGGCTGACACTCCCTCTGAGTCGAAATAAACCAATATCCCGGAGTAATTTATTTACTCAAACAGTACACTGACTGAACTGCTGTGAAGAGAGAACTGAAGATGAACACGAGCAGAGCAGCTGGATAACGAACATACACGCCCACTGCTGGAGCGGTTCTCGTTCTCGAGTCAAGAACCGGTTGCATCAGTTTTCGGATTACCAGTGCACTGAACCGAGAACCGTTTCTTTCGGACATGTCCAATTTGATAACCGATGAGCTGATGATACTGCACATGCGTGTAATTTTTCAAGAGGACGAAAAGCATGCTATCCAAGTATTTTGTTAAAAATCAGATAGTGTGATATAAATATATTTTATTTGACTTTTTTACAAAAGATGAATGTATCTAATCTGTGTACTTTGTTCAGTTGAAGATTATGTTAGGTTATAGGCCAAAGGGGTTTGTTAGGGAAGTTGGATAATAATTAAGACTCTATGTTTAATAGGAATAAGGGATGATTTATGAAATACCTGTACTGTAATTAATTATAGTTAACAATGACACATTCACAAATTGAGTTTGTAATAAATAGAACATGAACACGACACGAGTAAAGCAGCTGATGATATTGAACGTGCGTGCAGCGTGCCGGTTAGAGCGGTTCTCGTTCTCGAGTCAAGAACCGGTTGCATCGGTTTTCGGATCACCAGTACACTGACCGAGAACCGTTTCTTTCGGATGCGTCCGATTTGAGAACCGATGAGCTGATGATACTGCGCATGCGCGATTCAGCGTGAAGCTACCGAACAGATTGCCTACTATGACTGACACAGCACGTCTGAACTGAACTGGTTCTTTTGGACAACTGATTCTGTGCTAATGTTATGAGCACGGGTAAACCGAAGACTTGAATGAAGGGAAATCCGGCGAAACTTAAATTTACTTAATTACAAATAAACCGTAATGGATTATACATAGTAAGTGGAGCATAGTTTCTGCGCTGATGAAGACTAATTTATTGACGTCATAACTGTAAAACATCCTAGTTTGCAGATCACTGCCTGTATATGTGTTGATGCTTTAGATACAAAAATCCAAATTGTAAGAAACGTATCAGATTATAATGATGTTTTAATTGACTGATGTTATGATTACTGACTTTATATTTGAATGTGTTAAGCCCGCGATAGACTTGACGCCATTACGTCATCGCCAATGACGTCATTACGTCGAGCGTAAAAAGAACCGGTGAACCGTTTTTTTCAACCGGTTTATTGAATTGAACTGTCCGAAAAGAACCGGTTTGCGGAAAAGAACCGAACTTCCTATCACTTTTGATTTCTATAAAGTGAAGCATCAGCTTCAGCTTTTCCTCCTGTCGTTTATCCCAGCATTTACCCCTCAGTCACTAGCTCCGCCCTTAAGATGAATCATTTTGAGGGGGAGGGGAGGTTAACGTTTTTGATTAAAGATTACGAGGGCACATGAATTTAAAAAAAAATAATGAAGTGCACGGATAAATTATTTATAATAAACACTACAGTATTCCATTAAAGGGGTCCTATTATGCTTTCACTTTTTCAACTTTAGTTATTCTGTAATGTTGCTGTTTGAGCATAAAAAAGATCTGCAAAGTTACAAAGCTCAAAGTCCACTTCAAAAGGAGATATTTTATTTAACAGAAATCACTTTTCAAAAACTACAACGAATGACTCGTTTGGACTACAACGCATATTTTCTGGGATTTGTGATATCACAAATATCAACGAATGGGACGAGACCTGGTTGAGCTGCACTAGAGAAGGCAACGAGTGTTATCATTATGTCGGAGACAAGCTAGCTTTCCCAAGGCAGACGAACTTAGAGTGGTTACAATCATTCGGGTTTAAATCACGCTCAAATTGATTTGATTTTGACGCAATATTTACACTGAAGCTCGCAGGCGGCTATGGTAAGGGGCGTGACATTTCCCGACCAGGCACCGAGTGCTGCCAATCACAACACACACTGGCCCAGCTAACCAATCACAACACATTTCGTATTTCAAAAGGCGGGCCTTCATTTGATACAGGAACTATTCGAGCCGTTCATGCCAGACTGGGGAGAGAGGTGTTGTAATAATGTAAAACATGTGAAAAATAATGTGTTTTTCGAACAACCTAGTATGAGAGCCTGTTCTAGTACACCCCCAAAACAAAATCAAGACTTTGTAAAAGAGCATAATAGGACCCCTTTAAAAAAGGAGGAGTTTCAATTTTGATTTCATGGTGACTTTAAAGCAAAGTCTCTTTAAGACAAGTTATGTCACTCGGCGGCCATCTTTGAAATGCCTCTCGGGCATGCAAGTGCAACTCCTATCTCTTTGAATGGGGAAACATCAAATTCTCCAAAACTGTTCACTGAGCTTACGATTAAATTTAATATTTGAAATCACCAAAGAAATCTGACAACAACTGTGTCATAAATGTTGTTACTTTTGCTCAAATAGCATTATAAAAAGCTTATTTTTCAGGCTAGATCTGCCAGTGCGCATGCGCAGTCCTAAGAGCACATCTCAGAATGCTGAATATTTCTATAGCAACCGGGACTTCTAACGGCAGCTGCAGTGACGCGCTTACTTTACTGATTAGCGATTGGCTCTTTCATTCAGAAGGCGGGGCTTCCTGTGATTGAGTGGCCATATTGAGCGTTGCATTTTTCCCCATTCAAAACTATACGAGTGACACGTCTTGGGTATTCTATAGTCTTTGCTTAAAGTAATAAGAAAGACATAATGGAGTCAGTCTCCTTACACTCTGAGGCCCTGTTTACACTAGTGTGTTTTCGTTTTAAAACGCATAACTTTTGCTACGGTTACGTCTTAGTTTAAAAACTACGGGGTTGAATTTCAGTGTAAACGGAGCAAAAAGGAGACTTTTGAAAACGATGGTGTGGCTGCCCACATTAGCTCTGCGTATCCTTGACGACCGTGTAACCAATAACATCATGCTCATTGTTGTACCCATAGATATGTATGGGTAGAATCCCCATTCGACCGCTCCAAGCACGTAGACGCGTCTGCCATCTAAATAATAGGGAATCTACCTATACATATCTATGATTGTACTTGCATGAATGGTCATGTGACATGTGTTTTTGGTTGTGTAGTGTAGATGGACATTGTTTCTGAAACACAGCGGAAATGCCAGTGTAGACGAGGATCGTTTTCATTCTAAAACGCCGTTTTAAAATGAAAACGCACTAGTGTAAACGGGGCCTGCAACAACTTTTGTGAATTCTTTGTGAAAGAATATTACAATTTTACATAACTGTTTTCTATTTTAATGTTTTAAAATGTGATTTATTCTAGTGATAGCAAAGCAAAATTTTCAGCAACCATTACTCCAGTCTTTCTTCAGTGTTGACATCGTTCAAAAATCATTCTAATATGCTGATTTGCTGCTCATTAACATTTATTATCTAACAGTTGTGCTGCTTTATATTTTTGAGGAAATAATACATTTTTTCAAAACTTTTTGATGAATGGGAAGTTCAGAAGCTTTTATTTGAAATATAAAATTGTGTAGCATCATAAACATCTTTGTCACTTTTAAACAATTTAATAAATCAATTTAATTTTAATAAAAGTATAAATTTCTTTAAAAAATTCAGTTAATAGTTTTATATTTTATGGTCAAGGCTGATCTGGGACTATGTCATTTGCAATGCTTTATGGGATGTGTAGTTCATTTAGGTACAAGTACCTTTTAACAGTTATTTTGAAATATTTCTTTGCTTTGAATCAAATATTTGGAGTTGTTTGGTTTGGTTTAAGGCTTTGAACACTTTTTGAAAAGCTTAAAATAAATGGGAATATTCCTTCCAGAACCTAGGTTAAACACGGAGATTGAAACGAAATGCATTTAATTAACAGAAAAATTTATGCACTTACCTACATAATCAGGAATACCAATCCCAGCGATCTTTGCGCACACATTTACTGACAGACTGAGAGAAAAATAAATAAAAAGAGAGAAAGAGTAATTTAGTACAGCATAACTTAGCCAAAAAGCAATGACAACATTTAAGTGATGTTAAAAACACAGCGGAAGGGGATTGTTAATATGGGTGGAGTGTTTATAGATGGAGTTGAATGGAGACGTGGGATGCTGAGGGATCCTGTGCTCCTCAATATTTAATTACTTAATCGAATTTGCCTCTTTTTTCTCTTCCATCTGTCCTTTCCTTGCTTCATCTCTCTATCCCTCCCTCTCTTTAATAGTCTAGTAATAGAGGCCAGCAATTAGATTGGCCCAAGAGTGACTTCCTGTTGATGCCAGGGAAAAAGGGACAAAACCATTTTCTCACTTTCTCAAAGATCTCATACAAATACTTTATTGTCATTAAATATTCTAATAACATATAAAAAGCCCATTTATATGAAGTCTAATATGCAAACACCCACACAAACACAGTACCGACACAGCACAGGATGTTCCGGCTATGGGCCGCACAATTAATTTACTGGAATCTAAAGATGGCAGTTCATTTGCCGCAGGGTTATTGTGTAAAACTAACCCTTCATTTGCAAAGAAACACAAATAGAACCAGGACGGAGGATTTAAAACATGCTACTCCATCACAAACATGTAGTAAGGTGAGAGCGCATAAAAACACGCTTACACCTCTCCAGCTGGTGCTCAATAACTGTATTTCCATTATGCTGAACATGTAATGATATCTGTGCTCAGGGACTCACAACTGCAGTCTTAATGGCCCAAAGGGCCAATCCGATGCATAGCATTCCATACAACCCAAATATGTCTAATCAGAAACACCCCATTAGCCCCCCTACACACACTTACACAGCATTGAGCGTGTCTGAGTTTAAATTAGCGATAAACAGCTGGATGCTGTGCCTCATGAACAACACGAAATACCCATGAGGCCGTGCCTGATGGAATCCAGCATTGTGCATTGTGCTCTAACCACGCAAACCCTGCCATGACCCCTGCAGTTAGTGGTGCATTTTAAAATGCACAGCTGAAGTCATGTGTGCGCTGTACAGTGAGAGAGAAAGTAGAGAGAGTATGCATATTTGAGGGAGGAAGTGGCCCCGCTATACATAATTGAATGATGCCTTGTTAATTTTCCTCCCCCGTGGCAAGGGTAGACGCATAATCACGCACATACAAACACTCCAATGCCCGGTGGTTGACCCCTCTGACCCCTGCTCTGACCCCACTGCAACTTTTCTGACTCGGCCGCCCATCTGCCATTTGTAATTACTGCCCACTCCTCAGAGTATTAATGGCACCCTTGTGTGTGTGTGGTTTGACATGAGTAATTTAACACACTTTTACACTCTGCATATATGTAGGCTGTTTAAAATTGAGCGTTTTAACGTTTAATATACGTCTGTTTTGCATTTTTCTAATTTAAAACAATTTGCTTCAATGTGGTTGAAGGGATACAGAAGAATATAAAAATTAAACAAATTAAACTCTAGAGAGACACAGTTAACAGTCTTAAATGATTATTTCACTTCCAGAATAAAAATTCTGATAATTTACTCACCCCCATGTCATCCAAGATGTGTATGTCTGTCTTTCTTCAGTCGAAAAGAAATTAAGGTTTTTGAGGAAAACATTCCAGGATTTTACTCCATAGTGGACTTCAACAAGGACCGACGGGTTAAAGGTCCAAATTGCAGTTTCAAAGGGCTCTACACGATCCCAGCAGAGGAATAAGGGTCTTATCTAGCGAAACAATCATAATTTTCTAAAAAAATTTTAAATGTATATACTTTTTAAGCACAAATGCTCGTCTTGCACTAGCCCTCCAATGCACGCGCATTGCAGAGCTAGTGCAAGACGAGCATTTGTCTAATTGAGCATTTGTCCGCAACTTCACGCATTACATAATTACTTTGGAAAGGTCGTGCACGACATAAGCAGAAGTAGTACCGAACTCCATCTAATTTTCTCCTCCAACTTCGAAATTGTCCAACATCGTTGTTTTATCTTTTTTTGTAAAGGTCGTTTGATTTAGTCTTTGCATGTTCGCTTTGTAAACACTGGGTTAGTACTTCCCCCTACGTCACACTTGACCTTTCCAACGTGACTTTGTAATGCGTGCAGAGCTAATGCAAGACAAGCTTTTGTGGTTAAAAAGCATTATCATTTTTTTAGAAAATGGCTGATCGTTTTGCTAGATAAGATCCTTATTCCTTGGCTGGGATTGTGTAGAGTCCTTTGAAGCTGCATTGAAACTGCAATTTGGACCTTCAACCCCGTGTTGAAGTCCAATACATGGACAAAAATCCTGAAAAGTTTTCCTCAAAACCCGAATATCTTTTAGTCTGAAGAAAGACAGACATGATGACATGGGGGTAATCTTTTAACTTTGGTGATGTTTTTTTCATCCTCTGGATCTCTTTACACGTCTTCTCTGTCTTGTTTTGTTTCTTTGTGCTCATCTGTGTGATTCAAAGTTTCTCTCTGTCTCGCTATATCCAACCACAGTTTGTACATTAATTTACTAAGCTACTCTTTTGTTATTGCAGAATTCCACACTTTAGTTCTTCGTTTGTCTCTCCAAAACCTCCAGTTCTTTCTTCCCCACGCCAACCCTAACACACAGGCACATGCACCCCAAGCAGCCAAACAGATCTGGTATGTTTACAGTCATGAGGCCCAAAAACTGCTTGTGGAACACAATGTCCATCCACATTAGGGGTAAGAATGCAGGGTTGTGTGTATGTTTGTGTGGTTTGGAAGAATGCACTGAGACTTCCAGAAACACTTAGTTTTACCACAGAGAAGGAAAAAAACTGCTGTAATGTGGTATTATTGACCACATGGTTTTAAAACCTCCCAGTCAGCCATAGCTCTTTGGCCCAGACTGCTTTGGTTTACCCTTAACCAGAACTAAAGATCAACATATCTGTCCCATCAGCTGAACACTTCATCTAGAAGAGATAAATCAAAACATGAACTTTCAAATGTTTTTTTTGTAGTACATAAGAGTCACTCTTTGCGTCAGAAGCTAAGAGTATACTTCAGTAACTAGCACTGGATAAATGTAGCTGACACTTACCAGGTTACCATATCATCAGAATTGGGCATGCGGCAGGACTTGTCCTCAGGGTTGAGAATTCTGGGTGTCAAAATCAGCTGAGTGTCCACCGTGACCACTGGCCTTGCCCTAGTATTGTTGAGAGACAATATAACGGGGATAATATTACAAAAATGAATAATAAATTACTGAAATTATTGAAATTATTATTTTGCAGTAATGAGTTTGAATGGGAAGCTGAATTCAGAGCTGCACATAAACATTATAAACCCACTTAATTAGACTGTTTAACATCAAAAGAAATGACCAGACCTAATGTCAAAATACAACATGTGTAAGGTGTGAAACGGCATATTCAATGTAATCACTGTGGGATGAGACTTCTATGCCATTTTCATTCATCTCTAAATTATTTGTTTGTGAAATATAGGCATTTTAAACGTGAATATTAGTTCACTAAAATGAAATGTATTGATTTTTGGTTGTTGGTTAACAATATGCAATAGCTCAAAGTTGTTTCAAAGGAAGATAATAATAATAAAAAAAACTTAAAATAACTTGTACCAATGATTTGTTCACAATAAGACCAGGAACACACATTTATTAAGTAAATATAAATATTGTTTTCAAACTTGAACATCAAAATGACAGACAAGAAGAATTTCCAATTAGATAAAAAAGCTAATTGAAGCCATTTCTCAGGATGCCTATTTCAGTGATATCAGTCATACAGAATGAACATTCAATGCACTGTATTACATAAAGAATCACTTACAGAATATTTAACTAACAGAAACTAAACATTCAGAGTCCTATTCTAATAGAACATCAGACAGGCTGAGTAAATGAGAACTTAACATGAGGTCAGTCTCTGTTCTGCTCCGGTCTCACTTTCAGCCTGTTGAGACTAGCACTCAAACTGGATTAACAGTGGAAATGTTAGCTTACACAAATACACCAGAGCCCACAACAGCTAATCGCTTTAACACTGACACCAAGACACTGCTAGTGCGTGAGAGTGCGTGCTGGAAAATGTTAATGTGTCCGTGTGTTTTTGGTGGCTTTGAGGCAGGAAAAAGGGACTATTTTGAAACATTTCTGAGGGAAACCTGATCTGAAACACACAACTGAAGTCTTGGCTACTCAAACTAGACATGCCACAAGTCTGTAGATAATGTTTGCTGACTACTCCTGTCAACTACAGCTAAGGAATTCTTCATGAATGCATTATGAAGCCAGGCGTTTCAATATTTTCTGTTATGCAATTTGAAAATGTAGCGATGCACCGATACCACTTTTTCCAGTACTCGCTTGATACCGATACTTTTGTTTTTTGTATTTATTTTTGGCCGATACAGAGTACCGATACCAATATTTTATTGCATTTGTAAATTTTTTAAATATTGGGTACAGAAACCAAAAGAGTATGGATAATGTTAGTTGGTTAACTTCATTTATCAAATAGATAGTCAAACCAAATTTTATTTGCTATAGTTAAGAAAATGGTAATAAAATATGACAAGAACAAATTCAGCTTGATAATGTTATATAACTTTGATAGAGAGGTACGTAATGGATTACAATCAACCAAAAATTATTCAGACAGCTGTTAGTATGACAGTATTTACACAACTATCAATACTTAGTTGGGCAACTCTTAGCCTTAATGACAGCCTGTAGTCTCCTGGGCATGCTGTCACCCAGCTTCATGCAAACCTGAACTTCAATTTTTTTCCCAAACTCGGTCTGAATAATTTTCGGTCCCAAATTTTGTAGCAGTTTTACTGCTAGTCCACCGTATGAAGAATTTTTGGGTATAATTTATCACAGTTTACTTTATTTTGCTGTCCTCACTTACATAAATGAACTATAGTGTCCTGCACCCACTAAAGAAAATATCAAAAATGATATCTGGTCTCTGAATAATTTTTGGTTTCACTGTATATCCTTCTGTTATTTTCACACTTAATTATGGCCATTAAAATGTATTTTATACGTTTTTGTTACTTTCACTGTTCATTTTTTTGCTCTAAGGTACATCATCTTTAATTTAATAGCATTAGAGCTGCTCCATTGCAGCGGCTTAGTACTGTAATCACGTGCTTTGCTGTAATAATGCAGGGACCCACTAGTTATGAATCTCCTAATAGTGATATTTTCAGAAATAGAAGTCGCGTTTTTTTTTTTTCATCTGAAACGTGCTGCGATTTATATTCCAAAGCCACTCATATAATGCAGAAACACTCAAGCAATCAAAACACGCGCAACGCGTGCACATATTTGTACTGGTGCAGAATGAAAGGACAGTAGTACAGCCTAGCGTATTTCACACAGGCTAGATTCACTTTCGCCTGAAAGTCGCGTATGCCTAAGATTGAAAATAAATGTTGTTTATAGTGAATACCCCTATAAATGGTCTTATTTTTATTCCAAATGATGCGTGTGCTAAGTGAGTGAACATAAAAGATTTGCACGCTAGCTCTCTCTCTCTCTCTACCGTTAAGTAACTTGTGCATTGTTTTACTTACTTGTTTATGACATATCTGACCGAACTACAAACTTTCCAGTGATGTCTGTGAGAAAGGTATATTCACTCGACAAACTCGCACATCTGCGCTGCCGCGCGCTCAATCCACTCAGTGTGATTTGCTTATCAGCTTGCACACATCAGCTATACAGGCGTTAATACTGAATGTTTAACATTATATTCATTGCATACATATACTTCGTATACATCCTTAATCTCTAATAACTCCATTCTGCTGTCTGTTGTTCTGTTGTCTGTGTTTCTTTGTCTGAATATGGCAATTATCACATGTTGTGTGGTATCGGCGTTTGGTCTGATACCAGTATCGGTATCGGTGCATCCCTATGAAAATGTGTTACAATCGTATCATAGAACAGAGTAAAACAACTTCATATGTATCAGGTTTCCTTTCAGCTAAACCTCAAACACAGGTGTTTTCTGTGCGTCCACTCTAATGGGGAAAGCATGTGTGTAGAAAAAAGTGAGTTTAGGCCAGAAAAAATATGTGATGCTACACACAAACACACTATTATATATATTTATGCACCTACTACATACATATACATATACATATACAATTTTATATTAGAATACATAAAAAATTCTAATATATTTTTATTTCTCAGCTTTAAATCTAAACATACATATATATATAAATATATATATATATATATGCTATTCAAGATAACACTGGCATCAGTTGATCAAAAATGACTCCTATCGAGTTACAACTTTTTATGAGTACTCATATTAAATGTTAAAATATAAATTTTTCAACATTTTGACAATGTTGTATGATATAATATGGTATATGTAAAGTATAGGCTACAATTTCTCACCTGTAGGCCACAACTTTACTCACTCCAAATGCACCGACCAGCAAATCTGTAAAGAGAGTGAAACATACTTAGAGCTGTAAGATGGACACAATATGATACAGAAAAATGTGCGCTGCAAGAGAAAGAGGAAGAAAGAGAACGAGTGGCTGGATCATAAAGCTTCAAAGCACACTGCAGCTGGAAGTGATTTGGGTCTCCAGCAGACTCCATCAAAGATTCGTCGACCCGTTTCTCATTCTACCAGTCTTGCATCTTACATCACCTGCCGTCCCTGAACAGAGCCATAGAGAAACCCTAGAGAGCCACGGAGAGCGTGTGAGGCTTTAATCTCATTCTACTCAGGGGTGCACAGAGCCACATCTGATTAAGGTGAAGATAAATACGGCACACGGAATAGTTTCCCTCTTCTCTTAATGAAAGTGGGCATGATAAACCTGAGTTTCAACCCATATGAGATTTTAATGTGATGTAGTGGAAGTGTTGTAATGTAGTTTAAATAAACCAGGGCCTTCACAAAAATTACACAATAAGTTTTAATAAAAACAATGTGATCCACATCACTCATTTGTAAATTTAATGTGAAGTAAGACAAACCAACTAATGCCACAAAATGAATTCATCAAACTGATTGATAATCTATCAATCTATCCATCCATCCATCCATCCATCTTAAATAAATTAATGCTTTTATTCAGCAAGGATACAATAAATTGACAGTAATTTTTATCAAATATATGCAACCTTGGTGAGCATAAACATTACCCAAACATTTGAATGGCATAATATATATATATATATTATACACACACACACACACACACATATATACACACACAGTATATATCAATGTGATCCACATCACTCATTTGTAAATTTAATGTGAAGTAAGACAAACCAACTAATGCCACAAAATGAATTCATCAAACTGATTGATAATCTATCAATCTATCCATCCATCCATCCATCTTAAATAAATTAATGCTTTTATTCAGCAAGGATACAATAAATTGACAGTAATTTTTATCAAATATATGCAACCTTGGTGAGCATAAACATTACCCAAACATTTGAATGGCATAATATATATATATATATATTATACACACACACACACACACATACATATACACACACAGTATATATATATATATATATATATATATATATATACTGTATATGTGTTCATTTTTTTATGAAATGTACTGTATAACTGCATAACAAATGTGCCTCCTGATCCCATTCTTCTCTCTTCCTCAATGTATGATAATAATACACATACATATAAATATTTAAGTATTTTAACATAACAAAAGTAACATTTTTACTAAAAGTAAAAAGTACTAAAAGTGTTTTAATTATCAGACCAAACAAAGCATGGTCACGTACAACATCATCAAATATTCAGGTCTGTGTGCACAAACCACACCTCCTGTACCTGAGATGAAACTGTGGAAATATTGCCAGTGTGTGTGTGTGTGTTTGTGGTCTGTTGCTTCCTCTGTGGCCTCTGCTAAAGCTATAACCATTCATTCATCTCTGACATCTCATTAAACTAGTATATATAACTGAACCAAAATAAACGATAGCAGAAAAATCTGATTCTGACACCCGCTCAGACTATATATTTCAATATTAGATGTTTGATTTCTTTGGTGGTGAAATACATTTTGTGATAAGTATAGAATTTCTAAAAACTAAACATTAAACTTTAACCTTCACACAAGGTTGGTTTCATTTGGTCTTTCATCAAACTTGAGCGAGAGAACTCTTTCTCTCCTCAGTTTATGAATTGTACTAAGCATTAATAGGAAGGAAGAGTACAAATCGGTCCTGGAGGGATGCTTTCAGTCAGGCAAACTCAGAGACTCATATGCAGGAATGTTCCAGATCAGCTCCAGCACACTAATGAGTGCTCAGAGACTGTGGCTTTGATTCTTGTTTCACTGAGGTTGATCACTGGCTTTGCTTTCCATCAGGTCCTGCCTTCAGGAACGAGACACCCTTGGCAAAGATCCCATTGTAAACCAGAGTCAGCAGCTTTTGGTATTGTGACAGAAAACACACCTCAAACACAATGGACAGAAACACACACACACACACTCTAGCCGACTGACAGACACACGCACCCCCTGAAGGCCTGAGCTCTCACCTTGTATCTGTGAGGCAGAGATGATGACAGAATAATTCAATCTATTACATTCTCACATCTGGAAAGTCCATTTGCGCACTCTTTGAGTGACTTCCTCAGAACGACAGTGAGGTGTAAACGTGTGTGTGTGCGCTACAAGAGTCAACCTCAAAAAATTCAGGTTGAACCCTCTGGCCACCACAACACAAGGGTCTTAACCACACGAATAGGTTAATAGGAGGTGGAATGATGGAGGGAGGGGATGGAAGAAGCTCAAGCACTTAAACTTTAATGAGGATGGAGTCTGTTATAGTCATCTTCATCCGCTAGCCAATGAAATGCCGGACCACAGCCAACTAATGCAATCCACTCTTTTACCTCCAACTCTGAATTTCTCTCTCATTTCATCTGGCATACAATCACACATCCATCCATCTCCTCCCCTCCAAAAAAATCAGAAACGAACTCCTCCCTGTAGATGTCTGGATGGAAATGGTCTTGATAGGATTGGGAGTAAATGCACAGTTTGGAGGGCTCACTAAAGGGATATAAGGTGCCCACCCAAGTTCTCAAAACATTTCTAATGGGTCCTGAAATTAACATCAGTTTCACACACAAACAACATATGTTTTTGGAAGTAATATAATGTAGAAATATAGTGTAAAGGGGAATTCTGATCACAAATCTTTCCACCATTTATATATTTTTTTACCATCGGAATGACATATTCTGAATCTCTTTGTTACCATTTGCAATTTTAACTGTGTTTTTCTCTCAAATTAATAAAGTAATTGTTTCTAAATGTGCAAAGTGAGTGCGTCTGTTTTGTGTTCGGTCTGAGAACAATGCCTGAAGCGGCAGACAGGAAATGCAAAGTACAAAATCTCCACTGCTGTTTAAGCAGGTCATGATGAATGACCCTTCACCTTTGACTTAAACCCTGTGTTTAACCACAAAGTTCACGCTAACCCTCACAGTAACCCCAAACCACACACACAAATGAAAATACAGGAAAAACAGGAAAGGTAACCATGTGTGCTGATCTATAACAGGCTTTTTTGGAAACAAAATAGTTTTTATAATCTATGTAGACTTACTCAAACATTGGTGTCGAACAAGTTTCTAGCTAACCCCTTCCAGCAACTAGTTACATGCAACATAATTACGTAGTCTAATTATAAAATAAATGTAACTGTAATCTGTTACAGTTACTGAGAAAAATGTTTTGCAATGGGGGGTTACATCTTAATATTTTCACACAAGCAGATTTGATAGATTTTTCCCCCAAATTGCATTGACTGCTCTAAAATATGAGACACCAATGTTTCAGGAGTTTAGGACACAGAATAGGACACTTACTTGATAACTGTTTTATTTCCTATTTGTGTTTATGCATATGCTTTATTTTTTAAGATTAACTGTTTTTTCTAAAGCATTGTTAGATGCCAGTGTTTCCTGTCATAGCTATGCAAATATTTGATTTCAAAAACAGTGCTATATCTTGTTATGATTTTAAACCTGTATTTAACCTCTGAACAATCTCAAAGTAAAAGGAGGACTAAAGTCCTGCCTGGTTTAATTTTTTAAAATAATTAACAGCTGAAAACATTCGTTATAAATGTATTCAAAAAGTAATCAAATGTAATCAGTTACATTAATAAATTAATTGAAATAGTTACACTACTTATTAGAGTAACTTGTAATTTTCAATGTATTACAAAATCTACAAAGTATAAAATAGTCATGTAAAACTAAATTATGACTATTTATGGTGCTAGAAACCATAACCAACTTTATCGACAGACTTCAAAGAATGAAATAAAAAGTTCAACACATCCCATTTATGTTCATTCACTAGCACATGGCTTTATCCATAGCGTCTTACAAACGAGGAATAAAACGAAGTGATTTTAATCTAAATGAACTGAAGAAAGTGATAAACCAAGTAAAAATGTACATGCACACACTTCAATGATATACTGAGAGGCCGATTAGAAGATTCACATTGATCAAAGATTACTGAGATCACATTTCTAAAAAGCTGCAATTTATCCATTTTGAGAATAAGTGACAGGAAAACCTGTTTTCGGTCTTTCGTTTTGGTTTCTGAGTCTGTTCAACATCATAGTGTGTGTATATGTACACCTGTGCGTGATCGTTTTGCCATCCATTGAAGGTTTTCACGTATGGAAAAGATCTGCTTTTATTAGAGCATATTTAAGATGACAATCCTGTCGCCATGAAAGGACAAACACCCACACACTCGCTCAACACACACATGTGCATTTAAGCTGCCTACCCATCTGACTTCCCGTCTCTTTAAAGAAAGCATGTGACAGCATCTGCTTTGATGATTTTGTACAATGCCATTAAAAAATGAAAGAGGAGATTAAAGGAGAGAAAGAATGAACACACAGCTCTGTTTTTGCTGAAACGGGCTTAAGGCGTTACAGCAGAGTTTAGCTTTAGAAACACACTGGATGTTTTTGCAGTTTCTATGAAACAATTGATTCATATTTCTGTTAGTCAAAACAAGATTATGGTGCAGGTGTGTTGGATTGTGAGAACATGTTCTTCAGAAAGCTCTGGATATTCACTCCGGCAGTTCAAATCAATATAAACTAATCCATGCCCAAACTAATAACTTCAAAATAAAGCCACGGTTTCTTCATTTTTCAACACTGCTAGACCTCAACAGGGAAACTAGAGGCTCTTTTGCCTGAAAGCAAGACATTTCAGGACATATTCTGGATAAACTTTTTTTGTATGGACACAGTTTAATACATCACATAATATAACATATTTGTTTGCAAACACTTTAAAAGTTTGATTTCAGCCACAATAAAGCAATTATTAATCTGCCATGATAAAATTTAATGTGAAAGAACCAGAGAAAGAACCAGAATGTCTGAAAGAAACAGAGTTGAACCCTTGAAACTTCATCTGGCAACATCTGCCACACACACACACACACACACACACGCTATAAATAGCTTGTTCAGTCACCTGCAAATATTTATCCCCACAGTCTCAAAATGATTGACTTTAAAGTATCTAAATGTTCAATAAGATCTGACCTACTTTGTTTTCAATAAAAACATGATAAATAAACCACGATAAACATAGTAATGAGAAAAATATGCAGAAACAATATCCCTCCATAAAAGGAGACAAAGAAAAGACAAAGAAATGAAGAAGAATGAGTGGAAACACTTGCACACAGTTGTAAAAAATGACCCATGGACTGACCAACAATGTGACTCAACCTGGATCTCTCAATCCAGTCTTTTTCTTCTTTGTCCAGTCTTTCATTCCTCCTACATCTGATCTCCCTGGCTTACATCAGTTCCTATGCATGATTGTCTTAACAGAAACTTGCGTAAACAGAGAGAGGAAGAGACTGAAAGCTTTTCTTTACTCACCAGGGTACTGGTTGTTATCGAGGTCAGAATCTCCACGCAGGGTGAACCCAAAGCCTGCTGGGACGGCGGGTGAGGCCCAGTCGCCTTTCAACACTTGAGATGCCTGTAACATCAGCCCAGATTTTTGCCCGTTATAGATGAAGACCCTGCCACCACGATCCTCTCCTGCGAACGGAGCTCCTATTGCCACGTCTGAGTAAGAAAAAGAAGGAGAACAACAATATTTGATCAATAACAGCATATAAAAGATGTACATCCAATTTGCTTCCAACCTCATTCTACCTGTGGAAGCCTGTTTCTTGTTAAGAAATCAAATAAAAACTGTAAGAGAAGGTAAAAAATTAGAAATAGTCACAATTAAGACAAAGTTGCAACTGAGTCGCTGTATTGTGAGATATAAAGTATCGATTGTGAGATTTAAATGGTGAATAATGTCTAAATAGTAAGAGATACAATAAAGTCTCAATTCTGAGAAACATAATTGCAATTGTGAGACGTCACAACATAAGTCAAAGTCACAGCTGTGAGATGTGAAGTTGCAGTTGTGAGACAATGTCGCAATGTGAAATCTAAATTCCAAATTTTGAGATATAAAGTTGTATTGTGATACAAAGTCTAAACAGTGAGATTAAAAAAATTGTTAGATAAAGTTGCAATTCTGTTACATAAAGTCACATGGTGGGATATAAGGTCTGATATAAATTCTTTATTGTCATATAAAAAGTCTCAATTTTGAGACATCAATTCACAATTGAGAGATATAAAGTGGCAATTGCAAGATAAAGGCGCAATGTGAGATGTTTAAACAGTAAGACAAAAGTCTCAATTTTTCATATATTGTTACAATGTGAGATATAAAGTCTCAGTTGTGAGATAAAAAGTAATTTTGTGAGATACAGAAAGACATGAAGTTGCAACTGTGAGATATGAAGAGATTTTGATAAAGTCACAAAGTTGAATTTAGTTTTTATTCGAACATAAAAACAGGCTTCCATACAGTACCAACAAGAACACCAGGATTCACACCGAATCAAATGTGCTATACATTTGGATCTGCTTCATTTTGTAATTTATAATTTATTATTGATTATTTCAGTGTTTGATATGTTGGAGAGGAACAGTGAGATGCTTTCATGTGGAAGAACAGAGGATGCTGCTAAAAAGAATACCGATGATTTACACAAAGCTCTGCAGGGAGAGACCGCTCTTTTCTCTTCGGCACTGAGGGACTATTACAGAACAATAACAGACTCATGCACAAGCATAAGTCCAAGTCCACTACTGCATGGCCAATAAATCTCCAGGGTAGGGTTATCTGTTCAAGTGTTCCTCCTGCCAGCAGTGCTGCTCAAGTCATTAACCTACATTTGGGCAGCAGCACACGCACACGAGGGGAAAACTAAAGAAACAGAGAACTGCTGACCCAGACAGAGATGCCCACTGAGGGGCAGAAAGGCAGAGGAACAGAGCGACTGAGGGGATGTTGGGGAAATAAGCTCTATAAAGATCTATGTCAGGGATATTCACATTACTTTGCTTTAGGGCTGCTTTTAGAAAATGACCAGGGGCCACTGAATTATCTGGTAATAGTAATGATATATGGCTTTCATTTGGTTTAAAAGTGTGACTTACTGCATATCAGCCTCATATATTTATCAAAACAGTGCTGGAACCTCTTTAAAAGACCCTTTTCACTCAGCGTAGACCATGTGAATTTAATCATGACATCTTATTTACACATAAATTCATTCATAAAATTCATAAATGCGTCCAGTATGCTAACTTCAGATCCTCCCATTAAAATAAAGTGCATATATGCACCAACAGTGAAAAATATATTGAGGCATAAAGAGGACACTGACATTGCAGAGCAGGTTACAAGACAAAGCAGTTTACTTAGAAATTCAAACAATAAATACCATTTTGTGGCTCTTTAATATTTCGTGACAGATCGCTGTAGTGCCTCAGTTCAAGTATTATGTTGACAGATCATTTCTTCCTACTAGTTATAGCATGAAATAAACATCTGAAAGTTTGCCGTTTTAACCACGGAAAGACATCAATACACACCAATTTTCAACTTCAAATCCACCAATTTTAATCTACTAACTTTCCTGTCGAGTTTATTAGAATTAGTCAGAATGCAGGTCAATCAAACTCATAGTGACTCATAGGGTATTTAAAAATAAAATTGAATTTAATGTAATTTACTAAATATATCTAATTCTTATCTGCCATTATTATTATAAGTCCATTAGAATGTGGGCCGAAAGTGGAGTGTGATTTAGTCCATGAGCATAATTTAATAATATGCATGTTATTGGAACCAGTGTTTTTTCATGTCTGTAAAACGTCTGTTTCTCTCCACTGTGACATGATCAATTAAGACACACAATTAATTGTCTTGTAATATATATATACACACACACGTCTACCCCAGCATCTACTCCAGTCTGCACCCCAGCATCAAATCAGTGTGACTGTGACAAATCATCAAGGCTGTCTACACTACAAGCAAGTTGTGTGATGGAGCAAAATTAGAGCGGTGTACACAGCCTTTCTGAATATAAAGGCTTTTTGTCCTGTTGTGTCACTTGGTTGTAGTGTAGACATGGAAACAGCATCTGAACGGTAAAAAAAACAATGTTGTTTAGGATAGTTTTATCTGCTGATAACCTCACAGGGAGCTGAATTTCGCCCATAGGCCAGGCTTTGAGTATCTATGTCCTCACTCTATAATGAAAACAACTGACAAACTCCAAAGAACTGACAAAAACAAAGGAATCAAAGGATACAGAATAGGGAAAGAGAGAGCCCATGACTAATGACAGATCTGAGAGGAATGTGTGCTCATGGAAATCTTCTGAGCTAAGCAAACCGTTCTGAGGTAGACGGGAATGAAAAGTTTAATTAGACTTAGAAAAATAAAATCATCACCACAAGAAAGCGCTCATTTCCGGCCACTGGACCACCGTGTGTGTGTGTGTGTGTGTGAGTGGGAAGTGTGTGCACAAGTGCATCAGCATATGTAATAATGCTCTGTTTCACTGTTTCTCTTGGGCGAGTTCCTCTCTATAAATATCCGTCGCGTGTTGTTGGTGATTCTTGATCATTTCCTTTTCCTGTTTTCTAGCAGTGGGCACAGTAGCTGGCACAGTGCCCAAAGACCCCCAACATTAACAGTCAGACGGTCGGCGAAAAAGAACAGCATAATATATGAGACCGAATTCATTATGACACTTTACAAGATACTTAATTATGTGGCTTGGCCTTATTTGACTGCATACATATACTACATGCCACAGTGGAGGGAAACAAGACATTTTACAGACATAAGAAACCACTGGGTCCAAAAATAACACACATGTATTGTAAAGTCATGCTCAAGGGCCTAATCTCATCTTCTGGCCCTAATGGAATTATAATTATAAGCTCTTATATGCACTTTGTTAAATGTACTTTCATAAATTATCAATTTGAAAAGATTTTCTCCCAAATTCAGCAACTACTAACACTAAACACCAGGACACAACAAACTGTATAGCCACACACATAAGTGATGCCTCTCAATGGATCCTCTCAAAAGAAAATCCATCCGGAGGCAACAGAGCAACAAAACTGAACAAACAAAGCTCAGAACAAAGAAGCCAAGTAACTAGCTATTAGACAGAATAATTCAAACAGCAGGAGTACAAAAGCAAACAGAGACACTGTGACAAGTGTCACTTCATCAAACCAGTGCAGCCATATGGCTGGTGAAACAGAGATACAGTGTGTGATATCAGATTCATTATGACCATATCAGTTATTGATTAAGTCATTATTCTCCAAAACTCCAAAGCAGCATCATCTCATAATGTGATACTTTTACATTGCCAGAAAAAATTAGTCAAGACCTTTAAGTAATCCACAAAATGAACCCCTGCATAAATCAAAGTGTGTTTTGTTACCATAGAACTCACAGACACATTATATACAATATTTGAGTCTCACACTGGCACACTGGCAAGCACAAGCACACTGGCATTTCATACAAGCTGTAAAGTCTTATATGACAACATGCTTTTGGAAATCAGAGAATCAGATGGCTTACATTTCATGTATGGACATCATATCCTCATCTTACTTTCATCCACATCAAGTATCATTTTAAAATTACACTGGCATATCAGATTGTGTTACAGTAACATATGGAGCTGATTCATAGACTGCACATGTGCACACACACACACACACACACACACACACACACACACACAGTGACCAACACAATAGAAAACCTCTGTCTACAACTCAATCTGGATGGAGATGGAAATCAGAGAATCAGATGGCTTACATTTCATGTATGGACATCATATCCTCATCTTACTTTCATCCACATCAAGTATCATTTTAAAATTACACTGGCATATCAGATTGTGTTACAGTAACATATGGAGCTGATTCATAGACTGCACATGTGCACACACACACACACACACACACACACACACACACACACACAGTGACCAGCACAATAGAAAACCTCTGTCTACAACTCAATCTGTCTGTAGAGATGGAGATGATCTGTGGCTGATTAGTCTTGTCCAAACTCCACCCATGAACACCTGGTTTCTTTCAGATGCAGAAAGATCTCTTAAAAATCATAATAAATAGAGAAATGCTGCCATGACAACATAATTAGCAATGATCAGGACAGAAACTGAGAGAAATTATTTTTTCTGTATGCCCAGGCAGGTCAACAATGCTCTGACCAAAATTTTCAATTTCAGCTTTAATTCATATTTTTTGGGGGTGAATTTACATTTATTATTTAAAATTTATAAACTCTACTGTTACATTTATGACAGTATTTAATATACATTTCTAAATTATTAAATTAATTAAATCTGATTTATTGTAGATTTTTCAATCATATACATTTTTTTGTTGATCTTTATTTATTTATTTATTTTGCAATACTAGTAGTTGAATAGCAACAGGAATATAAACCATGTGACCTCCATCCACAAACTCAACAAAACACACACACACACACACACACACACACGCAACAGAGTAGTTTACACCCAACTCTTCACAGGAAAATGCAGACAAGGGCACCAAATCACAAATTTTACCCTTCCCGACTGGCTAGAACTGTACATTTTAAGCGTGTGATAGAGAGACAGGATATCCTAAACAAAAAAAGACAAGTAGGAAATGTGTGTATATGCATACCTCTGTCTCACTGGCCTTGTAAAAACTCCTGAAACACGCAAGACAACACTCTGAAACTAACACAAACACTTACCAAGGTAGCCATCCTGGTTGATATCTCCGAGAGGGGCGATGGCACTTCCATACCGGCTGAACAGGTGTGTTCCAGTGAGTGTGATTGGAGGGGAGAAGAGAAGCACGTCCTCTTGCAAATACAAGTACACACGGCCCACCTCACGAGGTTTACTCTCAAACTCACGGTCCATGTAGAGTGGAGCTCCAACTAGCACGTCATCTAGCCTGTGCGTGCACATAAATTCACAAATTTGACACAAACACCTCTAGGTTTTGAATTTTGGGAGGCCCATAAGTAACAAATTGTACATGCATTTGTTTTGATGATGCTTTATTTGGAAACTGAATGGATGGTTAACAACTGGATAAAGACCTGTAGCTTTATAGTGCATGTCTGAAGTCAAAGTATCATACAAGATGTCATCCTTGAGGTTACAAAACAGCAATATATACAAGGAAGTGCACCACTGAACCATTGTAAAATACGAGCCATCAGAGAAGACAAAGACGAGCCAGCACATGACAGTATCATGGCAGGGGATAAAGCATAAATCTTTTAAATGCTGATAATATAAAACAGAGACATTTTGCATGGAGATATGAATTGATGAGTGTGTTTTGGACTGAGTGAGGACCGATGGAGAAAACCCGAAATGTTCCGACAATTCGGAACAGGGCATTCTGAGAATAACCTGGACTAAAACCAACAAAGATGGTGGCGGAATTCCAATGATAAAATGGAATGAAACGTTGTAGAAAAATTCACATTTGTACTTCTCAGACTTCTTAGATCTAAGATAACAGATATAACAGAGTTATTTGATATCTAAAAAAATTATCACTGTGATTTATACGTTTCAGCATTTAGTAGCCAAAAAAATAACAAAAACGATACATTGATTTCAACACTAAAGACTGATTCCAGCAAATGAGCCATTTCAACCGCTATAAGTGTGATGAGCTGTAATGAGCTCTGTACGTTGGTCATTGCTGGTGTATCATTTAACTGCTCTTTCTTCGTGTATACTGCTGTTTTACTGTGTATTCAACTATGTACCGTTGGTAAGGAAGCCTTTCAGTTAATGGCATAAACATATGTCAGCATTTCAGACATAAGAGAAGGAGCTTTGGCGCTGATGTGTCAGCAAAGATTTGTATCCTCATAAGACCAAATTAGAAACAAATTTTATACATATCAAATTCCCTCCTGGACGATGTGAGCATTTAAACAAGGGTCAAGTAAACCAGAGCTTAATGCATGAGTCTAAATAAGCCAAAGCCCATATAAAACCTCATGGTCCTATTTATATGATCTATATGCTCCAAGTTCTATTTAGTTCCGAATACACCTTGTAACTAAATACAGCGTGAGCTGGTAAATTAAATTAGCTCAAAACAAATAATGCGGACAGATGAGAAAGCCTTGTTTCAATGCAGACAGACCGTGAGGAACACCTAAGTACTACGACTACAGAATGTGCTCTTTTGAGTTGCCTCACATGGTGATAAACATAGATTTCATAAGAATTACCTTAATATAGACAGACTTACTCAATGACTTTTTAAGGTTTTATGACCTTACATGTCATTAGAAATTAATTTCCATGTTGACTTACCCATCTCCATTTAGATCAGTCACTGCAATGGTGTATCCAAAATAAGAGGCCATCTGCCAGAAAAAGTTGTATATGAAATAGAAATGTGAGATGGAGAAAATGCAATTAAAAGGTCTTTGTCTCATTCAAAAACTTCCTTTGGTCTAATTTAGCCAGACATAAATATATTAAATACCATTGTGCTTAGCCTTCCATTGGCTGTTGAAGGCAAAACTCAAAAGAACAACAATAGTCATTTAAAAGAGATGTTTCTGTGCAATTTTTATTGATTATGGCAGCATTAACTTCATTAAATGACAAAGCGCATATACCCAGATGTGCAGTACAGTCACTACACACTTTCCTTGTCTATAACCTTTGTTTTTAAAACAAAGTATGCCAAAATGTGGCTGTTTGCTGCATTCTCCACAACTTAGAACTTAGCACTGACCCACAACTCCTGTAAATAATTCATAGTGAACAAATAGCATACTTATCTAATAAAAACAGCAAACAAAAATTTTAAAAACAGAAGTTAAAAAAACAAATCAAAGATTGGACAGTCACTCACCTGCTCCCCAGTAAAATTCTGGATAAAAGTCAGGTTTGTTGCATTGATCACAGCCACCTGTAATAAGAGAAAATTCAGATTGTATTAGTGCTAATAAAACACATCGTCATGATTCTGATGTACTGCAGGACTTGTGTATCTGACCACATGTCTGTCCTCCACTCCAAACCAGAGTGATTTTCCTCATGTTAGGCATTTAGCACTCTAATAATTACATCCAGATTGATCTTAGTGGATGTTTTATGGGACACATATGACTGAGATCCTAAATCAGACAAAGCCCCATATGGCTAATATCCAAGAATATAACATGCAGTAAAAAAAAAAGACGCAAATTCACTGTCTGCCTCACAAGCCGCCCATCCAGCTGAATATGATTCTGTTTAATTGAGGGCCAAAGGGGACACCCCTACGTCCTAGATGCTACAGTCCTAATTGGGAATTCCTTCTTAAGACTTCAAATCACATCCAGATGAGAAACTCACATGCACTTACACAAGTGACGAGGTTTTACCCGAATACCAGTCTTTGCAAAACATACAGCTTTTTTTGTTTATTTGAATAAATAAATGTTTCAATTTTATTACAAAGGTAGTGACTAACCTCTTGAACATTTCTCACATTCTTCCTTCCCCCTTGACCTTTCCCTCTGACCTTTGATTCCATATCTTACCATGACAGAAACACAGGAAACAAAGTCTGTTTAGGACTGTATACTTACATAACCAAAGTTGTGAGCCCCTCGAGGTACCCCTGCTACCAGTTCTGCATAGAGGACATAAGAAAAGCATACACTAAACATACCTGAGATATTTACATATGCGTCAGCAGCTTTATATATTTTAGACTTGCAGAGTTTGAAGAAACAAATGATGTGCTTCGGCACTCAACAATAATAAAACATACAATTTTCTTGTTTTGAGAAGAGTGTGTATGAGTGAACATTTCCACACTCACAACCACTTATCTAGCGCATCTCAGGCTAAACAGTGAGGTGAGACGTGTGAGTGTTGTTAATCTCGTCTCTGTCAACACCGTGTCAGTCACTCATTTATTATAAATATTTAGAAGAGCGAGACAGAGAGGAGAAAGTCACATAGTGGAGGAGACAGAGGCTGTCTGAGGCCTGATGGATGATCTTGGAGATAGTGTTGTGGTGGGAGGGTTTGCGGCTGTCTGTCGGACCTGTCCCACCCACTGAGATCGGAGAGGGACCGTTCAAAAGTCTGCCTCATTTCTAACTCGAAATCTCCCAGACTCCCAGGGACCCATCGCAGCCTCGCTCGTCCTCGACCCTTCCCCCCGCCACCTCAAATTTCCCGCCTTGCTTGACCACAAAGTGTGCCACAGCAAAAGGCCATGTATGTAACTCTGACAAAAAGAGATCAGCATGTCTCTCCTCTCTGGATTCACCACTAATCCAGACCAGATAGAACATATGTCTGAGAAAGACAGAGAGGGAATTCTGGGAAGAATGAACTGAAACCGCCAATAGTGTTGATTATTTGTGCATGCTGTCTGCATTGTTCTAACGTCTGATTCTCTAAAGGAATTGTGCAAATCAAGTAACAGACCACATATAACCCCCAAAAATGGTGCTGAACACAATTTTGTCACCATTTTCTGTTTTGCAGGTCAGTTTTGAGTGGTAACTTGTGGATGATACAGCAGACTACTGCAATCTGCCATACTTCATGATCATCATTTGATGAATTACTGTGGCCATGATCAATACACTCTATAAATTGTCATTTTAACAAATAAAGACCTGTTAATACATTTCCATATGTGACCCTGGAGCACAAAACCAGTCATAAGTAGCACAGGTATATTTGTAGCAATAGCCAATACATTGTATGGGTCAAAATTATCGATTTTTTTTAATGGCAAAAATCACTAGGATATTAAGTAAAAATCCTGTTACATGAAGATATATTGTAAATTTCCTACCGTAAATATATCAAAATGTAATTTTTGTTTAGTAATATGCATTGCTAAGAACTTCATTTGGACAACTTTAAAGGCGATTTTCTCAATGTTTTGATTTTTTTTGCACCCTCAGATTCCAGATTTTCAAATAGTTGCATCTCGGCCAAATATTGTCCTATAACAAACCAAACAAATGGAGAAAGGTTATTTATTCAGCTTTCAGATGATGTATAAATCTCAATTTTAAAAAAATGGACCCTTATGACTGGTTTTGTGGTCCAGGGTCACATATACAGGAAAACATTGTGAACGTATTAACATCCCATTATATGTAATTTTACAGTAAAATGATGTTTGGAAGTAAAATTTGAACATAAAATCTTTGAATTACAGTACCATACAATTTTTGGTGAAAAACAGTAAATGGACAAAAGTCCCTGTGGGACAAATCACTTGATTATATTTCATCAAACAGTTTTGTTTCTTAATATTTGTACATTAGGGTGTTTTTTGTTCCATTTTCTGTTAAGTCAAATGTACTTTTATAGCACAATACACATCATTTTAAAGCAGCTTTACAGAAAATCATGATGTTAATATTTATAATATTTTATATCTCCATGCCTTATAGTCACATTTACCAGATTAGAGCTGGGTGATAATAAGATATGTAGCTGATAATTATTGCATTATTTAGTTCATGTTTATTGCATTATTTTAGTGTCATATGCTTTACCACGATGGTGTTTTGTCTTTGTATTAACCAGTGCAAGTATGCAAGTACCATTTAAGCATGTTTCATGGACAGGCCACTTGCAATTAACTCTGATTCATTATGTGGTTTTCTATTGTGGTACCTGTATCAGTAGCAGTTTTGAAAGATAGGTATTTTAACATTATATCACCTAATGAAATATACAGTCACCAATATACCATCCCGCAATATTAGAAACACTGTCACAGTATTTTACAGTGAATTTCTGGCAACCAGAGCTGCATTTTTTTATTCACCTTAACTGGCTCTTTTTATTTTTACAATGTAGAAAAAATAACCAATCATCTTTTTATAATTTAAAATGTGTACTTTTCAATTAGGTGCACTCTATTATATAGCATAATAATTCACACAGGATTATTTCATTCCAGATTTTAGTCTGTTCAAGCTGGATTGTGGGTGGTTGGTAAATAAATTGCAGGGTTTTGCAGAACGGTACTGTCAGATGGATAGGTAGGCTAATGATTGCTTATGAGTCAATGTGGGCGCACACATGTGTGTGTGTTAGAGAGGGATGACAGACTGCAGATGGGATGTTTGTCACTGAGTGGCATGTCAGGGACAGAATCCTGGGAGTGCTCTGTAATTATGGTCTGAGGCTGAAGGGTCCGATCAAAGCTCAGTAAGCAACAAATCCACACAACCACCACACACAGAGACAGAGCTCTCTCTCATGCACTCACATTAATACACACACTCTACAAAAAATGTAGAGGTTTGTTTATGTGTCTGAGATAGAGGTCTGGTACTCAACCCGAACATTACGACATGTGACTAGCAAAGAAGATATTTTAAAGTATGTTCTGTCTACACATGGAGTCTTTCGTGTTCCACAGAAAAAAGTAAATACAGATTTAGAACAACATGATGGAGTAAATGATGATAGAATTAGAATTTTTAGGTGAACTATCCCTTTAATCTGTATCATTCACGTATATAAAAGGTTTAAACGTTCTCACCTTGTTCCGAATCACCTGTGAACTCTCCGACCGCTACAGAGTAACCTACCAGACACAGAAAGAGAACATAAGAAAACCAGAGCGACTACAGTGAGAGGAACGGTTGATGCTGCTTACCAAAGTGGGTTTAAAAACTATGTTTACTCATGTTGGTTTTATCTCATAATTTTATTATCGATTGCACTATTATCATGACAGTCCAGCTGTGATGATGATTACTTACAGTACAGGGAAAATGTTTATAGGATTTTCAAGTGTGTATTTAAAGAATATGTGTGTGTGTGTGTGTATGAGTGTTTTGAGGTCTGTAGTTCCAGATGGAAATGTTATCAGTAGGCACAAACTTAGCACCGAATTGAGCTATGAGACAGAGGGTCAAGGTTACCTCAACATCCACCAAAAAAAGCTCATGTGTGTTCATGTGCGCGTGTGTTTATTAAATTGACAGAGGGCTGGTCCTCTGACCCATAAACAGGGCCCCAAAGAAAATCGCTGGTGTCCCATAAAGCATCTTTACCTTTCAAAGGCAAACACACACAAACACGTCTCTTACCTAGGTAACTGTCATCATATGTGTCTGATGCAGCCACAGTCTGCTTCTCTCCCTGAACTTTGCGCAGAATAGTTTTCAGGGAATAGCCGTTCAATATTTCGGCGACACCTGCAGTGATCACTTGACCTAAACACACAAACACACATTATTTTCCACAAGGCCTACTGATTTTGTGTCAGTGTGTGTTGATGTGCATCACAGACATTGTACAACTGTGGTGGCAGATGTTGTTACTTTAAAGTACAAAATAGAAATTCCAATAGAAATCATATGCACTAAAATAACAGGAATAAAAACAGCAATAGGGGGGGGGGGGGGGGTTTTGGTGAAAAAAAACTTATAGGCTAAGGGCATGAGTTTATTCATGTGATTTTTTTTTCAATTAAAAATATCTTTTTTTTATTCTAAAAGGAAAATATAGTTTTTCTCTTAGAACCATTAATGCCATTTTTTCATCTTTTTATATTTAAAAAATGGATAGTTACATAATTATATTCAGTTACAATAGTTCAATGATATCTTTTTTTGTAATATATTTCTAATTTCTAATATCTTTCTAATTCTAAAATGAATTATTGTGACCTTGAATTAATTGAAGAAAAAAAAGATGCAGCATAGATATAATTTAGGATTGATAAGTTTCATATTTTAAAATATTTTCCAGTGGAAATACCACTGCTATTGCAGAATGGTCCATTAATTGATGATTTGATCCAAGGATGGAAGCTCAATTCTGAACAGGCAGAAACATTCAAAGGGGACACAACTTCTCTTAAAACTGTTAAAACCTCCCTGTATTACTTCCACATCATTCAGATTTGTCATTCTGCAACTATCTACATTACATAAGCACTGAGGAAAACAACACAGATGCAAGTTCTCAGATTAAGATGTGCGAGAGAGAGTAATGTCTTCCATTTTTGTTGTTCACGTTCAATAAACACATTACTTTCTTTTACTACCAGGCCTAAGCTGAACCCCAACCATTAATCTCTCTTAATGTGTGTGTTTAGCTGTGTGTCTGTGTGTACATGCGTCTCTATTAATTTGCATTTGTTTTGTAGACACACACACAATACAACATGTGGTACTTTTTCTCCTCACAGAAATCTGTTGTCTTTCCCCCCAAAAAATTATGAAAGGCAAAGGTTAAGATGGACTGAACGTGGGAAAAGAGGAGAGGAGAGAAAACGAGTGGCAGGTCATAACTCCTAATGCATCTGTATTTGTCCACAGCATGAAGTATATGAGCGAAATAGAGAGACCCTGTGTCTGACATTACATTTTTGTGTCATCTCAAGTCATCTGTCTCTCCATTACAAACAAAAACCAATAACACATGTGAGACTTGACGTGGAACCCAGTATTATTAATATTTAATAAGGGCCGTGACTCTGAGTTCAGGCTGTGGGGGGTCTGAAGATTGAACAAATCTGTTTTTATGTCTTAACATACAACTGCAATTACAAAACAATCAACATCTAGCATTGTGATCCAAATCCAAACACATAAACAATTACATATACATCCGGCCAAAAAATATTTAGCTGCGCCTCATTTGGTCAGGGCCAAACATCCATTCCATGCATTTTTAAAAAGATTTTTAAGAGGAGCACTTCACTACAAGAAATACAGTTAGATATATTCTTGAAGCTTTCTTACACCTTTTGGATTTGGCGCATGCATTTCTATCGCTTCTTCAGCCATTAATGATAAGCACTAATTATAAAAATCATTGATAAAATGATTTTTAAAAAATGTTAAAGACACTGCACTTCCAAAAGGCAGTTTATGGCTAATTAAATGTGTGACCCTGGACCACAAAACCAGTCATAAGTAACATGGGCATATTTGTAGCAATAGCAAAAAATATATTGTAGGTGTCAAAATTATCGATTTTTCTTTAATGCCAAAAATCATTAGGATATTAAGTAAAGATCATGTTCCATGAAGATATTTAGTAAATTTCCTGCCATAAATATAACAAAACTTCAATTTTGATACGTAATATGTATTGCTAAGAACTTCATTTGGACAACTTAAAAGGTGATTTTCTCAATACTATTTTATTGCACCCTCAGATTCTAGATATTCAAATAGTTGTATCTCGACCAAATATTGTCCTATCCTAACAAACCATACATTAATGGAAAGCTTATTTATTCGGCTTTCAGGTGATGTATGAATCTCAATTTTAAAAAATTGACCCTTATGACTAGTTTTGTGGTCCTGAGTCACATATATTAGAGTGGAACATTAATTTTTAAGAAATTAAAAAATTGTATAAAAAGTTTATAACAAATGAAGTCTTAAGAACTTAAATATTTAGCCTTTTTTTTAATTCCCTGATTTTTCCAGGTTTCCATTACTTCGGGAATCTAAAGACACCACATCAAATCTGCGTGTTTTTCAATAACTGATTTTAATACCAATATCAAGCTAGCACAAGTCACTAATGGGCAATATAATACAAAAAATATAATTTAGAAATATTATAATTACAGTAATTATAACTCAATTATATTATTTAAAAATACAGGAAATACATAAAATTTTATGTGAATTAAATAAGTATTTTGTGCAAAATTTGCTCAGAATTCAATATAATTATTTGTAAAAAGGTGCATAAATAAAGCTAAGTAGATCAACTCAACTCAAAGTGGGCCTGCCAGTTTTGTTAATCCGCCAGATGAGTTCATGCTGGCAGTCTCTAAATGGCCAAACACTTGCTGATTTATTTATCTCTAACATAAACACCGCTAAACATATGCAGGTGTACAGATTTCTTTACACAGTATTATCTTTAAATGCATTTCATTGCCAATTGTGCAGAACGTATAATTCAGGCTAAAAGTGAAGAAGTGCAGGCATTCATTAACCTGCGTTCACTGGAGTTTAAAAGCGATGATTAAAGATTCTTTCTGGTCATTAAAGCCACTGACCAGAAAGAGCAGCTCATTGACCTCTCTCTGTCTTCTATTATCACGAACTGCGGCAGAACATTTCACTGATTGGCTGAACAGACTCAGAAATGGTAGCGCTAACACACTGAGATAATCCCGATTATTTTGGTAACAGGGCTCATGGGAGGTGACGTGTCATCGTTCTGAGTGTCTGTTATTCTGCTCTGAAGGTGGAGGAAGGGTCAGCCTGGTCAGTTTGTTGGACGGAACTGAGATTCTTGGGGTCCTGTGAGACAGTGAGTCTGGGATATGAGAGACTTGCGTCTGCCAATCTCACTCAGAGAGACTCTGTAAAAGGATGGAATGATGGAAAAGACAAAATAATGAGGAGAAGTGTGTTACCTTGCCAGTAGAAACTCCCTGGCCCTCCCACAACCAGAGTCCCTTCCTGAGAGATGGAGAAAAAAAACAAGTGAGGAAATAGGAGAGAAGGTAGAAATGAGGACACAGGCCTCAAAAATGTGTTTGTGTTTATTTCTGTGTGTTCGCTTGTGCTTTTCGAGCAGGATTATGGAGAAAGGCTTACAAGCAACTGCATAAGTAGAAATAAAATAAATAATAAGGAATAAGCCCTCATTCCTGCCTGAATGAAGGGTCGAAGTGATACATAAAAGCATTTCCATTTAAAACTGGAAATGACTGCTGTGGGATTCTGAACAAAAAGCAGGACATGTCACACAGGAGAGTGTGTAATCATAAAGATGAAATACACAGACAGGGTTGAGGAGGGAGATCTGTTACCTTAGTAAAATCAACGCTGAAGCCCGCCTGGCAGAAGCCCTGGCCCTCGGGGTCCGGGTTATCTACAAAGATCAGAGCAACTTCATTTACACAAGCCTTTAGGATATGAATGAGTACAGAAAGTTTCAGCACTTCGAAGACAAATCTGTAAAATATTCAAGTAAATGGATAATATGATGCAATGAAATGTAAAGTTCACAAGTTCAGACTTTATAATATTGTTAAATGAGATTAAATGTAAATATGAGAGTCCACATTCCTCTTTGAACTACCTAATTACTGAATATATCGGAATGGTCATACATCAGACAGACTATGTATTAAAACAGTAAAATATTATAATAGCAAAATAAACATACATTATATTAACAATATATTAAATTCTTAAATACTTAGTAAATATGGAATACTTCATTTATTGAGTTCTAACAGTAATAGAATTATTCTTACATTGAAGCTGAAAAAATGAATCATCAACAAATATCCAATATACCCCCTATAATATATCTCCTGCCCTACTTGTATAGTATAGATAGTATATCAGTAATTAAGTATAACATAATTCATATTCATGAGCAAAGCCATTGCCATTTCGTGACATCAAATCATCCCAACTGTCTGCAGTTCTTTATAAAACAATATGGTTTTGTTATATGGTGCTAACCCTATGCTTAATCCCAAACCTAACCATAACCAACTCCTTAGTCATAAGATTGACTGATAAGAATGATGTTTAAGCGCCACGTCCAGGCCAAAATCTAACCTTAAAATCTGATTGGGGTATAGGAATGTGGTTCCAGGATCAACAAGGATGTACAGTAAGTTATGTCCTGTGTGTTGCTATAATACCGTAGGTGGGGTTAATGAGGCGAAACATCACTTCCAAATCCCAACCCCTGTTCTCTAAAAATACAATAAACACTCTCTCTCTCATTCCATCCCGGTTTCTCTTTTTTCACTCCTCGGCCAGACTTCACTTAGTATTTCATTTCTCACATTTCCTTAATACTACTATAAGAATGATGTTTAAGCGCCACGTCCAGGCCAAAATCTAACCTTAAAATCTGATTGGGGTATAGGAATGTGGTTCCAGGATCAACAAGGATGTACAGTAAGTTATGTCCTGTGTGTTGCTATAATACCGTAGGTGGGGTTAATGAGGCGAAACATCACTTCCAAATCCCAACCCCTGTTCTCTAAAAATACAATAAACACTCTCTCTCTCATTCCATCCCTGTTTCTCTTTTTTCACTCCTCGGCCAGACTTCACTTAGTATTTCATTTCTCACATTTCCTTAATACTACCGTCTTTGCAAAATGTGTGTATGCATGCATGCATGAGAGTGTCCATAGCAGACAAAAACAAGCTGGATTTTATCAACACCGAGCATCTCTGCCCTGAGTCTTGGCAGGGACTTCTAGCTGACCTACCAGGGAGACGGCTGGCACTTGAAATTGTTTAACAAAGAATGAGGAAAGTAATTCACAGGCATTATGGCCTCATGTGTCATATAATAATTTCCCCTAAGAGCACATTAGGCACACTTATCATTATTAATATACCACTTTACTCTGTACTAACTGTTAATACACACGTGTATGTGCATGCTGTGAAAATTTAAGAGAATATGTGTATCTGATATGACGACAAGAAATTAGAGTATATTTATCAACTACTATTACTGTGAATGAGACTTTAAAGTACAGGAAATAAGCAGGAAATTACATAAAAATAAACATGTGAGTTTCCCCTTTGATCTTTGGCAACTAGCACAACTGGGCAGCCCGAGAAGCAGCGGACACATCTGTGATTCTGTGTGAAAAGCAGAGCTGGCACGACTACTCATTTTAACTAGTTGACTAGTCATCCAAAACAAAAAAAAGTACAGTAAATCAGAAAAAACACTCCAAGAAGTGACAGTATTCTTGGTGCTGTTTTTGGATCATCCAGCACTGCGTTGACTAAGAGTCTGTGAGTGTGTCTGTGCAGCTGAGGATGATGCAGGTGAGAAACGAAAGCATGCATACTTCATTACACAGATTTATGCTGTTTGCATTGCAACAAACAGTGCCAAAACCTGTCATGTTCCACTGGCTTATAGGTTCTGTCAGTCTTTGGGCAGAACTTGATTCATTTCAGGGCGGTATGCAAGAATTTTGGCTTGTAGGTGCACACTAAATGAACACAGACCATCTTAGGTACACTTCTAACTTACATTGCGAACATAAGGAGCTCTGAGTTCAGGCTATTTTAACTCTATTTTTCTGAGAATTTCTTTTAGAGCACTGTCAAATATAATTGGCCATTACAGTTTTCTATACAAAACTGTCATGCAGCTATACTACCGTTCAAACGTTTGGGATTAGAAACAATGTCTTTGAAAGATTCTTCTTTTGCTCACCAAGGCTGCATTTACTTGACCAAAAATACAGTAAAAACAATAATATTGCAAAATATTACTACAATTGATCAAAACGGTTTTCTATTTGAATGCATTTAAAATGTAATTTATTAGCAAATGGCTGCAATATAACAAAGAGTGAAAAATTTAAGGGGGTCTGAATACTTTCCGTACCCAATGAGGAAAACAGTTCATAAATCATACAGAATGAAGTTTGAAATCTAAAATAGCAGAAAGTTTTGTGTGAGGGGTAGGGTTAGGGTAAGGGGATAGAAAATACAGTGTGTCCAGTCTAAAAAAAAAAAAACACGTTTATGGAATGGCCCCATAAAACGTGTGGAAACCAGTGTGTGTGTTTGTGTGAAATACTCACTGGTTCGACAGGGAGAATACTCAGCATAGGCACTGAAGTTCTGCACAGCCACATAACAAGTTCCCACTGGATCCATCTCACTGCTGACCTTCACTGTCCTCCAGTGATAGAGGGGCGCACAAGCCTACAGAACCACACAAACACCATGTTACTGTAAATAACAGCATTGATAGACATAGATCATAAAGAGACTACTTAGGACAGAGCTGGAGATTTTCTGAATAAAAGCATTTGAAAGAGCAAAATGTTTCCGTATCTGATTGTTTGAAGAACAACAGTCACATTTGGGAACCATGCCTTCCCTCATGTAATAACTCTGGGCTTTTTCTTTCAAACATCAGCAGTTCTCCACCTCGCATGGTCAACCTCAAATCAACATTTTCCAAAACCCCCTCAGTAACAGGACAGAGCCACATTTCCTATCAAAACATTTCTCCAAAACAACACTCCCGTGCATTCATGAATGAACTCTGATTCTGGCTCCCATACATTCATGAATGAAACACTAATGCTATTAAACAGCATTAAACCCATTAATGGGCAGCTACTTACTGATAAAGAGTAGAGTTTCCAACCGCATCCATGAATGCACGGAAGCATGCGTCCAGCATGAGGATGACTGCAAATGGTCTTTAACTGGATTATGTTTCTGAGCATCACTTACCACTACTTTGCCTTTGTGGGTCCTGACTGTGGCTCCAAACCACTGATGGGATTTAAATTCTAAAGGCTCCCGTGTCCCGTTCACTTTAATCATTCGGTTATCTGGACAAGAGAGGGGACGAATGAAAGTTACAGAAAAACAGAGTGGCACTTCATTATATAATAAACAGAAAACATCAGGCAGCTGAGAAATGTAACACATTGTGAACACTTGAGCCAGTATACTCATTTTGGAACAACATGAGCCATGAAACAGCAAATTAGGTTTCAAATGAGTCTGAGTGTGTTTGTTTATAAGAAAGCACATCTACAGGGGGTCGTTTTACTCACAGAGTGTGTACACACAGCTACATGATTCTGCGGATCTGTGTCTACAGGGGTTCTGTGTGATCCAGGAAAGATCTCTCTACAGCTGGGCCTGTTTAGAGCTCCATAAGGTACAGTCTACACCTCATAAAAACACATCAACTCTAATCCTTCTCTGCTTTCTTCTCTCCATCTCTCAGGCCTTTACTATTGGTCTTTTTCTTGATATGTAAGTCTTATACTTTGGCTTGCATAATAAGATTTCACAGTATTTTGAAGTCATTTTCTTTTTATATATAACTTCTTAAAGACTCACCACTAAGGCAAGCATCGCCATTAATGCTGTGAAGATAAGTAACCAATTTCAAACTCTAATGGTCACATTTACTGTTATTCAGCGACTTTTCTTAGTTCAAATTGTGTCATTTCAATAGGAGTCTGTGCATTCAACAATTTGGTCACACAAAATTTACTGGGTTGACCAAAAGAAAGTTGCATGGCTACGCTATTGACAATGGGTGAATTTGGGTGAAACCCCGCTAATGTGACCACTCCTTAATGAAATATGAAAATTTGGGACAAAGGACATACCCTGTTCCTTGCTGTCTGTGCTATGAATATGTGTATACCTTATACTATGCAGCTTGTTGAAAAGAGTCTGCTACTTCTTTGCTAAAGCATTTGATTTATGATATTCACCTGGTGATAAAATTCTGTAGACTTGCTATGAAAGAGGGACCTGAGACTCCACCATCACACCCTAGCAACCACAAATCAACACTTTAGGATCATAGTGGGGACTTTTGCAGTTTTGCACAGAAACACACTAAAAAAATGTGTATCCAAAAGTGCCTCATGCCAAAACATTTTTTTCTTATTATATGAAAGTTTACCTACAATTTGAGTGTGTTTATATTATGTTTTGCAAGCCTATAAGTGCAATATTACCATTGCATTGTAGGAAGTTGCTGTTGCTGAGTGAGATCAGCAGAATGGATGAACACTAAATAACATTAAACAGACACAAACATGCACAAACATACTCATGCAGTACTATATTTAATTTATAAACATAATGAGACTGTTCAAACAGAAAAGCATGAAACAGGCAAAAATTCAGGATATTCTGCTTAAATGAACACAAGTTCTGGTGTCACAGACTGCGCTAAAATGCAACGCCAGACTCACAATATAAAAACACAGCAGGGCGTCATTTGGTGCTTTAAAACATCTGTTTCATTTTTGGTTTCAAAACACATGCTTGTCATTTTTCTTTTCATTTTTTTTTTTGACCGAGATCTTTGTAAATGAAAGTGACCTGTGCTGCTAAACAGACAGTCTTGACTTACACATTCAATCATCTCTGATAATATATAAATATAAAATTACATATTTACCTCAAATCTGTGGAATGTATCTGCTGTAAGGCCTCTATAATATCTGGACATGTAACTATGAATCTGTGTGTGAGAGAATTGTGTGAAATTTTGCAAGGCGAGGTCCATTGGTACGTGGCCCTATCTGGTGTATCTAATGAATTTACTCTTCTCAGTCAGGACTGCATTAGTCATACACACACAGGCTGTCATCAGAAATGTCAGTCGCACACTCACGTGCCATGCCCCCCATGGAGAGCTCTGAGGGCCACAGTGGGAAGAGCGCACGGGATCAAAGGTCAAGTGTGTTAAAAACAACGTGACTAATGAATCTGGAAATGTGTGTGTTTGGCGTGGACGTTCTTGCTGAGTAGATGCTCAGACACTAACAAAGAACAGACAGCGCTTCTGTCCTCCCTCATCAGGGTTTGGTCTCCTTCCTTATTCCCCTTGTGTTCACAGCTCTTTTAACTCTCTCTCTCACATATCTCTCTCTGCCTATCTCACCTCATCACCATTAGGCTCCTTTTAAAACCAACCGTCTCGAACCAGAGCACCACTGCTTTCATCTCCAAAAGACAATCCGTTTCAATGTCAATTCCTCACGCACACTTCAGTACTTCGTCTACAAATGGTGATTCTCACTGGCTCACCTACAAATGGCTGAATATGATGATGCAAAAAGGAATTTCTTCCTAAAAAAACAACAACAAAAAAAACAAGCTTAAAGTAAAAATGAAATAATTGTTAAATAAATAAATAATAATAATGACTATTAATAATAAACAATGACTTATTTATAAAATCGCATTAGCTGCTCCAAAGCCAAGCAAACCGATTATTACATCCATTTTTTAAATATTATGGACTGATTAAATGCAGATCATAAAAAAATCTGTACATTTTAATGTCATTAATTCGGGAATCGGATCACACTGTTCGCCTAATTGTTTTTGATTCACTAAAAAGAACCGGCTCATTCGAGTCGCTTGTTTGAGAATCGTACTATACATTTCGCCCTGTATGTATAAAGAATCGGCTCGAACGAGTCATTCGTTCGAGAATCAGACCGCACTGTCCGCATGGTTCTCTATTTATAAGGTCATGTAATAGCCTTTACTGATAAGAGCCTACTTTAGAAACAGGAACAGACGAGTGGGGGTTCAATCTAGAAACAGGAACAGCACATAAATACTAACAAAAAAAACAAGCTTAAAGTAAAAATGAAATAATTGTTAAATAAATAAATAATAATAATGACTATTAATAATAAACAATGACTTATTTATAAAATCGCATTAGCTGCTCCAAAGCCAAGCAAACCGATTATTACATCCATTTTTTTTATATTATGGACTGATTAAATGCAGATCATAAAAAAATCTGTACATTTTAATGTCATTAATTCGGGAATCGGATCACACTGTTCGCCTAATTGTTTTTGATTCACTAAAAAGAACCGGCTCATTCGAGTCGCTTGTTTGAGAATCGTACTATACATTTCGCCCTGTATGTATAAAGAATCGGCTCGAACGAGTCATTCGTTCGAGAATCAGACCGCACTGTCCGCATGGTTCTCTATTTATAAGGTCATGTAATAGCCTTTACTGATAAGAGCCTACTTTAGAAACAGGAACAACACATAAATACTGCGATGAAAGCTCTCTCTAGAGAATACTATGAACAACACCACGAGACGAGACTGACGAAACACAAGTGCTCAAATTCCGCTGCATCCAAGTCTGTCTCCAGTCCACGCCGCGGTTCTGAGTCCAAAACCGACCACTGCATTTACCGGCAAGCCACGGCTCCTCAAAATAGTCCAGTAATATCATAAACACTCCTGCAATCTCCGGTCCAGATGACAAAATCGATTTAAATGTGATGTTTTGTGACTCTCAAAAGCAACTTTTCCTTTTTCTGGCACTTCAAGTTTGATTCCCCAATACAGACATCATCAACACCCTTTCCCTCACTCAATTAATTAGACGACAAAGACAGCAGAAAATGTGAACAAATAAATTTAAATGTAAAGATAAAATGTTGTGTTGACCTAAATAATAGACGCGCGTAATGGACGTCTAAATTACTAAAAGCAACTTTTCCTTTTTCTGGCACTTCAAGTTTGATTCCCCAATACCTACAGACATCATCAACACCCTTTCCCTCACTCAATTAATTAGACGACAAAGACAGCAGAAAATGTGAACAAATAAATTTAAATGTAAAGATAAAATGTTGTGTTGACCTAAATAATAGACGCGCGTAATGGACGTCTAAATTACGGCAGATTACGCACCGAGGTAAAGTTGCGCGCCTTTCCCTGGTAATTACTCCGTTCCTGAAATTTTAAATCAAACCATATGCGCTGAAATTAACTCTTTCTAGGATGTGGTTTTTGATCTTTTTATTGAAGGAATAGGAATTTATGAAACCTACTCTAAAGATGTTGCTTGTGACATCTGTGCTAGTAAATAAGATAAAGAAACAACATAGCATGTGTTTCTAAATTATTTGCGCATTATTTTAAATGTAAGAGTTTAAACTCAATACAGTAATTTAAAGAAATGCATAAAAAGGCACTTAAGAAGACATCGTTATACCTGAAAGGGGCTAATTGTTTCAGTAGAAACTGTTCTGAACTTTCTGAATTAGTTGACAGGTTCTAAATCATGAGGGTACCTACTTGCTTTATCAAAGGGGATCTGGCGGCATGAGTCTGGGTCTGGTGCCGGCCAGGGGCAGTAGTACACCGCTCCTCCCTCCACAATCCCTGGCTGAGAGGTGTTCGCTTTAGGAGCCCCGACTAGCACCGACATGCTGAAGAGAGAAAGGCATAAATCTACACAACTGCATTCTACTTTTAAGTGACAAGATGGACCCCAGCAAATGAATTCAAATGTGATTTAGCCTATTCTATTCACTCTTTCCAATTACATATCAACCTCAGGCGTCTGAGTTCACTGGTCCACATTGGTGGTGCTGAAAAGCTTTTTTAATAAAAAGCTGCGTCAAAAGTCTCGAACATTTTAGGCATATCCAAACTGAGTTTGCTTCTGAATTGAGGATACTAATTGTTAAAAGTTCAGCAAGCAAAATTTTTGTCCAGTCTCGCTTGATACGAGACTTCAGAAGCTCAGCAGTCTGTGATTTTTGTTGTCTGATTCTCCTTTTCATGACTGGTCATACATTTTCAATTAGAGACAGATCTGGACTGCAGGTAAAGGCCAGTCTAGCACAGTCACTCTGTCTCTATGAAACCAAACGGTTGTATAGCACATGCAGAATGAGAGCTGACATTGTCTTGATCTAATAACCACGGACTTCCTATGAAAGACATCATCTTGATGGCAGTATATATCTCTGTACAATCCCAATATATACCTCCCTGTCAAAAGTACCTTCGCACATATTCCAGTCACCCATGCCGTTTGCTCTGCTGCACTCCCATACCATGACAGACGTTTGCTTTTGTTTCTGTCGCTAATGAAAGTCTGGTTGGTCCCTTTGGTCTTTGGGACTGAGAACTCGAAATCCATTTTTCCCGGAAACAAGTTGAAAAGTGGACTCATCTGAGTACAGCACACATTTTCACTGTCTTTTTGGCTGTCTGAGATGAGCTGTGGCCCAGAGAACCCGGCAGCATCGAAGCATAGAATTGATGTATAGCTTTCTTCTAGAGTAACAGATATTCAAGTTGCATTTCTTGATGCAGCAGCAGACTGTAGTAAATGACAGCGGATTTTCTGAAGTACTCCTGAGCCCATGTGGCTATATTTAACACTGCAGCATGACGGTTTCTTATGCAATGCCATCTGAGGGCTCAAAGGTCAAGCACATTCAACTGAGGTTTCCTGCCTTGCCCTACATGTACTGTGATTTCTTTGGATTCCCTGAATCTTTTCACAATATTATGTATGGTACTTGTAAAAGACCTAAAATGTGATTTCTAATTTGTTTGATACTTCTCTCGTGAAATTTGGCACAAAGTGATTAGCCATGATCTATCTTTGCTTACAAAGACTGAGATGCTCCTTTTATACCCAAACATGATCCATTACCAATTCACCTGCTTACTGTGAACGGTTTCAAAACAGTATAACGGGGACATTCTACAAATTTTTGGGAATGTGTTGCAACCGTCAAAAACAAAATTTGTTCATATTTACAAAATACATTTACGTTGGTCAGTGAAAACTTTGGAAATCTTTTCTTTGTACTTTTGTCAATTAAATAAAAGTTAAAGAGAATTAACAAATCACAGATTCTCTGGAATTGGGGTTGTAGTTATTATTAACTTTAAATATTATAAAAAAAATAACTGCTTATTTAATTTTTTTTTAATTTATACTAAATTAAATAATCAAATTCTATAAAATACATAATATATAAAATATATACATTTATATGATGTGATATAGCCTAATAGCCTATCGAAATATTGTTATATTCAGTCTAAATAAATGAATAAATAAAAACGTTGATTTTATAATTAGATAATAAGCCTATATCAAAGTTACATGAATTAATATTAAGACCGCCATATTGCTCAGATCATGTTAAGTGTTTATGGTTTTCTACAGGAGAAAAAACGCTTAACAAGAGACTTTGTGCATTGCGTTCATATTCTGCTGTTCTGTGGCCACGGATTTGCGGTTCTTGTCTTTTTCTTGCAGGACCCTGTATGTTATAGTACAAAATTAGTGGTAATCATTTAATCACCACAGCGTCTTGTCTCCATTGGCAACACGCACCATTTGTGTCGATTGCAAGTGAAGTCGCAGGTATCGGAGAGTGCAAGTGGCGATTGCAAGTGACTTCGTAATTTTGTTTATTTTTTCTTGTCTTCACCACCTGGCTACTGTTGTAAAATGTTGAGAGATTCAAACAAAAAGTAATCAATAAATAGAACAAAATAAAAAAATAAAAGACTGCAAGTGAGGTCGCTAGCGGAAGCGCAAGTGTCTGAGAGTGCAAGTCTGAGAGTGCAAGTGCAAGGCTGCAGCTAGACCCTCTTGGGCTCCATCTGGTTGTCAGAGTTTTGATCTTGTCTAAATGAAGTCATTCCCTTCACCGCCTATCCTGTGATCACCAAACAGTCCGGGTTCCAACTGTAAACAATCTCACACTTTTTAGAAAACTACTCAAACCCATTTTAAAATACAAAAATGTGGATGTCATGTGGACATTATATAATGAAAAACTGACCTTATGTTATACACACCAGCTTTTGCATACAAAATAAATAAATACATAAAAGTAATAATAAAATAAAAAGAGAATCAAGTGCTCCATTTGAGACACAGCCATAGCGAATAGGGACCGCCCATCTAACAGGAATGTTTTCTGAATGTTCTGGCAAGGTTCTCGCTTCTAGTAACATTATAGAAACTTCGTCCAAGTTATCTGGTCTTTAGTACTGTTTTCAAAAAGTTAGCACAAAAACATTATTTATACATGTACTGGAGACTTACAGAAGTCAGGCCTTGAATCAATCCCGTCTCATCGGAGGTGATGTATCTGAAAATATACAGTTTACGTTTCACAAACTAATATTAATAATAGCACATGAATACATAAAAAGGAATAGTTCACTGAAAATTTTTAATTCGGTCATGAATTACTCACCCTCATGTCGTTCCAAACCCGTATAACCTTTGTTCATCTTCGGAACACATATTAAGATATTTTTTGATGAAATCCAAAAGCTTCTGACCCTGCATAGACCACAATGTAACTGAAATGTTCCCAGACCCAGAAACGTAGTAAGCACGTCGGTAAAATCGTACATGTGACATCAGTGGTTCAACCGTAATTTTACGAAGCTACGAGAATACTTTTTGTGTGCAATGAAAACAGAAACAACGACTTTATTCAACAATTCCTCTCCCTCTCGTCATCGGCCGCCATTATCGAGAGTACCTCTGCACGTAAACAACGCATGTGTGTGGTGCTGCTCACCTAGAACATGCATGCGCTGCGCCTTGTTTACGAGCAGAGGAATGTACACACGTGTCGCGGCAGACAGAACATACTTAGTAATCAAACATCATTGCGAAACATCTAACTTGTTCTATTAAACGCTGATGATTCAAGTAAAACAAGTAAGGGTGAATAAAAGAAGCATGATCTTCTGAAAACAAAAACAAAAGTATAGATCAAGTTAAAACGAATTCCGCAGCTTCTCTGTTCACCATAAAGTACTCCACAGTAGAGCTAGCAAAACATTTCCTTACATAGCTTACTGCTGTTGAGATATAACGTATGTTTTTGGCCCACTCTCAAAGAGAAGCAGGTGAAATACATAAAAGCCTTCACAGCAGCACACATGCATCAGCCAAGTCTGAAGTGTTGTTCTGCTGTCCATTTTTGTGTACTGGTGAAGACTGTTGGCGACAATCTTAGATATAGTGTTGTCTTTACAACCTAGCACTAAAAGCATGATGATTCGATTCCATAGACGATAATGGGTTCAGTACTGGATCTCCAGTGATTGTTGTCATCGCTCTGTCTGGTTTAATAAAACACACATTCACAGTCGTGAACGGATACCCGCTTCTCTTCTCAGAAATTACATATTTGGCTCAGCTGCCTCTGAAGACTTTTTGTAAACAATGAGAAGAGTTCATATCTAACAGACACAAAAAATAATAGATTAGGCATGGTCCATGTATTGTACTTTCATTCCAGGAGGAATGAGAGAGCTGGAGAACATTCTCTGAATTCCCCTCTAAGGCTCTGGGAGGCAAAGAGCCAGACAGACTTTTATCACACTGGCCAGAAACACTGGGATTTTAAAGCAAGCCTCACAAGCTAAATCATGCAAAATATAAGCAAAGACAGACACATCATCCAGTGTCCTGTTAAATGTTCAATCAAATTATAAATGAATATAAATTACAATCAAATTATGTTGCAGTATCAAAGCATCATTAACTTTGCACTTGCTTATAAAGAATGGATATTCATTAAATATAAGCTGGATTTTAACGACAGAAACTGCAAGTACTAAGTAAGGCAAGTACTGTGTGGGATCTCAGAAACTATAGACAGACTCCAAATCTTACATTGTAATTTTGTTCTCTGTGGTATTATTACAAATACTGAAACCTTTTTTTTGAAGTTATATGACAACTAAAAAAAGTTTAAAAATTTTGTCACTGTGACAACTTACTACCAGAAATGAGTGCAAAAATTACAAGAACTATTTTACTGGCCAAACAATACACAAGCTCTAACAGAAGAATGATTGTAAATTCTTTAATAAAATTTATAACATTGAAATGTCTGCTTTTCAACCCTCAGAAATGTCCCTATTCACTTCCATTTTATGTGCCTCACCATAACCTTTGTTTTTGGCCATTTTTATAGTTAATATTATAAATAAAACGAGGGAAGTCAAAATAACGGTTTGCAGTAATCAGTATTATGAAATTCCATTGAACTCAGCTTCTATTAAAACCAGAATATGTCTTTAATTCAGCCTGTGTGATAATTCTTCCTGGGAAAATGAACTTTTTCCTCAAATTTAGTGTGTTAGTCTACAGCATTTGATTTGCACCACACATCTTGCTTTGAAATTGGATTAAAACCTTTATCTTGGTCTCATCTGACTACAAACTCCTTTCTTTCTGGTTTACTATTATGCATTATTGGCAAACTCCAGATGTGCTTCATTTGGTTCTTGAGTAAAAGCTTCTTTTGTTCTTTCCTCTCATACAGGCCAGTGTTCTGTGGAGCACTTTACACGATAAACCGGTGCACTCTCAGCTACTAAAGCCCTTGAAAATAACCATTATCTTCTTCTTTTTTTTTTTTTTTACCCGAGGATCATATAAGCGAGTTTTGAGGGACAATCTTTTCTACAATCATCCGAGTAGTTTGATATACTCTTACTGATAATTGAGCTTGATTCACATACTGTTTTCAGAATTTATGCATTTGTTTTACTCTGGCTTCTTTACTAACATTTACTTCATTTTCACAGCCAACCTATAGCTTATTATTCAAACTGAATAACCATCAGCAAGAGGAAAATTGCCTGAGATTCAATAAAAAAGGATCACAGAGAACTAAAAAAAAAAAAAAAAAAAAGGTTTAGGGTCCAGTTTCTACTCTACGGATGTCGCTTTCTATTTTTATTTCAGTGACGTTTGTAAGAAACCATCCCAAAATACTCCCTCCTCCACATTTTCTGTTCATTTATAAAGATTTCTTGAACTTTTGTTCTGCCAAGAACGGATAAACTCTGGCTGTGACATATAAAAACCTCCATGTTTTCATATTCCAGACACATTAATATTAGTGTCATCTAACTGAGAATAGAAGCACCTGTCAAACACCAGATTGTTTATAATAAATTATTATAATACATACACTTGTCCCGGATTGGCTGGAGTGATATATGATCACGGTGAGCCATAACAGAATCTTTTACAGTGTGCACGTCGCAATGTTTACAGAGCGATGACCACAGTGTCATCAACATTTACATCATTTTAGCTAAGATTGTTTATGATAATGATGCAACAAACATCTGATAACTCCCAGCCGACCCAGTCCCAAATAACACTGTTAAAAGTAAACATTTAACAGAAACTACGCAAACATAAAAGACCTCAATAGGCATGCTCTGCACATAAAAGTCCCGTATCCTGTATTCTGCATCTTGTTTTGAATTTATTCTCTTTGCCATTGAATATTGCTTGTTTGATGTGGCGCCAAGTCGTTTCGCTAGAAGCCTAATGAAAAATTTGGTTCCACTAAATGTCGCTTTTATTTCTTTCTGTAATAATGCGGAATTTGGGCATGTCACTTGGCCCATGAAGGATGTGTTCCATATGTCACATGCACCCTTAGTGGGAACGTTTTTAATTATCTGTTGGTCTGACCTTTACAGAGGAAACCAGAGCAGCTTGATCTGTGACCATGAGGATCATACGGCCACAACGATCATATCCTGAGACATCAAATTCATTGGATGGCAAGGTCTTAAACCCAACTTTGATTTAGACGTCAGTAACTAGTCAAAACAAATACTGATATTGACCATTTGACACAAAATTGAATTGCTAAGTCAAAGAAAAAACAGAAGCCTGAATTTAAAACATTTCAATTTGTCAGTAATTAGCCTGGAGTATTCGAAAGTAGATCTCCCTTTCAACAGCTTAGGATGGGGTGGCTCAAAAGACTGAAAGTAAACCAAACAACTGACAACCGCTGTAGCCAAGAAACAGAAAAATCACTAAGGAACAATATAAAAGAGTGGTTCTTAACCTTTTTGACTTAAAGGCCCCCACACTGTTCAACAAAAAATTTCAAAGGGCTTTTATATAAACTGTATTTCTTCCGGCATTTTCTGTTGTAATTATGACAAATGTGCTAGTTTTCAAATTAACCATAACTATTTTTGTGATTCCAGACTAGTCAATTGTATGTTCTGTAATAAAAAAAAAAGTAGCTGATAATATACACACAATAAATAATTTGACTTTTTTGGGCATTTCAATTATTATAATTATATTATTTTTTATAAAAATTAATTTAAATAATTTTAAGTCATATTACGGCACCCTGGTTGAGAACCACTGATATAGAGGATGATGAAATGCTTTCAATCACTTAATTCAAGTCATTTAAGAGCAAGAGGGTTGGAAAATGTGGGGGGAAAAAAGTTATCCATACTGAATAAACGATTAAATGCATGAATATATACAGAACATTTGTGTAATTTGCAATACTGTGTGTAATAATATTTATGTTATACTTTACACACAGCACATATTTTTCATATATATTCATATTCAAGTATGGATACAAAATTAAGAACAGAAGGGTTATTAAATATTTATGCAAAATAAATAAATAAATAAAGAAGGATACACTTTATTTCGATAGTCCACTTTAGACATTCTACTAACTATAAAAACTTTGTAACTACAGGTCAACTAATTCGCATTAATTTGCAACTACATGTCTACTAACTCTCAGAGTAGACTGTTAGGGTAGGTTTAGGGTTAGTAGAATAATTTGACAAAGAAAGTGTTAGAAGATATTAAGCAGACAGTCTACTAATACTCTACTAACTGCTAGTTGACATGTAGTTGCAAAGTTACTTGCTGTTAATAGAATGTCTAAATTGGACTATCGAAATAAAGTGTTACCATAAATAAAAATAATTTATATTATAATAAAAAATAGCTACACATATTCCATTAAAAGAATAGTGGTAGAATCCACATTCTAAACCATCAATCATAGCACTTATTTATCTAATGTTATGTAGTACAGCAAAGTAGCAATTTTCCTGTAGTGGACAATTACTGTCAGGAAGTGGTGAGTTCCCATGCGCAAAAAAAAAATTAAAAATAATAATTTTTATATATATATTTTTTTTTTGTACCATAACATCATTACCATCCCATCTGCAGGTGCAGCCTAAAATTCCTTCCTAACGCTGACGCTCTATGTCAGGAACTGCTACAGCTTCCCCTTACTGACAGCATAAGAAAACATGAAAGACAATCTGATTGACAAGGTTAGTTTTTCAGTGATTTAAAAAAAATGCTAGAACTTTTTTCAGTTATATTTCAGTCAGGACCATTTCATCTTACACAAGACAAACACACTACAGTCCAGACGTGAAGAACAAAAGTGTTTATTTTAGTGAACCATTAGGATCAGAATAAATAAAGGGTGAGCGTTTGCCAGTGTTATTCTTCTCTCTCATGCAGAGAATCCCTCCTGTCATTCCAGATTCCCTCCTGGAGGGTTGTTACTTCAAAGTTTAAATACTAAAATTGCCCAATTCTCTCACTGTCGTTTGGTGCCCAGCATGGGGTTGTAGTGCATTCTTTTGTAAACCTGTCTAAACAGACTTCCTCTCAGGGCTGAGTGCTGCAGAACATAGCGGCTCCTCAGCTGACCACTGACAAACACAAATACTTTGTCCAACCAGAGCCTTTGGTCAAATGATCCCTTAAATATTTACAACTACTAACAATCAAACTTCAAATAAAAAAACAAAAACAAAACAAAAATACATGTATATTAACAATTCCATAAATTACTCATAAGATCATCACATTTAGTGTGCTAATTCAAAGATTTATCATTTCAGACCAGTAAACAAAATCATGTAGAACGTTAACAAAAAAATTATATGAACACTTGCAAAGCAAACACATTTGGTATTCACAAGAGATGGCAACAGAAAGTAACAATTTAGAAAAAAAACAAACACCTTTTTTTGTTCAACTCTTGGGCTTTAAACACAAAATTAGCCCAATAATCAAGCCAGTTGAGATGTGTAAAAAGCAAACAAGAGGCTTTGTGTGAGTGCCAGGCGAAGAGCATCGTCTCTCATTTGGACTTCGGACCTCGTGTTGGCCTTTCTAAATGCAATGCAGAGAGAGTGAGGAGTCCTATGAGCGTTCCTGAAGTCAGCGGGCTGTGTAGCCAGAGGTTGGTGGTTGGAAGGTGAGAGATAAAGGTTAATTGAGGGAGGGCGACCTTTCTGTGGTCCACAGGAGCTCGATGTAGGGCCATTTGGTCTGTAGACAGCGCTTGACCGGGGTGTCGTCCGTACGTACCATTGGATCCTCAAAACCCATGACCAAAGAAGTGCCCTCAACGTAACTCACCTGGCAGAGAGAAACACAACGGGTGAACATGCAACACATTTGTGTATGTACAATCACTTCCTGATCCTCTTAATAAAACCATGGGCCTTGTTTCTGGGAATGCCAGTGTGTCTCTCTCAGTATGCGTTTCATTACAGACCTGGCCTCTTGCTATTACATCATCAGACATGAGACAGCCGATGGCTTCCATATGGAGGGCGTCATATTGCCAGGAAGGAATCTGCCCTTGACAAAGTGTCACGATAAACATGCGCCCTCAATTTTTTTGTTGCTGTTGTACATTGTGTTATACAAGTAAAACCTTTTCACAGGTTTCGTTGGTGCCAATAGTGAGCCTGATTGGAGATCCACTGGCCAATCAACTTCCTTTAGGCATTGCCTAATTCAACCCAGTCTTGAGTAAAAGCCATAAAGCTTCATGGCGCTCCCTCTGGGCAATATAGCGAACATGAGATGAGAATAAGCACCTGGAACAACATCAGAGTAAATATTAAAAGAATATAAAGCAGTCTTTGTTTCAATAGTTTTTTTAAAAACTTATTTTAACTACCAAAACAAACAAGCTACTTGTTTAAATGCTTTTGTGTAAGCAAAATAAAATTAATTTAAAAAAAGGAAATATAGATAAAATAAACCGTTAAAGTCTATAAAAAGTATAGCATAGTTATCACACTTTTAATTTGACAACTAAAATGTGAACAGCAACAAAAATATTAAAGTCGAATATTCAATTGCATACTCTTGGTTTTAAAAGCACAAGTTCTCTCAGGTTTTGCCAATTTAATATTGGAGACACGTGAGAACCAACAGAGATTATTTTTAACATTTCCTTTTGTGTGCCACAGAAGAAAGAAAATCTCATTTTGGTTTGGAATGACATAAGGGTGAGTAAAATGATGACAACTTAATTATTCCTGTTGCTATAATTGCTAAAACTAAAATATATTAAAATGAGACCATAAAATAAAACTGAACGATGACTAACAAAACCACAGAAGAAGAAGCTAAACTGAAATTTAAAGTCAAATTGAAAATAATACTACACTAAAATGCATTTGACCATGTGTCTTTTAAATGATGCAAATCATCTTGCCCGGTTTGACTTTGTATAAACACAAATCAAAATAAAGAGAGGACCGAGAGCCTGAGACATTAGTCCAGTGAAACAGTTTCAGATTTTTGTGGCTTCAATATACTCTGCCCAGTCTCGAAAGCTGTCGACACTCACAGTAATGACTTGGAAGGCTTGTCTGAGAGATCATAGTGGTGTGGGCCATAGGACGGGGTGGCTCACAGACTCCACATCCCAGGGATCAGACAGGATAAGACTGACCCACCAGGGCTTTCATGCCAGCCGGGGCAATATGTGTTATTAAAGTGTGCTTGGGAATTACAAAATGAGCATGAGTGTGCCTTACCTTCTCATTGTGGTTGGACTGCTTCAGGCCATTATAGTGATACACAGGAAATGAGTCTGGGATCACAGAATCCTGGAAAAGCGAGACGACACGTGTCAGTGCGAACATGTACATCATTGGGTCTGTGGAACATCAGCAAACAGCTCTATGTGTCCTTATTCACTGTGACATATACTGCCTAGATTGGACTCCATCCATAGGATGCCAGAAAAACATTTCCGTGAGTTAAGACAACTTAACCAAAAAGACCAATTCCAGCTCAAACACATCAAAACACACTCCATAAACTTGGACAAGAGAGCCTAAAACAACGGTTCAGTGAATGGTTTTATATGTAATGACATGCTCAAGACTGACAGCACACTGGAATACATTGCTTTACGTCTAAAGAAATCACATACCCCCATGCAGCTGCTGAAAAGACCTGATTGCAAACCGGTGCCAGAACACTGCAGACCAGCTCAAACCAGCAGCAAAACCCAAGCACAGAGTTTTGACAGGAGCCAAATACCTCTGTCTAGCCCCCATACCGCATACCAAAACTACAACAGCGGACCGTGTGTATATGCGTTTGAGTGGGTCTGAAATAGGGTTAGAGTATTTGATTTGATGGTAAATTGAGGCCTTTTTGCATGTATCCCTAAAGCCCTAATCTATTTAACACAGAGCAGTGGAGCTGCAAGTCCATGCCAACTATAACCGTCAGCTTCTTCCTCCACCTCTCTCTCTCTCTCTGAGCGGCTACATGTACACAGATTTAATCTTGGGCTGATTGTAGGTTTATTTGAACTTAATGAAAAAACAGTAAGAAAAAGCAAACAATGTTGAGCAAGAGCAAGAATCAAGGGAGAGCAAAAAAAGACAGCAGAATAGCCATGATAGGATAGGTAGCTATGTTTAGTGAGCTGCCTAGCTGTCTACTGCCTTCATAGGCAGCATCCTAACCAATGCAACTCATAAGTGTCGGATTTTAAACTCTCTACATAGGCAGCCCCTCTGTGCATCACATATACTCAACTCATAAGTTGATATAGGTATTCAATAGAGTTTGATGTTAGCATGTTACTAATGGCATGATAACCTAATAAGGTCTATAAAAAATAAAAAAAAATAAAAAAAAGACATATATATATAGCACATACAGAAATTGGTTAGGTATACACTGGGGCTGTGAATCAATGCAAAAAACAAATAAACTGAAATCTAACATTAAAACTTTACGTAATTAAAATTGGTTAATTCCCAAACTAATGTAGAAACAATATAAAGGAAAAACATTTTAACTTGTTTTTTTACGAAGTACTATGAAGGTCAAGCTCATTGTTATCCAATAAGATACCTCTATTAATTTATTATCAGAAATGCAAACAACAGGTAAGGGGGAAAAAAAGATGAGAAAGTTACGCGGATCAGGGACATGTTTTAAAAATATTTTTTAATTACCTTGTGTCAAACCCAAAAAAACATTGAACATCTTGTTGCAACATTTTACAAAAATCAAGACTGAATATATTTGGTCAAAATCCTATGTTATAAAAGATGAAGTGCTATGCAGGCTAGTTAAGACAATATTGGCTGATGCTGACCTAAAATGCTAAATGTTTGCCCTTTCTCTCTTCTCCGTTCCCACATCTCATATCTCAAATACATAAAATATTACCCTTTTTAGACAGTTTTTGAATTAAAGAGTAAAGAAAATACTATAAAAAAAACTTATTGAAACAACCAGGGGCCAACTGCATAAACTTAGCCACCATGTTAAGAATAGCAGTTGCCAAGGGGTAATCAGCAGGGGTGTGGACTCGGTCAAGGAGACTTGACTCGGACTCGAGTCCCAAATTTGATGACTTGCGACTCGACATAATTAAAGAAGACTTGAGACTCGACTTAGACTTTGACAGCAATGACATGAGACTTGACTTGGACTTGAGCCCTGTGACTCGGAAAGACTTTATGATCAGATCAGATCAGAGTCATATACATGCAGATACATGCGATGGCGCCGCAGACGGCAGCCTCAGTGTTTGTACTGTTTTTGTTAGTTTTTCCTGTTTTTTGTTTCTCAAACACGATCAGTTTTACCAGGGATGAGCTGCTGAACATTCGGCAGAACACACCAAACAATCTTCTACCGGTTTTAGTTTATTCGGACATTTTGCTGAACGTTGTAGTCGGCGGAGCTGCTGCGCTGATCAAGCGCTTCAGCAGGGAGCGCTGGATATACTATGCTAGTATAAATTGATGGAGTAATAGCATTACTTACGACAAAAGAACTGAGATAAGAAATGACATGATTCGTCTATAGCTATCTCCGCTCATGAAAAGCGCTGCCCTGCTCGTTTGATCACCGCCCAGCAGACACACGGAGCGGGCATAAGAAACGAGAGGCGCGGCCGCGATCACCAGTGCTCGCCTCATCATCACTGTGACCGTTGCTGTTAAATGCTAAACATATTCCTCACTTCTTCTGTTTGTCCAACACCGAGGTGCACCATGAGTGATGGATCCGCATCCCGGGCATCCCGCCACGACCCTCGTGCTCTGCCAACTCGATGTGCTTTAATTTTCATTTTCATTTGTAATAAACACCTCTCTGAGACCTTTTTTTGTCAGATCTCCACAGTTTTTTTTCAGTCGGTTACATATTTTAATTGCATGTGCATTTTATTTTATTTGATTTAAACCTCCATTAAGTTTAAAGTTAATCCATAATCGAGATTTAAATCTGAGTTTAAATTTATGGTGCAACAGGATTAAAGTTAATCTTAAATGGTCTATAACTTAAATTCAGGATCAAAATGATGGGTTAAAATGTAAACCTGCTTATTTTTTAAAAGTTTAAAGTTTGGTGCAACAGAATTATTAGATAAACTCTGATTTAATCTAGATTTAAAATTAATCATTGCAAACCATTCAGCTATAATTTTAAATAAAAAAAAAAATGCACATTTGGCCTAACGTCTGAAGTGAGCAAGCGGCATTAGGCCTAGTGATCATTTAAAATATAATTTTGAAGAAGTGTTTCTTTCACAAAATGAGCATTGAATATATAACTACAAATATACTAAATTTTTTCTCCCTCTTCACCAGGCACTCATGTCACTTTCATTTATTTTGGGATAAATGAATGAATTCCCGTGTTGTAAATCAGTCTGTAGGCCTATAGCGCACATAGCCCCTAAATTTAGCGATCAAATGCATATTATAAACTTAACATTTAACGTACAACATTTTTTTCTATAAAATTATTGTCTTTGTTACTCTAGTTATAAAGGATGATAGCACAGCATTTTGGAATGTCTTCATGAGTTTGTCTGCATCTATATTGCATGTTTCCTCTCACTTGTAAAGTATGGTAGCAGTTATCTTCTAGTTCTTTCAAAGCAGTTCTTTCTGCGTTTCCGCTCACATGTTTTTAAATCCGTTTCATTGAGGTTCCAAATAATGGCTCATTGGCTTAGATATAACACCTAGAAGCACACATGCAAAGTGTGTTGCAGCTGTATTTCTATGAAATTCTGTTGTCTTAGCTATTCTGTTACTAATAAAAATTATTATTTTTTTTTTTCCACGGCTTGTCCAATTTTGGCACAATCCCTAAATTTAATTTGAGTAGTTTTACTAAGGGCACCCAACTCACATGAAATTGAACTATGTCAAACACATTCTACCTGTCTTCCTGATATAAATTACTATACATTTGATATGGTAATTAATTTTGAAACACTCATTTGGGCAAAGAGCACTAATGACTTGTTTAAGACTTGAAGCTAAAAGTTGAGGACTTGCAACTCGACTTGGATTAGGACTAGGATTTGACTCGAGAATTGAATGCAAAGACTCGTGACTTACTTGTGACTTGCAAAACAACGACTTGGTCACACCTCTGGTAATCAGTCTTACGTTTCAAATACAAATAAGATCTATCTTTTCATAACTAAATTAAAAAAGTTATGACCAGTCTTGAAGAAAAAAATTAGATGAATAACTTTTTAACATTTCTAAATTGACTATTTTCAGTCTTTGAGGAAAAAGAGTATATATTAACTAGTGGTCGACCGACATGGGTTTTTTGACAGCCGATGCCGATATCTTGGAAAGCAGGGTGGCCGATGGCCGATATAATTTTATTTATATTTAAGAAATTTGAAATCATTTGAAAATAGATAAAAAATAATTGTGTAAAATAAACATACCTATACTTTGAAGACAAAGTATTTTTCACAAATAAAGAAAGAAATATTTAATAAAAATCTAATTAAAAAGGAAGTAAACACGGTAACCAACAGGGCACTCAGTATTCTGGGAAGTTTGTGAGAATCATGTTTTTATTTTTTTTCAAATAAAGCCAAGGTAACACTAATTTTACATACAGCACGCAATGAAAAAGACATGAATATGACAGTGGGCAAATGCATAAAGCGCAGCATAATTTGAAATTACTAGTTTAAAGTTTGTCGATCGCACATCTCCAGTGAAGCTGAACTCTCCTCCTGTCCGCATTCAATTTGCATGGATCAACCGTCAACCAGAGAACACGCGATCATGCAGGATACAAATGCACACTTCACAAGATCTCAACTAGATTCAACTAGGTCTGCAAGGTTTGTGAAATTAAATGTTCATTAGTCATTCAAAGATTTGTTTAAATGACATAAATGCGTGTTTGCTGAATGCTGACGGCAAATGAGAAAGTATTATAATGTTTGCCTTTCGATTACTAATAATATAAAAGCAATCGTTATAATACTCTTTTGTATACATTTTAATTCCTTTGTTTAACAGTTCTATCTGATTATTAGATAGACTTATTAGATAGAATGTCAGCGGCGTGCGCTCAGGTGCTGCAGCTGCCGTTCTCAGCGCAGTCAAAATAAAAGTCAGCCGCGCCGTAAAAATAAAAGTCCCGCCTCGAACACATCAGCCAAACAGAAAAATGTATCGGCCTTGCCGATATATCGGTCAACCACTAATATTAACTGATTTCAAATTTTTTTTTTTTTTTTACATTTAATAGACTGAAATTGCCTTCTGCTTTCATTTATAATTTACTATCAACAATTACAGAAACATGCTCAATCTCATAACAATCCCTTGATGGTTAATGCTAACAATCATCACATAAACCCATTATAATTAACAAGAAAAGCCTGTAAATTAACTACAGGAGGTGGGGGAAAAAAGACTAAAAGATAATTTGTTTAAAATATTTTTCAGCATGTATTGCTCATTGGCATCCTTCAGCAGTGAAGTGTGTTGTCTGAGGCAGCCTTCAAAATGAGCTATAATTGTGAATTATGATCAGATACTAAACATATAACAGTGAGTAATGCTTGGAATCTGACTAATATTGTTTTAAAAACAACCTCAGTGATGTTAAAACGGGGCAGACTTTTCTCTTTAAAGTCATACAGCGAGACTGATAACATTACTAACTCTCTCCCACACAAACTCAGTAATCAGAGGATGATAAATGCTTTCATGTGATCACAGGTCACTTTGAAATACACATAAAAATGGCCAAAACACTGATTATGTTGTATGTAGTTTCAGAAGAGGCCAAAAGAGTGTTCAGACTTCATCGACACTTGACTAAACTGCTTTGACAGAATAGGGTGGTGTGTAAAAACAAACACATGGCCTAAACTTTATTCTGTCAATTTAACTTTCATATAACAAACCCTTTGAAAGGCTGAAGTTGTCTTTCAAGCTGTCAAAGGTTGATGTAAGAAATCAGGTGGTTTAAAATTGCTCAGATTTCAGTGAGAAGCTGTTTAAGAGGTGAAGGTTTCAAAGGGACTATGGTGAGTGGCTTTAAACAGGCTTTACATGGAAGGTTGGGACTTTACTTGCTATTCCTCTTCTTTGCTCTACAAGAGTAATGAGTCTGTTTGAATGGCATGTGAACCCAAATTGTGCAAACAGAGGGAGCATAGCTGGTTTAACATGCACAAACCTCTTCAGATCACTTTATGACAAACACAAATGTCACCTTGCTGTGTTAGAAATAAAGAGATATGTTTGCTGTACATGAATAAAATAATATATTATATTGTAAATATTATACACACTACCATTAAAGAGTTTGGGGTTGGTAAGATTTTTCAATGTTTTTGAAACATGATTCTTACGCTCTTATTATTGTCAATGAAAACTGTTGTTCTGCTGAATATTTTTGCAGAAAATAGATGCTTTTTTCAGGATTCTTTGAGGAATAGAAAGTTAAAATATAGCATTTATTAGAAACCAAAATCTTTTAGAAACATATTTACAGTCACTTCTAAAAAAGTAATGCATCCATACAGATAGGTATTACTTTCTTTCAGAATAAAAAAAAGAAAAGAAAAAAGAAAACTTCTGAACATCTGAAATGTTTATGTCCACTAAATATTTCTTAAGGAATAATATAAAATATAACGGTACTCTATCAAAATTGTATATTAACATTAAAATATTACTGTAACACACACACACACACACACACACAGACTTACTAGTCTGGCTCGGAGACGAGATCCAACGCTTTCATAACATCTTCAAGCAGTGTGTCTAGAATGAACCCATTATCTGAAGATGAGGAGACAAGAAGAGAGGCAGATGGTTAGATCTTCTGAGAGTCTTGATCAGCACCCACACCACTGGTGTCTTATGCCCAATATAAAACATGAGTTTCATCTCTCTAATTGAAGCCATTCTGCCGACCACGCACACATATGCACATTAACATGCTAAGACAATGGCTGATAAATGGATGGATGAGTGGTGTATGTTGTTTTTCCTCCTCTCTGGTCTCCAAGTGTCAGACAGGATGTTTGCAGAGCAGCTGGTATGCTAACTCTTTTCCGTTCAATATAAAATGAACTGTCTGCTTAAACTTTCCTGCAGTGACTGGATTAAGAACAATAAATATCTGTACCACAGCATGAAATTAGATACACTTGGGCATTTTGAATAATGCATTAGAAACTTTGGCTAAAATAGCTTCTATACTACTGAAATAAAAAGGTATTCACAAAATATTACTTCTGCAATGGGATACATTTCTGAGTGAAACTATATTCAGTGAGAAATAATGTGGAGTGGCACAATCCATCAGGGTTTAATTGGATCATTATTGTCAGCTTAATTTATTACCTAATATAATTTTTTTTCCATAACTGCACAACCTTGGTGGATGAATTTTACACAAGGTATGAAAGTAATTTATCTTTAAAACAATGTGCTGATTAATATGAACACAAAGGGCATTTATTTGGAAAGTAAACGGGGTCAATTTTGATTTCATATCGTTTTAGTATTTTATCTACATAACCAGACTGTAAGATGTAAGTTTCTCTTTCTCCTTTGGACAAATGAAATGCATGTGAAAGATCTAATTTAATGCCTAAACTGTCTGTGTTTGGAGTCGATATAAACACATTCGAAGTGCTGGTAACTGAAATTGAACTAAAATACACACTGGTTTGCTATCCTTGTGGGGAGTCTCCAAAGGCGTAATGCTTTTTCTACTGTACAGATCGTATATTCTATTGCCCTACACCAACCCTACACCTAAACCTACCCCTTACAGGAAACTTTGTGGATTTTTAGATTTTCAAAAAACTTCATTCTGTGTGATTTATTAGCTTGTTTACCCGTGGGGACCTCAATTTAGGTCGCCACCGTGACATGAGTCCCCATGAGTCTGTGTGTATTCAGGTTTAAGTCCCCACCAGAATAGAAAAACACACACACACACACACACACACACACAGTATTGTTCTTATTAACGCAAGGAACAGGAATGTTGTTTACGACGTTAAAAGACAAAAAGATGCCAAGCAAGAACATCTAATCTTGCTCTTGATGACAATTTGAGTGTGTGCTGTAAATTAGACACTTTAAATCAAAACTTTGGAAAAACACTTACGTTCTCACTGTGACACATTCAGTGATATATACACACACAAACTTGACAGATATGAGACATTGGGCGATCTCTGCTCCAGGTTCTCATTTCTTCCATCAAACACCCTCTCTACCTATTCTCTATATTATCGTCAGGAGTCTTATATTTAAAATCAAAAGCAATAAATATTAGAGGAAAAAGTAGGGGAGAAAAATATAGTTTCATGCAACAGACTATGGAAGCAAAAAAACACAAACAGGATATACAGGCAAAGATATACTGCACTGCATATGACTAAAGGAGCATCAGTGGTTTGTTCATAAGCTACACTGCTGACTTTGCCATCTGAGCACAGTGACTATCTTAAATGATAAATTATCACGTGAGACTTTCCTCCCCACAAATCCTCAGCAGAACTGCTCACAAATAAAACACTGTTGGCTGCTAATCATGCATAGGACATTCAGTTGGAAAACATTACTATAGAGAAAGTGATCAGTGAGTTTGTTATAAATACTGTAAAAACTATAGAAATGTGGAGTCTACATAATATTCAAATGTTTGGAGTTTTTAATTTAATACTTATATTCACTAAAATATCAACATTGGTAATAATAAGAAATATTCCTTGACCACCAAATCAGCATAAAAAAAAGTGACACTAACAAAAAAATAAATAAATAAAAACAATTCTGAAGGATCATGTGACACTAAAGACAGGAGTAATGGCTGCTGCCAGCTGAGTTTTGCCATCACAGGAATATATACAATAACATAAAAATAATTTTAAACTGTTATATATATATATATATATATATATATATATATATATATATATATATATATATATATATATAT